AGTTTACCTGTTTTCTTTAAGCAACAAACCCCCTTAGTGAACTTGTAATGTATGGAACTATTGAATAGAGGTCATTTTATTTGATTTAAAAAAAAAAGTACTTGGGCCTCCCTGGTGGCACAGGGGTTAAAGTCGGTGCTATCAAGCTATTGCCAGCCACTGCAGCAGGAGTTCGATCCCTGGCCAAGGAGCTAGCACACATAGTGCAGCAGACCTCTCCTGTCTCGCCCACTGTTCTCCTTAGCAAAGTATTTCAATAGATACATCTGTCCTGCTCCCCACTCTATCTCTGGTGAATCCTCTCATGCCCTGCACCTCTGGCCTACCCCCCAATTTTTGTATGCATAAATAAAGAAAAATAAATCTTAAAAAAAAGAAAGACCTTGAATCTTGTCCACAACTTGGGAGTTAACTATAAGCAGGGGAGTCTGCCAGCCTGGAGGGCCAGGTATGGGAATTCAGCTTGCAAAAATGGGGCCCTGATAGAAAATCACCAGCAGTGACCAACAAGTCTAGCAGGATGAACAAGAATCAGCAAAAAGCTTGAGTGCCATGAAAAGCAATGCTCCCAGGTATGTTGTAAGGTGAAGCGTGATCTCACGCCACTGCTTCCCAGGTACCACCCTCACCCCACGGTGCCTTTTGCCCTAGAAAGGACATCATGAAAATGAAACTATACCACCAGAGACCCAACAACTCTACTGTGGGGGACCACTCTGGACAAAAATAAGGTGAAGATGTTTCTTTTCCAGCATGCCTTAAATGATACCAGCCCCAAGAAGCTGCAGAGGTGGAGGATAAGTCAGCACCTAGGAAACTCACCGTCAAAGAGAAAAGGCCTGTGTGGGGAAGCAGACAGACAATAGAGTTGGCTTCTGATGACATGTGAGACATTCTCTGATTCACTCCCCTGCACCTGCAGTTCCTAGAGAGACAGAAGAGGGAGGGCTGAGCTCCTTCTCTTACTGGCTATCACCTGTGGAGCTGTATCGAGGGACAAGCTACACACTTCTTAAGGAACTTTTCAAGCAACACCGTCCTTAAGATACTGACATGCCTTCCTGGAAGGACATGCTCCTCTATCCTCGAAGCTAAACATCTCTAAAGCCGTGAGTCGTGTGTATGTGTGTCACATTTTTGTTGCGGTGTAAGGCAAATCAAGAAGCACTGTATCAGTGACCTTAACCAGGAACAACATATGAATGGTGCTTAGGTCACTTTCGGATTCCATATTCATGTATTCAGCCAACACGTACAGAGTACTATTACAAATGCTCTGGGTATATAAAAGTGAAAAGTGAGTTGTTTAATGGGTTTAGAGATTCAGATTGTGAGATGAAACATTTATGTAAGTCTGTTTTGTGCTGAACACTGTTGAACCAGCTACTTAAAGTGGTTACAATGATAAATTTTTAATTGTGGTTTTTTTATTATAATGAAAAAAAACTGAAAATAGGATGCTTGCCTTGGGGGGGGGGTTCACTTAAACTTGAGAGAATCATCTGTGTAGGACCAATAATAATTTCTTCATGTGGTAAATGCCATCTGGTGTTTTCCTCACATAACTGCTCACATAACTGCCGTTCTTTGAGAACCTCCCCAACCACAGAGGTATAACCTGATGTCCAATGGACTTGTAACTTGACCTTGACCCCTGGTCACCATCAGGGTAGACAACTGAGCTAAGCTGTACTAATTTCTGAAACTTGAATGTAGAGATTAGAGTGGAGCTGGCTAAAGCTGTTAGTGGCAGTGCCAATATACCGCAGCTGCTGAGGCCCCAGAGCTGTCCAGCTTCCTGCCCTTTGCAAACCTGCTTGGTTAGTTTCATTTCTGATGCTGAAATTTACCACAGAATCCTTCTAGTACAGGGCCTCCCCGGTGGTGCAGCGGTTGAGCGCTGGGTTGTGAAGCTGCCCGCGGCCTCTGCGGCGCCGGTTCGATCCCCGGCTGCTCCCCGGCCACCCGAGGAGGGTCAGACCTCTCCTGCCGCCCGCTGCTCCCCTCAGCAGTGTACTTCGGTCCTTCTGCCTGCTCTGCTCCCCGCTCTGGCTCTGGTGAATTCTCTCACCCTCCTGCGCTTCTGACTGTACCCAGTGCTTGTATAAACAAAACAAACAAACCAGCAAACAAATAAATAAAGCATGCCTCTATTAAAAAAAATAATAAAATAAATATAAAAAAAAAGAATCCTTCTAGTACATCCCCCTACTTAATCCTTCCCCTACTTACCAAGTGAGCCACAATCATTCTTTGTTCCACAAATTAACTTCAATTAAAACTCAAACCAGGGCCTCTCCTGGTGGTGCAGAGGTTGAGCGCTGGGTTGCGAAGCTGCCCGCAGCCTCTGCAGTGCCAGTTCAATCCCTGGCCACCAGCAAGGGTCCCACATGGTGCGCAGACCTCTCCTGCTGCCTGCTGCTCCCCTCAGCAGTGTATTTCGGCAGTCTGCCTGTTCTGCTCCCAGCTCTGGCTCTGGTGAATTCTCTCACCCTCCCACGCTTCTGACTGTACCCAGTGCTTGTATAGATAAATAAATCTTTTTAAAAAATAAATAAATAAACCCAAACCAAAGTGCTGCTTCTGGGAAATGAGTTGTCAATGATTGAGGACTTGCAGGTGATAGGAGAGTGAAAGTCTTCTGCCAGGAAGAAAAGGACATAGAAGGCTAATTGGTTAATTTATAGGTTAACATAGCAAACTCTTACTCCACAAGCAAGCACTTTGCTCTGAAAGAGCTTTCAGTTGCTTGTTACAGGCCCTGGTTATTTTCCTACTGTATGTAATGGGGGTGGGGGTGGGGCGTGGGAGATCGGGTTGTGTGTGTAACACAAGTCAGGCAGGGTCCCACCCACTTTCCCTCGCTAGTTATTCAGTTGCAAAAACTCACAGGTCTGAGAGGACTGGAAAGAGGAAACTGAAGAAGTTGAAGCTGCGGCTGCCGGCGAGAGGGAAGAGAGAAGAAGCACAGGAAGCCCCCTTTAGGTGAATGATCCAACTCATGCAGATTCCTCCACAATTTCTAGCGAAAGGTTGCCCCCGCATCAGGATCCAAGATTACTGCAACGTGCGGGGAGACTGACAGAAAAGGGGACATGGAATGGCGCCTAAATTAAATGCCTGCAGGGCACAGACTGCGTCCCGGCAGATGGAAAGACGCACTGATCACTCACAGGCCGCTCCCACTCAGCGCCAGGCGCCGCGCCACACTCAGGGGAGGCTTCTTGAAGTGCGGGGTGCGAGGCCAGAGAGCGAGATTGGGGGGGCGGGGGGGGCTGCGGCGCCAGCAGCCTCCGAGACTTCGAATAACTAGGGATTTGGGACCTAGGGGCAGGGACCCCGCGAGATTCCTTCAAAGCCTCGCAGATTTCCGGGCAGGAAGTCAAAGGGCAGGCGTCGGGGTGCTCGCGGGCTCCGTGACTGGAAAGGGCCGGGGGGCTGTTGGCGGACTTAGCGGTCCAGAACCGAAGTCATCCAGGAAGCGAATTTGAGACATAGGTTCCAGGTTCTGGAGCAGGGGCGGGGGAGGGGGGGCCGGCATGTGTGGGCAGGGGCGGGGGGAACTGCACGCCTGCCTTGAGGCGCTTTAAGCCGTTGCCTGGGAAACGGGAAAGAGGCGGGGCCGAGTTTAGCTTTGACTGACAGGGGGCACAGGACCGAGTTCTGGTTTTGATTGGCTGAGATCTATATGGAGGCGTGGCTTACCTAAGATTGACAAGCCCTCCGCACAGGGCTGATTTGTGACTGGTAAGTTTGACCGCCAGGAAACAGAGCGTGGCTTTGACTTGGAAGGCTCCGGATCCGGCGGGACCAGGCTAGTCTGACTGACGAGAGCCTACAAGGTCGGACCTGAAACTGTGTCTAACCACCAGCCCTTAGGATGCCGGCCTTATTAATCCCAATGACCCGGCTAGAAAAGCTACTTGGCACGCTCCCTAAGGCCAGGCTAAGCCAGGGCTCCAGACACAAGCCATTTTATCCTTAAAAGGCGGATATAGGAGAGAGGGCGATTTGTCGTCTTTTTTGGTAATGGTTAAGGCGAGTGCTCTGGAGCAGATGAGGCCAGGTCAGGGGGAGAAGGCGGGGCAAAGGCAATAACAAAGGGTGAAGGCTTCCAGAGGAGATCTCTGGAGTCTGAGCCCAGTGAGAAAAGTGCTACCTCTGCCCAAACGCTGACTCCCAAGGAAAATTCCAAGTATGTGGAGAGAGTTTGGAAAACGTACCTGGCTGGGATTTGCCCCTAGGGAGCCGATGAAGTTAGCCTAAAGCTTTAATTTAATTTAATTTAATTGCTTTGAGAAGCTGGCATGGAATTAGGAAGGAAAAAATGGCAGCAAAGGGGCCTCCCTAGTGGCCCGAGGAGTTAAATGTCAGCACTATGAAGTAATCCGCAGCTACTGCCCCATGAGTTGGATCCCTGGCCAAAGAGGTAACCCACATGGCCCAGCAGAGCTCTACTGTCACCCTGGCTTCTCTCAGCAGTGTATTTCGGTTAATCCGCCTGTTCTGCTCCCCACTCTGGTGAATCCTCTCAAACAGCACACCCCCCCCACCCAGGCCTGTACCCCAGTCTTGTATGCATAAATAATAAAAAAAAATTAAACAGAAAAACCTGTTTTTAAAAAATGGCAGCCAAGTTTTCCTTCTTAACTGGCCCGCTGGCTCCCTGGCCCATCTTCTCTGTCATGGTTTAGTGTTATCTGCAGAACACAGATAATTCTATTACAAAACATTCTAAATGATCTTGTTCTACAGAGATTCCCATACCTCACTCCCTAAATGGTTTTATCTTACATAGATTTTTTCCAGTAAAAGTTCAAGGCCTCTAACCAAGGTCAAAGCTGTCACTGTAGAAAGAGGCTTCAGGAGTTGACCCAGGACTCCAGTGGACTTAGTGGGAGATGCTGGCCCAGATTGGCAGAACAGGATAGAACTGAAAATGTCATCCTGTATTTAATCAAGAATGGGAATCTCTGCTTGTACTCCTTCTATAAGCCTGGAAACTCCTCAGTGGCTGTCACTTTTGCTGGGCTGTAAACCAACTGGACCCCAGGAGGAGATGCCCTGGAATGTTTGAGGAACTAAGAAAATGACCTCAAGCTTGGTGGGAGACTGGCAGGTAAGTAAAAAGCATAGCATGGTGAATTCAGAGTCATGGCTTGAATCCCACTCCATCACCTCCTGATGTGTCTCTGTGGGCAGCTTTCCTAATGTCTTTAAGCCTTCCAGGGTGTTTGTGAAAATCTAAAGAGATGGACTTAGAGCAGCACTTGGCTTACTAAGCTTGGCACGCAGAGTAGGACTCAATGAACAGAAGCTAGTGTCACCCCCACTGCCTACCCAAGTGAGTTCTAGTTTATGAGTGAGCCCACGCCAAGGTGGCATGCTCACTTAAGGCTGCTTTGAAACTATCCAGCCCTAAATATGTCTCCCCAACACCTACAGTGAGAGCTTTGGGCTGAGAAAAGGGAGATGGGAGGTGTTTCCCAACAGGGAGTAGGGAATGGATTTTATTATAGATCATTTATGTTTATTTTTTTGACTCTAAAACCAAGTCTCAGCATAAGAGAGGCAACTATAAAATATTTAATAGTAAAAAAAATTAAAAAAATAAAATATTTAATAGTAGCTCTCACCAGCTGTACATAGGCATGAAATTTGGCCTCATTTTCCCCCAGAAACTAAAAGGGGTTACATAACTAGGGAGGAAATGTAGGTATTGGGCCCTTGGATGGGTGGCGGGTGCTAACTGGCAAGAGGTCCCTGCCGTGCTTGTTCCTGTGTTGTGTCAGTGGGGGCATGGAGGGGCGTGGAGGGTGTGCTGGTCACTGATGAACTGAGCAGGCCTTAGCCCTCTAGTCCTCCTCTCTCCAGAGGTTTCCCTGAAGACAAAATATACACACACATCCCCGCCATGCCAAATGCTTGAAGGGACCCAAGAAGTCTCGAGAGCCTGAACTGGTGTGTAGATGTGTGATCTATTTCCCCAGTGAAAAAGGAAATGAAAAGGAGTTGACATGCACAGAAGTCCTGCTAATTTGGTCCCTGTTCCCACCTGGGTACCAGCTTCCTTCAGCAGTGCAGACAGCAGTTCCTGGGGCCAGGAATGTACATACATTGTTAAAAGTAATACAAGTTTTATAACCACCAGCACCAAAAACAACAACAAAAATGAAATGAAGCCAAGACTCCACTGGCTTAAGGGAATGCAAGGTGGAGGGATCTATAGCCCCCTCTACTTCTCATACTCAGGGGGCTTAGGGACTGATTTTTCTAATCTTAGAGCGCCCTCTGCTGGCGGAGAGGCTCCCTACAGAAGAGGAGGAAGGACAGAGAAGGGAAAGCCAGACACCTGAGGCTCCTCCTAGGCACTCAGGACCAGAAGTCAGGTGAGGCTAAGAAGCACACAGGTTTGCAGTTTATTGAGTAACAACGGCATCATAGCTTTTATCACTGGTGGCAGTTGGTTGGCAGGAGTGTTCTCATAGGGTCCCCTTTGGGCCTTCATCTAGCCCACTTCCTGCTTCAGTCCAAGTCATAGGAGCTGGAGCCAACATCCAACTCTGCATTGAGGAGTTTGCCACCACATGCGCCATCCCCAAGCCCACCTCCTGTTTGGACCAGCCATTGATGCCCGGGCCTTTCCTCCTCTTGGGGGTGGAAGCGGGGGTAGCGACAGAGCCAAATCTCAAGAAAGAGAAGGAGCTCAGGCTGGAGTTCTGCTGAGTGTCTCACATAGATCAATGTAACACACAATTCCCTGTCTTAAGATTTTACAGTTGGGGCCTAGTTGCTTTTGAAGTTGTCCTAGTGACACCAACCTGGATACCTGTGGAGCTTAAGCACCATTCCCACAGCTGTGTTCCCCGTAAGAGGGTGGTGGGAGCCTGAAAGGGGAATGCTTGTTCTGCCTTCGTGGCTTTTGGGAGGGGGGTGGAGTGTAGGCTTAGATTTGAAGTTATGATGTCAGAGAAGACCAAGACCCCATAAAATTGTGCCTGAAGATGCACACTGTGGGGTGGGGTGGGGTGGGGAGATGGCCAGCATGGTGCAGGAAACTGACCCTCGTTTGTTCTGGTGGAATGATCTATTCCAGGATGGGCGATGGCACTGAAGGATGCATCAGCCCCCTGCCTCCCTCATCCCGTATTCCCCCGCCACCCCAGTTCCAAGTCAGCTTTGGGAGCCAGGAATCAGAAATCTGAAGGATTCAGCCCAGTGTGACCTACAAGTGTACCTCAGTTTTTTCTGGAGAGCCTGGGGCTCCTTCTGTGCACAGAAGGAAATGACTTGGCTGGTAGAAGGAGGTCCTGTGACCTGGCTGGCTGGTGGGTGGCAGGAAGCCAAGAGGGGAAGCCAGATATGAGGACACCCCAGGACAGGACAGCACATCTGTCTCTAGTTTCCAGACAGCAGGTATATACATATATCTATCACACATGTGTACATGTAGACACACAAGCGAGGAGAAAGGTGACCCTACCCTTTGAACCCAGAAACAAAAAGAAAAAGGCTTAGAGGGGCACCTCTCCAGCTTAGTAATTGTTGGTCTCAATGGCTGCTGTCCCCTAAGTCTCTGCCCAGTACCCAGCAGATGGGCAAGTGGTAGGGATGGCAAGGCTCCATTAAAGCAGTAGCCCAAGGGGGTGGGTAAGGGGGTGGGTGCTGACCTCCCTCAGAGCCCCTTGTTGTAGTAAACCACTTCGATGCTGGAGTTTTCCTCACAGATCCGAGCTCTTAGCTCTGGCTCCAGCCGGCTCACGTGTATGGAGCTGCAAGAGAAGAGCGCAGGCACATTGTGTCCCCTGACCCCAGCCCCCACCCCAGACTAAGAGACCCTCCTCTCAGGCTGAAGAATCTTATCCTTCCACTGCCAGAAGGCACAGCCATGCCACTTCCCCAGCTGCCCCTCCCCAGGATAAGCTGAGTGCCTGCCAGGCCTCCTCTGGGAACATGCTGACCTTTAGGACCTTTAGGTCAGCTGGTTCCAAAAATGGGGAGCCCTGTCCAGTGCGCCCAGAGGCAGCACTTACCTTCTCTGAGGGAACAGGGCACAGCACAGGGGGGTGGCAAATACCAGGCTGAGGGGAGAATATAGGAAAGGTGTGTGAAGCTTTGACCTCAGGGTGTTCCCCCTGCCACACCCCAGCCCATCTTAGGAGACAGCCCCTAGGGATGGAGATGAGTGAAAGTTAGCACTGACATTAAGTCTTGACTGGGAAAAGGCCTTGGGGGCAGCGGCCCAGAGCTCCCAGGCAGCTGGCAGAATTGGGAGACAGATGTGCCTAATTCCTAATTCCAGGTCTATTTCCATGGTTTCCTCTTACAGATGAATATTGGAGCCCCTTCAACTAGATTCTTGACCTTCAAGGACAGGGACCACCCCCTACTATACACAGCGGGCAGTCCTGGTGTCCAGGGCCTGGACCAGCTGAATATATAACGAATGTTGTGCGTAAACACCTGAGAAACAGCAAGCTGCCACCCTGTGCGCGGCGGAAAGGGGCCCCTTGCACACCTTAGCAAACTCCCTGCACTTACCAGAAGCCCACCAGTCCCACCTGCAGGGGTGCCCCCAGCCAGGGGCGGCGCTGTGGGGAGACAGAGACAATGAAAAGGCACGTGTGCCCTACCGGTCCCAACCTCTACCCCACGTCACCCACCAAGGCCCTCTCCCATCAGCCCTGCCCCTGAGCCTCCTACATGTTGCCCTTTTCTTTCTCCCAAACCCATAACAGGTTTGGGATCCTTCTCTCCAGGTCCCCACCCTCACTTAACCAGATCCCCCTCTCGCATCGGGTCACCTCTCAGAATTGGGGCCCAGGCCACTGCTTGTTCCTTCTTCCTCCCTCACTTCCTCCAGGAGCTGCTTTCTTCAGGAAGCCCCAGCTCACCCATGTTCACCTCCCCCAGTAAGCATGCTGGTGCTCCATAAGCACTGGCAGATAAAGGTTCAATGAATGAGCCAGGGCTGGCATGCTTGTGCCTTGCTTCCCTGTCTCGTCCATGTGTGTGGGCACCTGTGTGTGCGTCTCACTGTAGTGATGACAGCGTGAGTGTGATAGCAAGCGTGACTAAGAGTCCAACCCTGTGTGTGTCAGAGGCCTCTGGAGTGACACCAGTTTCCTTCAAGACAAAATGCATTTCCTTCCTACCCTCACCACCTCCTCCTCTCCCCCAGTGTTCCTTCACCCCATTCACTCCTGATAAACAAAGACAGATAGAAGCAGAGCAGGGGTAGGGCAATCGGGTAGCAAGTCTTAGACTCAAGCCAGGCTGGAGTGAGGGCTGGGAGCCTAACCAGTCACTTCTGCTCCCAGCCACCACCACTTCCAGGACGGGTGTGGTGAGAGCAGCGTACCTTCAGGAAGGCTTTCTTCTCCAGGGTGTCCATGATCACGGGGGGAATGGCTGAGGGGAAAGAGAGCAGGGAGGGAGGGAGTTGGTGAACAGTCACCAACTGTGTGAAGGGACCCCCCTTCACAACTTCCACTTCCCCCAGAGTCCTCAAAACCTCTGAAGAATGACCCCCCTCCTCATAGAGCCTCCCGTGCCCCACTGGCCACCCCTGCCTCACCCATGGCAGGAATCGCCATGCAGATTCTTGATATCACCACCTGGAAGATTCCTTGCTTAGCTGCAGTCACGGAGTGTCCCAGTCGCTTCCCCTCCTCATCAGTTACTGGGATGCCCACCTGCAACTCCCTGGAAAGGGGCTGGGTGTCAGATCGCGAGCCCAAAATCCCACCTGCAATGCTCCATCCCTGGGGTCCCAGCAGAAACCCCAGATTCAAAAGCTGGTTCTCCACCCCGGGGTCCCAGGGTCTGACTGAGACTGGGCCCAGCGTCTGCGCCCGCTTCAGGCTCATCTGCCTGGTGGAGGGTATGTGCACAGGCACACTGGTGCGCACGCCAGTGTGAGGAGACACTGGTCATCATGCACAGGAGTCGAGGCCACTCACCGCTGCCTCATCAGGGGGATATTGATGCAGTTGGCAGCTGCCACAGCTGCAAAAGGCACAAACCTGCCAACCAGGGCGGGCAGGTGCTGGGGGAGCAAAGAAGTCATTTAGTGTTCCTGAGGAACACGGAACTCTGGGGAGAGACAGGGGAGCATCAGGTTGGGTGGAGGGGAGGTGGGAAAGAAGGAGGTGAATAAAAGTGAATGGGCTCATCACCTTGGTGAGGGATTTGAGTCCCAGTGCTGTGGCCACAGCGCCAGTGGTGGCGCTCACATATGCTGTTCCCAGCTGCCTGTGGGAGGACAGAGGGGGGAGGTGAACAGTCCAGCACGTGGCCTGTTCCTCCAGACATGCTGCATCCTCAGTCAGGAGGCGGGGGAGGGTGGCCTCATTGTGGAGAATCACCCCTCCCCGCTCCACTGCAGATTTGTCTGGAGGCTCCAATCCCTCCCCAGGAAGAGAAGTGGGCCCTCCAGAGCCCATGCTGGAAGTCAGGCCAAGGAAATGGGGAGGGCTCTCCAGGAACAGGAGGGAGCAGTGGTGGGTGGAGAGAAGAGTCCAAGCCTGCAGCTCTTCTTGGGGATCAGGGCTCACCCCACAGTGATGGGAGCATCACCACTGCGGTTGGAGTAGTTCACGATGGCGTTGAAGGACTGATTCACCCACTGCCAGAACACCACGGTGGGGGTCTTCCTGGGGAAACAGAGACACTTACTTCTGGCCCCTCTGCAGTGTTCCTCATCCATCGGAGCCTGACAATAAACCCCAAACTATTCTCCAAGCCTCAGGAGAGGCCCAGCTTATGGCCCTAGAAGCTGCTGTGGTGCCCCCTACATGATGTCCCGCCCCTGCACAAACACACCCACCATCTGAGTTCCGAGGAACAGAAGGGATGCTAACAAAAGCTCTCCCCACCCACTATTTTCTGCCCAGACTGACCGCGAGAGGAGACACTGGTCATCAAGCCATGCTCCAGCTCAGACAGAATGACCATGGGGCGGGACCTGCCTGTAGAAGGTGAGCATGCAGCCAGTGATGGTCATGTTCATGGGCACCTGGGCTGACATGCGGCCAATCAGGACCAACTTCTCTCCCGTGTCCGGATGGAAGGCAGAGTCGTACACATACTTAGCCCTCCACAGCTGGTCTTCGGTGAGCCCTGGGGTCACCACACCAGCCCTGCAGGCAGGGAGCAGAAAGGCAATTCGAGGGACAGATCCACCCACACCCCTCAGCCCTGCACACCCAGCTCAGGGGAAGTCTGGGCAGAGGATCAGGAACTTTGGCCCCCGATTTTAGAATAAAGGAGCTCCTTGTCTGTGGGGGAAAGTCAAAGCTTCCCAGAAGCAGGGACTCCTATTTCTATTCTCTTCCACCAACACAAAGGGGCACCCCCTTTTATTTCTGCCCAAGTGCTGGGTTATGAGTAACAGTGATTTCCAATGGATCAAAAATGGCTGTGTCTTGCAAGGATTTTTCTTCCTGGAGACAGAAGGAATGCCCTCCTACCTCCCTGGGCCTCTATCCTTGCAAAGGATGGCCCAGCAGAGGATGAGGTCCTTCTAGAGGGTTTGTGAAGCACCGAACAGCCCTTGCCCATAACAGCTGATACCACCTTCACAACCCAAACACCCTAAAGTTCTTTGGGTTAAAGTTCTGTGCCAGAGTCATCTGTGATTCCAGCAGACAAGGCCAGGGAGTGAGGGACCTATGGAGTAGGACAGGGTCACTCTCAAGCTTGGGGAGGAAGGAGGAAAAGGTACTGTTTTAATGGCAGGGAATGAGACCTTGGAGAATGGGGTCAGATGGGGCAGGGGGTCACCTGTAGTTCTGCACGATGCTTCGGGAAGCTTCCAACTGTGCCCCAGACAGCAGCAGATTTCGGGGGTCAGTCACAGTGAAGAAGTGCCGGGCTCTGCCCAGGAAAGTGCTTTGGTCCCAGCGAGGTTCCTGGATGTTGATATCTAAGGGCAATTCACCCATTTTCTGCAGAGCAGGGACCAGGGTCAGAGGATTCCAAGAAAAGCGGTCCAAGGCCTCCACTTGGGGAAGCTCTGATGGACCTATCCTGGTCCCCAGGCCTATCGCCAAGCCCTTCTAGAGCTCAAGGTGACTCCAGATAGGTAGGCAAGGGTATGGGGAGGAGCTGTTTTCTAGGCAATGTCCAGCCCAGGGACCTGCAGCTCTAGAGGAGGGGGAGGGGAGAACAGCACCAGGAAAACAGATCTCCTTTCCCTCTGGCCTGGTGTACTTTCACCAGTGAGGATTTACATGCGTGTGGTTGATGTGTGAGCAGCACCTAACCCTCGTGCAGTCACTCTTGTGCTCTGTAAGCACAGAAAATGTACACTACATGCCTTGCACATCCACATTCCTGACAGGTTTTGGCCCCAGCCTGTTTGGAAAGGGAGTCAGTTACCCTACACCCCAGTCCTTGACTGGAGGGGAGCCAGGGCTCATTGGCCACCCCTGCACTTATCCATGCCAGATCTCAAATAGGGGTCTGATGCCAGCTCTGTGTGTGCGCGTGTGCATGCACAAGTGCCCTCTCTAGACACCTCTTCCCAGACCCACACGGAACAGCCTGAGGCTCTCCTGTTCCCCAGCTGGGCAGGGTTGGCACACACACCTCTCCACCTCTCCCCCAAGTCACCTGTCTCCAGAAAGGAGCAGGATTCAGTAGATGGCCCCCTCCACCGGGAAGAGAGGAAGGCCTGGAGCAGCCATCTGGCTGCAGTGGGCAAAATCCTACAGTGACTAATCTTCTCCAACCACACTTCCTCCCTCACAGGCAGACACACCCTTCTCTCTCTCTCTCTCTCTCTCTCTCTCTCTCTCTCTCTCTCACACACACACACACACACACACACACACACACACACACACCCCAAAAGCAAAGACACCATCATTCACGCCCTACATAGACACACAAACAAGGTGACACACCCTGCACACACTGGTCCATAAAGACCATGACTTGCACACACCCCCCCCACACACCCATCGCGTGCAGACGCTGGAACGCGAGACCACACGGAGCCCCACCTCGACACGGCCCACCCACCCTCCCTGCGACCCTCCCGGGGCCCGAGACGCGGGATTCCCGGGCGGAGAGCGCGCGCCCAGGCGGGCCCCCCTCCCGGCTCCCGGTCCTCACACCCCCGCCCCCGCCCCCGCCCGGCCGCGGGGCGCCGGCACTCACGTCTCGCTGGGCTCGCGGGCTCCGGGCTCCTGGGCTCGCGGCTCCGGGCCTCCGCAGCCGTGAGCCCCGCCTCCCGCCAGCCGCGCCCCCGCCCGGCCGCCCTCGCGCGGCGTCACGCGTGACGCGCCCCAGCCGGGGGCGGGGCCTCCCGGGGCGCGTCCGCCCGGCGAGCCCGAGGATTGGCGGAGCCTGGGGGCGGTGGGAGCTCTTCGGGGCGCCGCCCCCGGCCCGGAGCTAGCGCCCCAGGCTGCCCGCCGGGCCAACCCGCGCTCGGGCATCGGTCGTGGCCCCAGCCGCGGCCAGAGCGCAGGGGAGGCGCGGCGGCCGGTGGCGCCCTTTGCCGGCCGCGCCCCGGCTGACCTCGCGGGCGCCCGGCCTCCGCGCCAGGGGTCCCGGCGCGCGGGGCGAGGCTGCGCCCGCAGGCGGGCGGCGTGAAGGACCCGTTTTCTGATGATGCGCCCGGAGGGACTCGGGTTACCGCCTGGCTGTTTACTTGGCTGCCTTGGCAATGACCTCTGCCTACTTGGCCCCCTGGGCTCCTACCCCAGTGCCCGTTAAGCACCTTGACATTCACACCCCTTCACACCCCGATCCTCTCGTGCCCGTGCTGTGTCCCCAACCCTTTCCTCCTCCACAGCCCCTCCCGACGCCCTCCGTGGCCTCTAGCTCCCCTGGGTCCCCACCTCCTTACACCCCCAGTGCTTGCTCCCGCACCGCGGACATTAACCTCGGGCCCCGGGGTGGAGGGGCGGAAGCTCAAGGGACCTGTCCGCATCCAGCAAGTGGATGAGAAGAATTCCTCCTCCCCTTAGTGCCCCGGGGCCAGCTCCCCGGCCGCGGGTCCTTTCCAGGACCGATTACCCGGAGAGACGCGCTGACCTAGGAGGGCGCCTGGGAAGATGGCCACACTCTGCACACACACCCACAACTCAGCCGCCGGACGGAAAGTGCTCGCCTCCCTCCCCACAGCAAGGCTGGGGCCCCGGCTCCTGTCCTCCTGCCCAGGTGGCCTTCCCTCACTGAGCCTCGGGAGGACTGCGGACAGGTGGCAATTCCAGGACCCCGGGTCGCTGGGTTGGCCGGGAGAAGCCACGGTTCTGGGAATCGGGCCAACTGAGACCCAAACCCTAGGTTCGGGGAGCGGGGTGTGGCGGCAGAACTCGAACCGGAGCTGGTAGAACCCAGCGGCCCGCAGCCCAGGTGACAAACGACTGTTCTGGGCTCCCAAGGTGGCGGAGGGAGTGACAGGCAGCCCTCCTAGCCAACGGGAATCCGGGGCTGCGCGGGCCAGCCCTATTCCTGCAGCCTCGGCGGATCCGGGCGGGGCTCCCCAGTCTGCGGCAGTCGCTCGCGCCCGCCCGCGGGCAGGCAAGGCCAGCAGCCCTCCACGCAAGCAGGTGAGGGGGGCCGGACCGGAGAGGTGGGGGGCCGGGAGGATCCAGCCGGCGGTGCGGTGCTGTGTTTTGGATGCCATGGTTGCTCTGGGGGACTTGTCCCGGGTTTTTGTGGGATGCTGTGGGGCTCCAGCAGGGAGGTCCTGCCCCCAAATCTGGGAGAGGTTCATCACAACCTCTTTAGACGGAGAGGACAGGAAGACGACTGCTACCCTGAGCCTGGGGATCTGTTGGGGACCAGGAAATCTCTGGGTCCCTTAGTTTGCAGCTGTCCAGATTCTGAAGCTCTGACCTTGAGGCCAAGAGGGGGCAGCAGGGATGGCTGGCTCCCTATCCAGTTGCAGAGTGCAGTGAATTGTTCCGACCACATTTTCTCTCGCACTGCTTGAAGCCCCAGGGCCTGCAATAACCCCATCTCCACCCTCTGATCCTCTCAGAACTGATGACTCAGCTGAGAGAAGGCATGAGAGGGCAAGGAGAGGCGTCCACCCCCTTGAGCAAATAGCTCCAGAAGTCCATGATGGTGGCTGAACTGGGCAGTTCCTTGAGGGGGGTGGGAGAAGTGAGGGGCCTGAGGCATGGGGTCTGAATCTCAAAGCTGGGGGAGGACAGGGAATTCTGGGGAACAGCAGGCGCTGCCTGGACACCCCTCCCCCAAACTGAGCTCTCCCTGAGCAGGCCTGGAGCACACACTCCTCAGAGCAGCGAGGTGGGAGACTCCAGTTCACTGAGACCCCAGTCCTGCGGAGCAGGCTCATGGAGGCCAGAGCCCGCGACACCCTCCACCAGAGGGCTAGCAGGTTCCTTCTGGACCCTTAGGGCACTGCCCCAGTTCAGCCACCATGGCGCAGAGCTTCACAGTGGGCTCCGACCCTCTGGGCCTGGGGGACCTGAGCTCCAGCTCTCTGAGCACCCTCTCCTCCCGAGGCCACCTGGGCATCGACTCTGGCTCCGCAACGCGATACCTGCTGAGAAAGCAGCAGCGGCTGCTGAATGGGCCCCCCCGCGGAATTCGAGCTTCATCGCCCATGGGCCGAGTCATCCTCATCAACTCCCCCATTGAAGGTGGGGGCCTGGAAGCTGAGGGTGGGGGTAGAGGACTGCAGGCACTAAGGTGGAGGAGGTAGGGCCAAGTTGGGTGGGGGAACTCCAGAGATGAGAATCTTAGGGGCATGCGGAACCCTCTGGAAATCCATTCACCCTTCTTCATCTATCCTTTTCACTTCTCCAGGCCAGTCCTTTAGGGCTCCAGGGGCATGGTGCAGGGAAAGGTGTGTGTGTGCTTGTGTGTGTGTGCTTGTGTGTGTGTGTGTGTGTATGTTGTGCTAGCCCCCCTGTGAGCAAGGCATGGTGTTAAGCTGACCTCTTCCTCCCATGGACCCTTCCTTTCTCTCAACCCATTTGTGTATCCTTTAGGGGATACAGGATGGAGAAGGACATCCCCCATCAACCCGCCCACTGTGTGATCAGCTCTGTGCTGGACTGTGAGGAGTCAGTGCCCAGTTGCGAGTCAGAAGGAAAAACCTCAGGTGGAAAGGAAGGAAGGTAGAGCTGTCAGTGTTCTGGAGAGGAGGAGAAGAGGAGGGTGGAGGGTCAGGGAGGAAGCCACAGGGCTGAGGCCTGAAGGAGAAGGAGAGCTAAGCTGATGTAGTTACTTAACGCTGTTTCGTTGCGTGCGAATTTCTTCTCAGCCTGGTTAGGTCCTGCAGGAGACCCAGAGAGAAAAAACACCCAGCCGTCAACTTCCAGAAATGTGCGACATAGCAGGCTAGAAACGGAGCACTAGAGTAATTTGTGTGGGGGAGAGCGGTGGGGGCAGGCATCACAGACAAGAACTGGAGTGAAAAGGAGGACAGCAGGGCGGGCACTGAGGAGAAAGCTTGGCTGCAGTGACAGATGTGAAGCGACAAAGAGCCGGTGAGCAAGGTAGGAGCTTGAACGCCAGGGGAGGAACGGTCCCCTGGGCCTGAGCTTTGTGTGCACGGGAAGGACCAGATAAATATCTCCAGCCTCTTGCCCTCCCCCCTCCCCCGCCACAGAGCTTCCCTGGCTAGACCCCAGGCTGGACTTCTTAGCGCCTGCTCGCAGGGCACCTGCTTCCCTCCCCCGGCTGGGGCAAGGGTGGAGGCTTTCCTGCAGCAGTTCCGGGTGCTTACCCCACCTCACCCACCATATTGGCCTCACCTTGGGTGAACAGTAGGGCATTGCTGAGGTCGCCATTGTCATCCGGGGCATGGAGTCCGCAGAGGAGCTAGGTGACGTGCAGGGGAGAGTTGAGGGCCTGCAGCACGGCCCTTGTCAATCCCATTTTACTAAAAGAGCTGTGCTTTACTCCCGCCCACACCCCACACACGCGCATGCCCAGCCATGACACAGGGTTACGTACACCAGCCCTGAGGATCCTCTCCCAGAAGTTCCCAGATTTCTCTCTCCCTCTGTCCCCACGGCACCAGTACCTCAGTGCAGCTAGGGGAGCAACCTCTCCAAACATTGGGAGGTCTGGGCACTGCTCGCACGGTTTGGGGGGGCGCCCTACCCCTGTGCTCTGAGCGCTGCCTGAGCACAAACATCTCCTAACTGGAGCAGCTTTGAGCCCCTCCCCCATGTTCTTAGACCATCCCAGGGGTATAAAGTAATGGAAAAGGGAGATGCCATGGGAAGAACACCCACGTGGGAAGACATGCACAGCACCCCCAAGCTTCCACCAGCTCCTCAAACTCAACTGGTCCCAGAGTAACTGGATTATCTTTAATCCAAATCAGCCCTTTATTCATTTATTCATTTATTCATTCATTTATTTATTCATTCATTCATCCACCCACTTTTCCTTTCTTTTAGTCAAAGAATAGCAAATACCAAGCACCATGCACCCTACTGGGGACAGGCAGGTGGTAATGAGTCACCAGGTCCCCACTGTGGTTGATTACTGCAGAGGGGAAGAAGACAGAAAGTGAATAATATGCAAATAAGCAAAGAATGAGAAAGTTTGGTAAGAATCTCAAAGGTACTATTGTGGATGATATGATAGGTGGTTCTCAAACTTTAAGATACATCAGAACCGCTGCAGGTGGAGAGGCTTGTTTATTTTTTTTAAAGATTTATTTATTTATATATAAGAATTGGGGTACAGGCCAAAGATGTGGGGGGTGAGAGGATTCACCAGAGACAGAGTGGGAAACAGAACAGGCAGACGGACTGAAGTACACTGCTGAGGGGAGCAGCGGGCGAGACAGGAGAGGTCTGTCCAGCCATGTGGGTTTCTCTCTGGCCGGCTGGGAATCGAACTCGTGCTGCAGTGGCTGCGGATTGCTTCATAGGTTGCGTCTTAATCCCTGCGCCACCAGGGAGGCACAGAGAGGCTTGTTTAAAGGCAGATTGCTGAGCCCTCTACCTAGAGCTTCTGATCCAGCGGCCCTGCAGGGAAGGCCGAGAAGCCACATGTCATTACGTTCCAGGCACCGCCGCTGCTCTGGAGAGCACACTTTGAGAACCGCTCCAACAGAGACTTTCTGGCAGGAGGTAGAAGGGACTTCTTTCACCCAGAAAGATTTCTCTGAGTGTGCAGGCTCTGGGCCAGAAGGGATCGAGGAATGGCATCTGGCTTTATAAAAGTCCAGGCAAGAGTATCACAGGCTGAGTGTTCCCTGGCCAGTGAAAGGCACAGGAAGATCAGTGTAGCCAAAGTTCAGTGATCGTGAGTGGTGAGGGCAGAAAGGTAGGCAGAGGAACACCTGTTCAGGGCCTAATTGGGGGTGGCTAGAGTTCATTCTAGAAGGAGGAGCAGGTGTTGAAGTTTCTATTCAGGGGAAAGCGTGACCTATTATAAAAGATGACTCAGGCCACTGCGTCGAGAATGGATAAAGGGGGGCAAATACAGAAATGGGGAGATAGTGAGGAGGCTGCTGCTAAGTGCCTGCAGGGAGAGGTTCCTGTCCCTGGCCTGAGCAATGGAAGTAGAGAAACCCCAGATTTGACATATCCCTGGCACAGGACCCTGGGGAAGCCCTAGCGGGGGGGGGACTGAGGAGAAAGAGGGTTGGGGAGGGAGAGCCACAGGTTCCTGGACTGGGCCAAAAACGTGCCGAGACCTGTGCAGAGAGAACCAGCCAGGAAGCACCAGGACTTCCTGTCCCTGCCTCGGGCTGCCCTCAGGGATTTCTTCCTGAGCCATCCTGGTCATGCACTGTCACCTTATTTCTTTTAGATCAAATAGGTTTGTGTGTGTGTGTGTGTGTGTGTGTGTGCGCGCGCGTGTGATTTCTCTTTTTCAAACACCTCTAGAGGAAGCCTTGCCCTTGACCTCAACTGGGCTCCAACCCCCCCCCCCAACACTCCCCTCTAGCCAACAGGCTTCTCCAGGACCCACCGCCCGAGCTTTGCTTCCTCCCGCTCCTTGTCAGTGTCCTCCACTCCCCTTCACTCATCCTCATCCCACCCAACTTAGTCCCCTGAGAACCTTCCTGACAGCTCCAGCTCCTGGGGAGCCCCCTCCCCTGCCTTTCCTGGGGCTCATAGAGGGCACCCTGGGGCTGGGCACATGGCAGCATGGACCCATTTGGGGTGTAATCAGGAGCACCAGAACCCTTAGCTCCAGAATCACACAGTCAAAAAAAAAAAAAAAATAGAAGGGGCTTCAGAGATCCTTCCACACTGTTCCAGACGGCGATTTACCAAGTCCCAGCTTGTATGCCTCCAAATAGTGGGGACTCATTACCTATCCTGGAAAACTCATTTCACTGTCAGACAACTAAAGGTTTTAGAAAGTTTCCTCTTACTAAATTTATCTCCATCTAACTCCATTATGAGGGCTGGGCTCTGCCCTCTGGGTTACACAGATAAAACATCTAATGCCTCTCACAGAATATCTCTTCAACTACTTGAAGAGGAGATAACATGCTTATTTTTGCTGCAAACTGAAGAACCCAGATACACACACACACACTGAGGGGAGAACAGTGTCTTCTAGCATGGAGTCTTGTCCTGCTTGCTCCCACACCCTCCTGGGCCTGTGGTCTCAAAATCACCTGAGAGCACTCAGAAATTGGCTGTACACCACCCCCACCCTCACCCCCCGCCCCCCAACATTTAGGGCCCTAGGTACCTGTGTCCAGCAAGCCAGTCTTTGCAGACCCTAAGGTGAGAAACCCAGGGGTGCTCTGTGCCCAGCATGGGCAGGGAATCATGCCTGGGCCACTACCCACAGCCAACAGTGACGAGAGCGACATCATCCATGCGGTCCGAGTGGAGAAGAGCCCAGCGGGGCGGCTGGGGTTCAGTGTGCGGGGAGGCTCTGAGCACGGCCTGGGCATCTTTGTCAGCAAGGTGGAGGAGGGGAGCAGTGCAGGTGAGCAGCCCCCAGTGGCCACATTCTGGCTTAGGATGTGACCCCCACCCTGGGGAGGCCTGGGATGCTGTTGTCAGGATGGAAGGAAAGCGCTCTCAGCTTTGGAGGGCCTGATCTGATAGGGAGACAGGGCCCCCCTCAGAAAAAAGTGGGCTAATTTCAGGTCCCTAGTGAGACCCTAAGTGGGGATCCCCAATCTGGTGGAAGCAGCTTAGTTTCACCCCAGGGGGCCGGGTCTGATGGGAGAGTCTCAACCTTACTCAGAGGGACTTTTCCCAAGGGGCTCACGCCAGCCACCCCTCTTCCCTGGAGCAGAGCAGGCTGGGCTGTGCGTGGGGGACAAGATCACGGAGGTGAACGGGCTGAGCCTGGAGAGCACCACCATGGGCAGTGCCGTGAAGGTGCTGACAGGCAGCAGCCGCCTGCACATGATGGTGAGGCGCATGGGCCGCGTGCCGGGCATCAAATTCTCCAAGGAGAAGACCACGTGGTGAGAACGCCTGCTTCGGCCCTGACCTCACCCCACCCTGTGCACCCCAGCACCACCACCCAAAGCCCAGGCAGGCGAGGCTGAGGGCAGGGGGCACCTGGCTAGTATGGCTTCTGCTCCCCCTGCCCTCTGGCAAGAAACATGGTCCCTAAGACCTGACATGGCAGTGGGGGAAGGGCCCTGTCTGTCCCCCAGTCCTCCGCTAACAGCCCTTCTATCCAGACCCCAGTGACACCCCTCCCACCCCCTACTGCCAGCCCAGAGAGCCACGGTACCTCTCCCTCAGGGGCCTCGTGAGGATTCCAAAGGGGGCCTCACGCCAGGTCACTGTCCCACTGAAGATCTCAGGTTGGGGAGTCCCCCAAAGGCACCCCTCCTTTCCCCTGCAGGGAGGGGGGATGGCTGTGGATTGGGGCGCAGGCAGGGGCCCCTTGCTATCGTCCCAGGGTGGATGTGGTGAACCGGCGGCTGGTGGTGGAGAAGTGTGGCTCCACGCCCTCCCGCAGCAGCTCCGAGGAGGGCGCTCGGCGCCGCATTGTGCATCTCTACACGACCTCCGACGACTTCTGCCTGGGGTTCAACATCCGCGGGGGCAAGGAGTTTGGCCTGGGCATCTACGTCTCCAAGTGAGGGCTGGGCTGGGCAGGAATCAGGCTGGGAACAGGCCCGGGCTGGGCCGGGGAGGGGTCAGCAAGTGAGGTCTGGCCATCCACACATCTAGATGGGGGTCTAGGTCAGGGCTGGGACCTGGGGAGGAGCCGAGTGTCCCCAGGAGAAGGCCAAGAAGCTGAAGTGGGGCAGCTCTGCACCCCAGTGAAGCATCAGAACAGGGCACAGCAGGGCCGGCGGGCAGCCTGTCATACCACTGCCTGTCTGACCCCAGAGTGGACCGTGGTGGGCTGGCGGAAGAGAACGGCATCAAGGTGGGGGACCAGGTCCTGGCGGCCAACGGGGTCAGGTTCGACGACATCAGCCACAGCCAGGCCGTGGAGGTGCTAAAGGGCCAAACGCACATCATGTTGACCGTCAAGGTGGGCAGCCCTGAGGGAGTTGGGGAAGGCTCGCCCGAGCACTAGCGCACCGGATTATGCCTGTAGCTCTGCCATTTCTGACTTTTCCTCTGCCCTGTGGGAGGTAGAGCAGGTGTTGTTCTCTCCCCATTTTGTAGACAAAGAGACTGAGGTTCAAAAAGGTAAAATGACTCAGGAACCACAGTCAGTTACCCCACTGGCTCCAGGCCTCCTCCCCGATGCCTAGGGTGGTGCCCCTTCTTATGACTGTGGAGACCTAAGGTGGAAAGGAAAAAATGTCCTGCCCAGGAGGGTGGAGTGGAAGCTGTGGCTTTGGCAGGGCCCAAGTGATGGGCATCCTCAGGGCACAGGGCAAGGAAGGCTGGGCTGGAGCCAGAGATTGGATTTCAGGGGAGGCCACTGGATTCATTATTCATGTGGGTCTCACACGTCCCTGAGGATCGGGTCCTTCTTACTCTACTCCTGGAGGAGGGGATGCCTCATTCTCCCAGTTCCCAATCCTTCCTTTCCTCTTCCCCAGGCCTTCACCCATCTCACCATACAGTGCCTCTCTCCCCGCGCCCGTACTGCCTGTGCTTCCCTCCACCGCATCCCATCTCTCTCTTTGCTCTCATACTATCCCAAAGGCAACTCCTCTCCCACTCTGCCCCCCCATTCATTCCCCCAATATTTTTTTTAAAGATTTATTTATTTATTTATTTATACAAGCACTGGGTACAGTCAGAAGCACGGAAGGGTGAGAGAATTCACCAGAGCCAGAGCGGGGAACAGAACAGGCAGACTGACGAAGAAGTACACTGCTGAGGGGAGCAGCGGGCGGCAGGAGAGGTCTGCGCGCCACGTGGGACCCTCCTCCGGAGCCAGGGAGCAGCCAGGGATCGAACCGGCACAGCAGAGGCTGCAGGCAGCTTTGCAACCCAGCGCTCAACTGCTGTACCACCCGGGAGGCCCCCCCAATATTTTTGATTACCTCTTACATGACAGCCACTATACCAGGTTCTGGGGCTACAACAGGAAACAAGACAGAGAAGATCTCTGTTACTGGGACCAGAAAAACTAGATAATTGCAGATTGTGGAAATGAACAGAGAAATGTGATGGGTTATTTCAGGAAGGCCCTTTTAGCCAGGGGGTCCCAATCTGACCTCTCTGAGAAGGAGACACCTGAAGAAGGAGAAGGAGTTAGCCACAAGATGACTAAAGGAAGAGAATCCAGGCAGCTGGAACAGCATGTGCAAAGGCCCTGGGGTACAAAAGAACTTGGCATGTTCAGCAATAAAGCAACCCTGTGACTAGAACATGATGAACTCAAAGAGTAGTAGGGTTGTAAAGTTTCTCCTGTCCCATTGTACCCCCATGCTTACCCTCTTTCTCACCCACTCCCCAACCCCCCTTATCCCCACCTTCCATCACCCTACCTCCTACCTTCCCACCCTCCATGCCCCCATAACTACCTCTTATCCCCTCATATCCCCCCTCCCCAGGAGACCGGCCGGTACCCTGCCTACAAGGAGATGGTTTCTGAGTATTGTTGGCTGGACCGACGTAAGTGACGCACACCCCCAGGTGGGGCCAAAATCCCTGAAGGATAAATGGGCAGGGAGTCCAAGGTCTCCTAGGACTTTCACACTGTCCGGCGCCCATTCCCCTTGGAGAAGTTTCAGATTAATTTCCAGGTTCCCATGGGTCTGGAGTCTCGGGGTGGATGGAGAAGTGACCTGCCTAAGGTCTCTCAGCAACGGTTCCCCATACGGGGTGGCTGCCTCTCCCTCCTCTCCCCCCAAGCCCAGCAGCAGTCTGCAAGCCTGGCAGGGTCCTGAAGCCATCTGGCCAGACCCCTGAGACTGCCTGCCTTCCCCATTCCCCAGTGAGCAACGGGGTGCTGCAGCAGCTGTGCCCGGCCTCCGAGAGCAGCTCCAGCGTCTCCTCGTGTGCCTCTAGCGCCCCCTACAGCTCGGCCGAGGGCTCGGGCTCCCTGCTCTCCGACCGCGCAGATGTCTGTCTGGGCCCTGAGGAGCCCGGCAGCCTGAGCCCAGGCTGGGGTCGCGCCGACACAGCCATGCAGACAGACCCCGACATGGGGGGCCGCGTGGAGACCTGGTGCAGCGTGCGGCCCACAGTTATTCTCAGGGACACAGCCATCCGCTCCGACGGACGCCCGGCTGCCCGCCGCCTGGACTCTGCGCTCTCGGAATCCCCCAAGACAGCTCTGCTGTTGGCCCTCAGCAGACCCCGGCCCCCCATCACACGCTCTCAGAGCCACCTGACCTTGTGGGGTACGTGGTCGGGGGGCCGGTGGCTCCAAAACTCCCCAGCTCCAAACCTGCCTCACGCCCTGTTCTGGGCCCCAATCCACCTTTCATCCCTGGTCTTGATCCAGTTCCAGCCCAGCCCAGCCACGACCTCCGCCCTAGACTACACTCAGACACTGCTGGGTGCTCCATTTTAAACTGGTCCAAGCCCCAAACCTACCCTCAGCCCCAGCCCCAGCTCCTGCCAACTGCTGTCAACCCAACCAGCCCTAACTCAGCCCCGGCATCCTGGAGTGCTCTGCCTGTTTACACACACATCCCACCATCCAGATTCTCTTCACATAGTAGCTATGAGGTGGGGGATGGGTGAAAAATTGGAGGAGGCACCCCCACTCCATCCCCACACCCCCTTCCTATACCACTGCAGATCCTGTCCACCCCTTCCTTTGCCTTCTCTCTGCCCCTCCCCATACCCCTGCACCTCTTCGTTCCCTTCTGCCCACCCCTCCAGCCCCCTGGGTGCTCCCTCGTGTCTGCAGAGGAGAAGAAGCAGCGGAAGAAGGAGAAGTTTGGGTCCTCTGGGGAGAAGGGGGCCCTGCAACGTTCCAAGACCCTGATGAACCTCTTCGTCAAGGGAGGGCGGCAGGGGCGGCAGACAGGAGACGGGCGCAGAGAGGCCTGGACACTGGACAGGGGCAGCCCCAGCAAGCCTCGCCCTTGCCTAGACATGGAGAAAGGTGAGTGCTGGCTGTCAGGGGAGGAGGGCAGAGGTAAAATATAAACCCCACACTGCTTCTTACTAGCTGTGAATCCACCCTGTGCACCTCAGTTTCCTCGTAAGTAGATGGAAGCAATAATACCTACAGCTTTAGGAATAGTGAGGAGTCAGTGTATTGTATATGTGGATCACTTAGAACACTATCTGGTACACAGAAGGGGTTCTGGAAATAAAGTAGTCATTGTTATACCCATTTCACAGAAGGGAAAACTGCTAGAGTCACTGATAACAAGGAATGGAAGAGCGTTTGGGTCCAATCCCCGTGTTCTTGGTGCTGAGGGGAAGAGGGTACCACTTTCCTAGAGCAACTGGCTTTGCCTCCCTGGCCAGAGTTTACACAGTTCTAGAACCACCCTAGAGCAGGGCAATTTCTAGAACAGGACACAGGCAGGATGGCATAGGCAAGCTTCACTACTGCCAGGCATTTCCTTGGGACCCTCACAGAGGGCCTCATCTCTGGTGAGGTTTGGAAACCGGGAGTAGATGAGTTAAGGCTTGTGGGGCTGCATGTGACAGAAACTCAATTTAGCTTTAAAAGGAACTTGTTGGCGAAGCTAGTGATTTAAGCTGGAGTAAAGGTGTAAACAGTCTCACCAGACATCGGCCCCTCCATCTTTTGGTTCCTGGTTGGCGTCACTGTCACGCAGTCTTTGCCTACTAGGAGTTAAGATGGCCACGGTCACTTAGCAACACAGCGGAAAGAGAGCTGCTCCTTAAAAACTTGCAGCTGAAGCCCCAGACCCGTGGCTTGCTGGAATCACTTGACCAGCAAATCACTGTGTCAGGGAGGGGATGCGTTCAGGGGTCAGGTCGGGGCATTGCCCACCTGGAGTACAGGCACTGAGAAGGGGTCCCCAGGTGAAATCAGGGTGGTGTTTCCAGAAGGGAGAGTGGATGTTGGGTAGGCAAAAGCAACCAGAGGATGAGGACTTAGGCCCTGCCCCTCCTTGAGGTCAGAGGAGACAGACCCATGGGTGCGAAATAATGCCTCAAATCAGAGCAGGCCAGGCCCCTGCCTCAACCCTCTCTTCCCACAGCCCCCGGGGTCCTGCTCTCTCCTGGTTGTCCCGACACCTCTCTCGCCACTCCTCTGTCTTCCTCAAAGGTTCCTCTTTCTCTGTCTGTCCTCTGAAGGTAGGTGCTATCCTAAGCTTTGTCCTTGGGCTTCTGCCCCCATTTATTTGCTTCCAAGTGAACTTCCATAAGCAGAGGTCACACCGCGGTCACACTGTTCTTGATGGAAAACCCTCACTTGCTCCCCACTGCCTATAAATGAGGTCCTAACCCGAGCCTGGCCTTCCAGCCCTGCGTGACCTGGCCCCTTGCCCGCCTGCCCTGCCCCTCCCGGCCTGACCTCTCCATTCAGTCATTTACACAGTCAGTCCTGAGGCCCAAGCCCCTGTTTTTAGATCGGGGGCCTGAGTCTTCAGCTGAGACTTTCTTCTTCATAGCAGGGGGACTGGGGCCCGTGCAGAAGTTTGTCACCTGGAGACTGAGACGTGGTAATTCGTGCATCTCTTCCTTTGCCAAAGCTTGCTTTATAGTAAAGCTGCCAATGGGGTGCATGTTGGGGACAGCCCAGGGGCTAAACTTAGCTGGGGTTCAGCATGGGAGCTCAGGCAGATAAGGAGGTGCATAACCGGGGCAGCTAAAAGAATTCGACTAAGCATAGTAGGAGAGATAGGGTTTCAGACAGATATTGGGATGCATGACTGGGGAGCTTGGGTTGAGACTCCCAAAGATAGATTTAGGGACAATGGTGGCCCCTGTGCTAGAACGCTAACGAGGGAACAGACTAGAATGACAGTGCATGTTCGGCAGCCTAGAGGATGGTGGGCTAGTGCTCCACGAAGGAATAGAGAGGGGTCTGTGTTGGGGGGCTGAGAGGCCTGGGTTGGAACTCCACTTAGGAGCAGATTGCTGCGGGAAACCATAAGGAGGAACATTTGGGCTGGAATTCTGTTGGGGATGCCTTGGCCTCTCAGCTGGCCTGTCCTGGGGTCTGACGCTCACCAAGGGAAGCCCCTGGCCCCTCCCCTGATGACTCCTGGACCCATCATTATACCCCTATGCTCCTGCCTTGCAGACCGGGAGAGGGGCCGGGTCCCGCTCTCTGCCAGGTCCGGGAGCCCCTCCAGCCAGCTGCCCAGTGTGGACGAGCGGGTGCAGGCCTGGGAGAGCCGTCAGCCCCTTATTCAGGACCTGGCCCGGCGGCTGCTGACCGATGATGAGGTGCTGGCAGTCACCCGCCACTGCTCCCGGGTGAGCCTCCAGAGCCTGCCCCCACTCAGCACAAGGCCACCCCTCAGTCTCCTCACCCCTCATTCATTCAGGTCACAGTGTGCCGGGGTCAGCCCCTGTGACACCAGTGGTCAGTAAAAGCAGAAATCACACACACTCAGCCATCACAGTCAGGAAGGGGAGATAGATAGACACTAACACAATAATTAGAACCTAAACACTAATACATAGTGACAAATCATGCAAGCTGCTGTGAAGGGAAAACCATATGACAACCCAAGAGGCACAAATGAGATGGTGTGGTCTGGGAGGGCCACCCAGAGGAGGTGATATTTAAGCTGAGGAGGAGTCAGGCAGGAGTGGGGAGACGTGACTCCCTGCATTTACCTGCCTCTGCTGTCCTCTAAGCCCAGCTGCTCTCCATGCTTCCTTCTGCTCCTGGGTCAGGCCACAGGCCGGGCCTTGTGCCAGGCCCCCTCCCCTGTTACCCAAGTCAGTAAGCCTTTGTCCTCCCACACACCTCAAGCCTCTCCCAACTCCTACCCTGTTGTTGTGTTCCCTTCTACTTCAAACAGAACTAGAGGGCCTCAGGGTGGGGCGGAGCTAGATTTGAGAGAGTCTTTGTAGCCTAAATGTTGGGAAGGTGCAGGAGGGTTGTTCTGACTCAGAAACACCCAGGTTTTCTGTCAAGGGTTCTGTGTAATGAATCTGTGTCAGCGCCTGTAAGCCTGAATGTACCGGCAAGCAGAGGAGTTTCAAGAAATCATTTGTGGCTCCCCACACCTCCTCACCTCCGTCAGGGTGAGGCTGTGTTGCATATCCGTGTGATGTATGCATGTGTCTGTGGGGGTACCTGTGTTTTTGTTGATTTAGCTGTGTGACCTTATCTGTGTGTGAGTGTGCACGTGTGTGTCACTTGAAGACTGAGGCACAGTAATTCATGCATCCTTTTACCAAGACCACATTTGCAGCAGAGATGCAGATAGGGACGCATGTTGGGGAGCAGCTGAGAGCCTCTGTGCTAAGCCAAGTATCAGCCAGGATTCTGAGGGCTAAGTGGAGCTTAGTGTGTCTGCCTCCTGTGAGCTGCGACTATGGATTCTGGCCACTAGGTGGGGCTCTGTGTCTGTTTCCCTCTGCCTCATCCCTCTGCTCCTCCCACCCTGCAAAGGGCAGGGCCCCTCACTGTGCCCCTGTACAGAATACCTGAGGGTCTATGCATACCAGCCAAACCTGACCCAGCCCCATGCACACCAAGACATCAGACCCTCTGGAGTGGAGACCTGGACAGAGTGATAGCAAACACCCCTAGTGACTCAAACTTGTAACTCCAGAACCCAGGCCTCCCTCCACTCTCGCCCTAGCGGTCTCCTCACAGCCTCAGACCAGGCATTGTAACCACTCTCTGAACACTTTACACCCCCTCAGTAATCCTTTATCTGGCAGAAGAGAGAGCACATTCTCTGTCCTCACATTCAAGGCCCTCCCTGATTTAACTCCCAACCCACTAACCTCAGCGTTCTCATCATCACCACATTATCACCTCCCCCATCACACATAGGCACATACAGGTTATCAACTACACGGCTCTAGGCGGTCCTGCTCACAGATGTAGTCACACCTACAGAAGGCCCTTCCTGTATCCCGTGGTCAAGTTTAGCCTCCATCTGCTGTTATTCTCCATCACCCATGGAATGCTTTGCTCCAGCTTTTATGCTGTCACTGCATCTCTCCTCCAGTGTAGTCAGTGTCAGTGCCACCACCTCCGAGACACCTACTCTGATCTCACCTTCCTCTGAGACACCCTATGCCCCATTGCCAGTGGTTTGTGGTTATTTGGGGTACATGGCTCTTTCTAACCCTCATTCCCATTAGACTGAGTTTCCTGTTATCTGGAACAGGGTCTAAATTGTTGTGCCCCCATTGTCCAGGACAAGGCCTGGCCCCTGGTGCATGCAGAATGCAGATTTGTGGACTTGAAATGCGTGCACATATGTGGCTGGTTCTATGCAATTACATGTATCTCTTGCCAGACAAAAGGAGAGTATTGTCAATTTGTGTATGTATGCGTCCCTGTGACTTTGTGTGTGGTTTTGGGCCACACACATAGTTTATAGTTTATGTCCAGTTATTTATGAATGTCTCTCCCTGCCCACCAGGGCACACTGTGTCTCTGTGTCTACCCCTAAGGGCGCTGTCTCTGAATCAGTGTGTGTCTCACCACCAGGGGGCGCTTGCCATCCAAGTAGGGCGGCTGCCAGTGTTGAGTTAGTTGGTTTGCAGGGGTGGGTGGGGTGTGGCTGGTGGCATCCGGGCAGTGCCTGGTAGAAAAGCCTCCGCACCCCTGGGAACTGACTGGAGAGGCCTTCTGGAGAGCCACCCCTTCCCCAAGGTCCCCATAACATCCCTGAACAAAGCTCAATTTGTAGGTCTGTAAGCAGACACGCGCTGGGGCAGCAGGCCCACAGCCTAGCTTTGGCTCTCTTCCTTCCTTCTGGCAGGGCAGTGGGGGTGGGGAGGCGAGTCCGCTCCTTGTACATCCTTTTCCGCCACCAGAGCAAGCAAGAGCCAGATTTCTCAGGTTCCAGGCCCTCTTTGCACTTCCTTGTCTGTGTGGCCAGAGGCCAAGGCCTCCTCTCCAGCCTCACTCCTCATCCCATCATAACGGGAAGGGTTAACGTCAGGGAGGTTGCTAAGCGTGAGGGCTTAGGAGAGTGTCGTCCCAGAGCTGCCATATTGTCGTTGCTGTTACAGTTCTGTTGTTATTATTTCTTTTTAAATAGTGTTTTATTTCCCAAAATGTGTCCAGGTGGTGGAATCTGTACACGCATCTTCAGAAGCAAGGGCACCTCCACCCTTGCTGTTTTTGGTGTCCATTCCTTGAGCTCTGTGTTTTGAAACCAGTTTGCTAAGTTCTTTCCTGAGGAGCTCCTGCAGGGCCGCGGAACCCCGAGTCTTCAGTCTCAGATACGACAGCGGGGGTTCGAACCTGTGGTTGGGAACTTCCTTGCGGAGGTTGTCACGTGCCGCTCTCCCAAGCAAGACTAAGTTATTGAGCTTGTCCTGAACTTTGCCTTTGGACCACTTCTATATTTTGGCCTTGCCCCCAGATTTGTGCACTGGGGTTTTGTCTTTCTTGGCCGACTTGCCACGTCTTTCTTCGTGTGTCCTCGTTGGGTGGCATCACGGAGCTCGGAGAGCAGCAGCTAGCACAGCAGCCTTGCTAGGATGTCAGACAAAAAGGAAGAAAGTCTGTTATTATCGCCCGCTTCCACATAGGCACCAGGATAAGACCATCCAGGGCAGCCTGGTGATAGGGAGAAACTTTCCTAACCCCGGGGAGGGCTCTGCCTACCCAGGCATGCTCCCCCCCTCAGCTGCCCCTCTCTGCAGTACGTGCACGAGGGCGGCGTGGAGGACCTGGTGAGGCCCCTGCTGGCCATTCTGGACCGGCCTACCAAGCTGCTGCTGCTGAGGGACATCAGGTGTGGGGGATCATTGGGGAGGGCTGGGGAGAGGAGGGAGGCCCCTGATATGGCCCCCCAACCTTCCCAGGACCGAAATCCCTGCTGGCACCTCCAGAACTGAACCCTGCACCTTTGCCCTCTCCCGCAGGAGCGTGGTGGCCCCCACAGACCTGGGGCGCTTCGACAGCATGGTGATGCCCATCGAACTGGAGGCTTTTGAGGCTCTCAAGAGCAGGGCAGGTCAGCAGCTGAGGGACAGGACTGGTGGGGAGGAGGGTGGCTTTCCCGGTGGAGAGGAGTGCAGAATGCCCCTTCAGCGTGGGCATCAGGGAGCCAGCCGGTGTCCCCTGCCTCTGATCTGTTCTCCTCTCTGCCCAGTATGGCCTCCTGCTTTGCGACCAGCCCGGCAGGACACACCGCCCAAGCGTCACCTCATCACCCCTGTGCCTGGTTAGTCAGAGCCCCAGAGGCTGGGGAGGGGCACCCCCGGGGACATGGCAGGGAGAGTGGCTTCCACTCCTGCTGTGCTGGGGCTGTGGCTTCAGAGCTGCGCTCCCTTATCCACCAAAACCATTTCGAGCACTGCCACCACCACCTGTGCTATTATTCACCAAATTGGCTTTAAACCCACTCGCTTTTTAAATCTAGTCTCATTCTATGCAATAATCTGAGGAATTACCAGTTTGGTGTGGGAGTCATCTTTTTCTTAGACACATTGAAATAAAACTGTTACTATTACAATTGAAAGTAATAAAATACTATGACAATAGAAGGCAGACCTGGCTCCTGGCTCGGGAACAAGGCAGCAGGGCCCGGCACTCCCAAAGCCTGGGTCTGCCCCCGACACCAACAAAGGAGGTGTGGCAAGGTGGTCTGGGCCAGTTGGGAGGGGCTCGCCTGACCTTGGCCCTCTTCCCCAGACAGCCGTGGGGGCTTCTACCTGCTGCCTGTGAATGGCTTCTCCGAGGAAGAAGGTGATGGGGAATTGAGGGAGCGACTAGAGGGCCTCCAGGTCTCCCTGGGTGCCTCTGCTCCCAGCCAACCCCAGAAAGGGATCCCCCCTCTCCAAGACGTGCCAGTAGATGCCTTCACCCCACGCCGAAGCACCTGTACACCCCCTCCCCAGCCGCCGCCCGTTGCTCCATGGCCACCAAGGCCCAACTGGCTGCTGACAGAACCCCTGGCCAGGGAAGCCCCTCGTCAGAGCCGGAGCCAGGGCCCGGCCCAGAGCCGCAGCCACAGCCGCAGCCGCAGCCGCAGCCGGGGTCCAGGCAAGTCCCCTGGGTGCAGGCGGTCCCCATCCCCAGCGCCTATCCCCATGCCCAGCTCGGCCAACGGGCGCTACCACAAACCTCGGAAGGCCAGGCCCCCGCTGCCCAGACCTCTCGATGGGCAGGCGGCCACGGCAGAGGGCACCCAGGGGCCCTCTGAGAATGGAACTGGCAGGACAGTGGAGGAGGCAGCCACTGAGGCGCCTAGCGGGGAGCTGCGGACAGTCACCCTGTCCAAGATGAAGCCGTCCTTAGGTGAGTCCAGGTGGGACTGGGGCTGGTGGGGAGGCCTCTTGGGCTTGGGTAAGGTCAGTGGGCTTAGTGTAGGGGTACAACTAGGCTGCATGGGTCTAGGAAAAGAATCTGGGTGTTGGGGTATAGTCAGGGGCTCAATTTGAGGGGTTGGAGATCTAGAGGATTTAGGAGGTGAGGGTTGAGTAGTAACAGAGTCTGAGGGCTTGGGAGTTGGGGGTCTGGATTTGGGGAAGGGGTCCTGGGTTTCTCCTGGGAGCCCTGGGTTCTAGGGGTGTGTAGTCTCACCCGTTTCTCTCACTAGGCATCAGCATCTCTGGGGGCATTGAGTCCAAGGTGCAGCCCATGGTGAAGATAGAAAAGATCTTCCCCGGGGGGGCTGCCTTCCTCAGTGGGGATCTTCAGGTGGGTGAGGAGCAGCCTGTTGCCAAGCTGGAGGGGGCGGGGCTGGCACGTGCTCTTCTTCTACCCAGGCATGTTTAGGCCAAGTCGTGGGAGGCTTGGGAGCAAGGGGGTCAGGCATGCAGGATGAGCAAGCCCAGGAAAAAAATCTGTCCCCTCATGCCAGTCTGGGCCTGAGGGCGGCCCGTCCTGTTCCACCCCTGGCCCCAAGGGACAAAGGGCCATTGTCTGCACCCCACCCTGCCCCCAAAGGCTCCAGGCACAAAAGTCCTATTGTCCACCCCCTTCACCCAGATGGGGGGGGGTGTCCTGGAGGGTGGAGGTGAGAGGTTGGGTGGTGGGGTGGGGTTAACCAGAGGGAGGGCTGATTCTCCTACCCCCACCCAGGCTGGCTTTGAGCTTGTGGCTGTGGATGGAGAGAGCCTGGAGCAGGTGACCCACCAGCGAGCAGTAGACACCATCCGTCGGGCTTATCGGAACAAGGCTCGGGAGCCGATGGAGCTTGTGGTCAGGGTCCCTGCGCCCAACCCACTGTACTTACCCTCTGGCTCCTCAGCCTTCACTGACCAGCGCTTTCCTGCTGACCATTCCACTGCCTCCTGACCCTCTGATGCTACTCTAGTTCCCTCTGTTCCCAGCACCTCCCAGTAAGGGCCAGATCCTGTCCATCGATGCCCTTAACACCAACATTTAGACTCTTTCCACTGATGCCAGCCTCCTTCAGCTGACCTTCACCCTGGCTCCTGCTCCTACCATCCAGACTCCTGGTACTGACTCTCCCCCTCAGCCATGACTCCTCCACTGAGCCCAGATTCTCCCTGCCCCCAGTCCCTCCCCTGCATCCTCAGACTCCAGAACCTCCCCTTCCAGAAGTTCCACACAGGTGGCGCAGACCATCCCACTGTCTTTTCTCCCCTGTTGTCACTAAGGCTCTGCCCTGCCCAGATAAACTTGGTGTCCAAGGACAAGGTGCTTCTGGGCAGTCTGTCACCTGTGCTCACTGCCCCAAGCTCCCAAGACAGGAAGGGGAGCTTGGTCTGGAGATCAGGAGTGGCGGGTGCTTTCTCCCAATGCCCTGAAATCCCCCAGGCACCACGGGGTGTGGACTCTTGGGGCCCTCAAGGGGTCACTGCCTCCTTCCCTTGGCCCCAAGCAGTGCCCTGTGCAAGGGGCAGCATGGATGCAAGGGACAGACTTTGCTATTTTCTCGAACCTTAAGAGACAGTTTCCTATTGTGGCCCACTAGGATCTCAGACATTTCGCTGTATTTGTCCTCACCCCCCTCCTTTCTCCCCCTAAGACTTCTATGAGGGTAGGGGAACAGCCAGCAAATAAAGAATGGGTGGGGTTCAAACAAGTTCCCATCATCTTTATCCAGCATACTCAGCCTTTTTTAAAAACAAAAATTTTCTTAAATTTTTTTCTTTGGGTTTGTACAAGAAATTTACAGTGTGAGAAATATACAAGTGAAAACGAGGCCATAAACCTGGGTGTGGGGAGGGGCTACTTGGTCACAAACACAAATAAACAAGACGTTTCTGAGTTCTTCCTTTGGTCTGACTACAGCCCCTCACTCCAGGAGAGGCTGCAAGCTGAGAACTGGGGAAGAGACCCCAGTCTTAGCCCTGTCCCCCAACACAGGCAGGGTAGGGGCAGGCACATCTGGAACAGCTGGTGCTGTCTGGCTCTCTGGCTTTAGGGTGGGAGAATGTGGAGATGAGCCACATCCTCTTCCCAGCCCTCACAGGGTGGGCTGGTGAGCATGGAGGTGAGTGCGGCTGACAGTGGCAGCAGTGGGGAGTGACATGGGCAGAGCAAGTTGGAGCTTCTGAGTGACAGTGAATAAGGGGCCTTCAAGGGGTCTGCTCTTGTTCACCCAAGTCATAGGGGAACCCCAAGGTATTGGCAGAGGCCCAGGGGATGCATGGTTTTGGGGCCCTTGATGAACTGAGATGATAGCCCCCCCTTCGGTAGAGCTCCCTGCAGAGCTGGGATGCGAAGGTCCCTAAATTTCAGTGGCCGTGATCTCCTCCAGGCAGATGCAGGGGGTCGGCTCAGCCAAGCCCAGGTCAGCAAGCTCCCGGGCCTCCAGCTCCAGGCTGAGCTGCTGTAGCTCCTGCTCCAGCTGTCGGTTTCGTCGGTACATTTGGATGTAGTTGTGCTGCAGCTGCTTCTGGTAGCGGATCACCTGCTCCTTTTCGGCCTGCCAGGCCAGCCGCTCTCCCTCGAAGCTGTCCTTCTGCTCCTCGCCCCGCTGCCGCTCCCGCTGCAACTCTGCGCGCAGCCGCTCCACCTGGGCCCGTAGGCTGCCCCCCACCCCAGCTGCTGCCCGCTGCGCCTTGGCCTCGTCACTCTCTGCCAGGAGGAACGGGTCAGCGGTGGCAGGTGGCACAGGAGGTTCCCGGAGCCCGGCTGCCTCGGTGTCCAACTGCCCAGCTTTCTCCCGCAGTCGCTCAGCCTCCTGGCGGTGCCGCTGCAGCTCCTGAGAACAGGACTCCAGCTCCAGCTCCCTGGCACGGGCAGCTTCCTGCAGGCCACGTGCCCGGCCCTCGCTGACACGTAGTGCTGCCCGGGACTCCCGCAGGGCCACCCGCAGGGCCACCAGCTCACTGCCCTTCTGCACCAGCTCTGCCTGAGACTCCTTCAGTTGCTGCTTCAGCAGGGAGATCTCGCCCGACTTCTGGCACACCTGGGGAGGGGAGGTGGACAGGGAGGAGGGTGAGAAGGGCTTTCCCAAGGCGCAGGCCCTCACATCATGCTGGTCATTCAGGGAGAGGAGGCTGGCTCGTTATACTCATTTTATACTGAAGTGAACCTAGTGACACAGCCAAGCTCATAGTGATAAGCAGCAAAAGTGGAATCTAGACCCAGATCTTTTTCTTTCAAAGTGGGAACCTCTGGTTACTGCTGAAGCACTGCAGAGCGCTGGGAGCTGGGTGGCAGCGGGTTTTGCAGGAGTGGGAGCCGTTGACGGCCGTGTCCACATTTCTAAGTGTCTCGTTAAGAGAACAGACTTGGAAGTCACACTGCCTGGGTTCAAATCTCAGCTCTGCCACTAAGAGTGATTTTGGGCTTCAGTCTTTCTGGGCCCCAGTTCCCTCATCTCTAAAATGGGGATCTAAAGTCTTCCCCACTGGCAGGATTGGATGACAGATTTGCCATAGCATGAGAATGGCACCTGACACAGCAAGCGCTATATCCTTATTTGTACTGGCTGAAAGGCAGCAAATGGGAATGCGACCCCACCCTGAAAGGGAGGTCAGTGGGGGACCCTGATCCCAGAGAGGGGGGTATGGGGAGACCCTCGGACTGGCAGGTTGAGGGGCCAGAGGCTGGGTTCCGCTTTGCAGGGCTCACTTCTGCAGGACCCTGTTCCCCGTCCCTCCACCCGGCCCACCTCCCACTTGGTCTCCTCCAGCCGGGGCCCGAGCTCCCGCTGCTCCCGCTCGAAGGTGGCACAGCGTCGCTCCAGCTGCTCCCGTTCCTGCAGCAGCTGTGCGAAGTCATCCTGCAGCTGCCGCTTCTCCTGCTGCAGCTGGAAAACCTGCAGTTGCAGCAGCTGCTGGGCTCGCTGTGCCCGCTGTGACTGCGCCACGCCATCCTCACGCAGAGCCTCGCGCTCTCGCTGCCAGTGCCGCTGCCGATCGTCGTATACCTGAGGGTGAGAAGGCAGACCTGGGTCCTGGCAGCTCCCCAGACCTTGAGCCCTGGACGCTCCCAGCTACCCCACTGTCCTGGTGGTTCGGTGGCCTGGGCTCAGGGAGGGTAGATTCCATTCAACAATGAGCATAATGATGGCGACAGAGGCAATGACTACCTGTGTGATAAGAGAGGCATCACCACACCAATAGCAAGCACTTCCGCAGCCCTTCGCAGGCAGCAGGCTTTGTTCTAAGCACCTATGCCCTTTGCCTTGCTTAAATCTCGTAAGAACCCCATGAGGTTAGAGGGATCTCCACTTACAGACTAGGAAACTAAGGCTCAGTACGATTAAGTAACTTGCTCAAGTTGAAAGGCAGTAAATGTGGTGCCAGTGGAATCCTCACCACTCTACAGACCAAACCTGACAGATGGGGGATGCGGGGTCAAACTGCAACCCCCCAGCACATGCCCCCAGCCCCACCTCCACCCCCACCCAGCTCCTTGGACTCCCAGCACCTCTGGATATGCCATCCCCCCATTATTGCCACTGACCACACCTGGCACATGGTCACCTCGCTCTCGTCCAGACTGTCCCGTAGCTGCTGCAGCTCTGCCTCCCGGTCACGGAGCTTTCCTTCCAGGACACAGTGCAGCAGGGCCTCGTCCGATGGGGGCGGAGGGGGTGGGGGTGGGGGTGGGGAGCGCTCCCCACAGGAGCTGCTGTCAGGGGAGGCCCGGTGACCGCTGCCTAAGAGCCCCCCAGCCACACGGCCCCCCAGGGAGCCTGTGCTTTTGCTGGAGGAAGATCGGCCACTGTCCGAGTGGGAGGGCCCAGTGGGAGCCCCTCGGGCTGGCCCAGGCAGTGCCCCCCGCCCAGGGCCATGGGAGGGCAGGTGCCCACCTGGGGAACTGGTGGCTGGTTCGGCACCCCCGGTGCTGTAAGTGGGCAGGCTGGACAGTGAGTTTCGACCTGAGTCGGACAGTGTCCCCGATGGGCAGCCGCTGACCCAGCCACTCAGTGCCAGGGGTTTGTCGGCAGCCGAGGAGGAGGAGGAAGAGGAGGAGGAGGCCGGGCCCCCAAACAGCTGTGTTAGACTACCCTGGCTCCCAGACAGTCCGGCGGCCCGAGGACCCAGGAAGCTAGGTAGGGATGGCGCCCCTCGAGGTTTGGGCAGCACTGGCTTGAAGGCTGTTGGGCGGATCAGGATTTTCTCCATGTTCTGAAATGAGGTGCCATGTGACACTGGGGATGAGCCACCAAATCTTTGAAAGCCCTATCACACTCCCTGCCCTCCCATCTGGGGTTCCCAGTCCCCATATTTGATAACAACTGCTACCTCTGGCTGAGTGTCAGCTTCATGTCAAGCAATTTAAAAGGTTTGTCTCCAAATATTACAACAGCCATATGAGCAAAATACTACCACTGTCCCCACGTCACAGGAGGAAGTGGAGGCTAGGCATAGTCAAAGGCCTTACTCAAAGTTAAACGCAGACTTGTATAATGTTCCACTAACTTAGGAAACATCTATTGAGTACATATTATGCACCAGGCACTAGGTCAAATGCTTTATGTATATGTCATTCAATTTAATTCTCACAATCCTGTGAGTTGATCTGTTAGCTCCATTTGACACCCATAGAAACTGAGGCTCAGAAAGATTGACTTCCCTGAGATCATACTAAGGAGCCAAAATAAGGAGGAGCTGGGGTTAGAACCCAGGTCTGGTCAATCTGAAGCCCATACTCTTTCCTTTAAATAGGCCTCCAAATTCCAGCTCCTCCAAGGGTATCCTGATTCCACCCAGGCCCCAAAGGAAGGGCTAATCCTCACCTTCTCCAGCTTTCCAGAGACAGGGATGAGCTTTGGCGGGGGGCCACGGAGATGGGCATTGCGTGCCCGCTGCTCTCGGGCATCCTCAATGTCACTGCTTGGACTGGGGGGTGACTCCGGCCGGAAGTCCTCGTTGATATAGGTGAAGCTGGTGCCGGGGACGGTCTTCCTGGGGGGCACAGCTGGGCACAGAAGCTCCTGTGCCTCATAGCCACCCCTCAGCAGTCCATCTTGCTGGCGGAAGAAGGTGGGCCCAGGGGGGCCGTGGTGGCGGGGAGGAGCCGGTCCCCCAGGGCAGGGGCGACCGGAGATGAGGCTGCTCACGCTGCCCATGGCTGGAGCTTGTGGGGCAGTGGTGGCCTCAGGAGTGGGTTCCAGTGGCACTGGGAGGGTCTGCACAATGGCCATGGTGGCAGAGGCTCAGGCCTGGCCAAGGGCCTCCAGGGGAACCTGTGAGCAGAACAGCGGCATCAGAGTCTCTCTGTCACAAGCCCTCTCCTACACAATGTCCTCAGTTCCTCTCCTGACCCTTAGTCCCAGGTCAAACACCGCTCAGACATCAGTAACGAGCTCTGATGCTCACCAAGGTTCCCTTTCCAAGCCCTGGCATGGACCTTACTTCTCCCTGGGCCCTAGACCACTGCCCAACTGTGGTCTGAACAGGGCAAAGGCTGAATCTACCAAGCAGGGAAGGGAGGCCTGTAGGTTATTCGGTACCCCTGGCAGCCCAAAGTTGCATCCCCCAGAGAGGCCAGGACTCAAGTTAGAGAGGGAGCAGTCCTCTGATCCCTTGGGTCAGTGGCCTCGTTAAGGGCAGTTTGGGCAGAGGCAACCTCAGAGAAGCAGTCAGCAGCCCAGATAGTAATTAGGGAACAAAGAGCCAAGGTCAGGCAGTGCCCAGCTTCCCCTAGATGGGCCTCAGTTTCTCCCAGACAGAGAGGCGGCAAGGGTGGAGCTGGTCTAACAAGAAACCCAGAGCTCTTGGGGGAGCTCATAGGGACCTCTAGGGTCTCCTGCTTCCTAGAGGTAGATGAAGGGTCAGGCTTGTTTCCATGACAACTCCTAGCTTCACCGCACCCCATCAGTCTGGCCTAAAGGAGCCCACACAGGCCCACTGCCAGCCTGCACAAAACCTTCCAGCTTTAGACATTCCCAGAGTAGCTTCAAGGGCATGAGGGGAGAAGCCCCACCATCACCTCTGGCAGCTGCTGCGATCTCACTTCGGGAGCAGAGCCAGGGAGGAGGGCTCCACCTCCCCAGGCCCGGCTTCTTCCTGGAAGGGGACAGCAATCTCTATCCGAACTTGCTCCCTACTCCTGAGCCAGACCAAAACTCAGGAATCTGCTGAAGTCATCATGCGGGGCAGGGACCAAGAAGTGGATGGAGAATTACGTGGGAGGAGGAGTGTATGCATTTACTTATTTGTGTGAGTTTGTGTGCATAGAGCAAGAAAATGAGCAGTGTGCAAACAAAAATGTGTGTGAAAACACCTTGAAGGAATGTGAGTACACATACACGTACGCTTGGATAGGTGTTTTGGTCCATTCCTACATATGTATGTGTGAACTCAGGCACGTGTAACTTAAATGTGTGTAAATACGGATGACTCTTGGGGGTATTTTAAAATTATAAAAGCATATAACAAGTGGATTTGTGGTGTATGAGTGATTATAGGGAAGAATGTTTGGATAGAAGCACATTCTAATATACATGAGTTTATGTGTAGTCAAGTGTGTCTGTCACACAAGTGTGTGAATAGGAAATCGAGTGTGCAGAAGAAGCATGTGTGTGAACAGGAGCATGTGTGGGAGCGGGTGGGGGCCTGGGTGGCATGCAGGGACAACCAGGTAAGCGGAGCCTGGTTTTTGTCACTGGAGTGTGGGCAGAGAGGAGACACCCATTATTTGACTCTGTTGCTTGATCTGCTCCCTTTCTTTCTGCTTCGTTCCATTAAGTCCAGCCCTTCTCCTCCCCATCCAAGTCAGAAGACACAGAGGACAGAGAAGGTGTCTGGAGAGTGAGGAGCTGGGAGCTGGGGGGCACCACACACCCAGTGGAGGGAGCAACCAGAGGCTCCTCTGCCCGGTGGGGGCTGGGCCCTCCCACAAGGGCCACCCTGGGCAAAGCAGATGGAACAAGCCCCTCCTCTGCCCTCTCCAGACCACTCCAGACCACGGGAAAACAGAGGGCAGGGGAACTAGGGGGCAACCGAGGCTGGCACCTGTCTGCATTTCCCCACTTCAGTGAGCACAGAGAAAGTGAAAAGTGGGGGAAGGAGAGAGACAGACTCACAGAAAGACAGGGAACCAGAAGGCAGGAGACAAAGAGTCAGAGGCCCCAAGGGCCAGGCGACAAGGAGACAGGCAGAGCCTGTGGCCCTGAGCCCCAAGCAGCAAGGGGCCCCGGTCCTCAAGAGACATAAAGCTGGGCCTGAGAGCCAGACACCCAGGGAGACGGAGCCAGGCGTCTGGAAAGCGAGGCCCAGACGGCCCGGCTTCGCTCGCTCGGAGGCTGAGAGAGAAGGAGGGGCAAGTGGAGGCTCCATTTTGAGAAACGCTTTCGCGGCCCTGGGAACGAGAGCCCCTCGTCTCCCCAGCACCCCCCGAGCAACCGCGCCGGCTGGCAGGGCGCTCGCCCACGCCGGAGAGGCCTGGGGCAGTCGGGGGTCGGGTTCCGCCGGAGCCAGAGCGGTCTGGCCACGGTCCGCGCTCCCGCAGCCCAGCTTTCGGGGGCTGAAGAGTTGGGGAAAGTCTCCCCTTCACCAAACTCCAAAGACCAATCCGGCGGGACCAAGGCTCGGATCACGAGTTCCCATTCCGCGACAGGAAGCGGGGAGCCCGCAGCCCACCCTCCAGAGTCCGCCCCCCTTCCCCAAAGTGGGGGAGGCAGTGGAATGCCGACGGCCCCCCGGACCTCCGCTGGGCAGAAGCTGGGGCGCCCAGTCGCCCCCCGGCCCCGGCCCCCCCTCACCTCCGCCGCGCTGCTCCATGCTCAGCCCCGGGCGGCCCCCCGCGCCCCAGCAGCGCGCCGCCCGGCTCCAGCCCGCGCGCGGCCACTCGGAGCGGCCCGGCCCGGCCCGGCCCCGCCTCCGCGGCGCCCCCGGCCCCGGCCGGCCCCCGCCCGGCGCGATGGGCGGCGCAGCGCGAGGGAGGGGTCCGAGGGGCGTCCCCGCCCCCGGGGCGCGGACACGCACAAACGCCCGCGTCACCGGTGTCCCGCGGGGCGCGCGCGGGGGCCGCCCGCGGGACTCGGGGCCCCTCCCGCGGCGGCTCGGGACGCGGCGGCGGCCGGGCCGCCCTTGATCAGCCGGCGCCGCGGGGCCCGCGACGGCCGGGCATTGTTCGAGCACAAAGGGCCCGGCGCCGCGGCAGCCGCCCTTCCCCCTCCGCGCCTCTGGTTCGGCCTCCTCCCCAGACACGCTCTCCAGCACTGGAGGCCAGAGGCGGAGGCCGAGGGTCAGCTGCGCTCCACCCGCCCCGGCTCCCGGGGCCCGGGGCCCCCGCACAAGTCGGGGACCGAAGCCCGGTCCACGCCTGCCCCGCCCCCAGCGCGCTCGGCCTGGCGGCAGTGGCGCCACCTGGCGGCCCATTCGGAGAATACACCCAGTAACCCCCAGCCGCAGAGGCCCCCACCCCACTTCCCAGCACGGGGGGGGGGGGGGGGAGTTCGGGGGGGTATGGGTCTGTGCTCCCCAGTCTTCCCTTACAGTCATTTGCTCGAAGAGAGGTAGTCCCTGGCTCCCCAACAATCACTAGGGTGAGCCGGTCCAAACCCAGAGCAGCATCACGTCCTCGTCTTCGCGGGGCCACATGTTCTCACTCGCAAACAACACGATCTAAACACCTACATGACCTTTCCCAACATTCAGTCTCAGTCACAATCAGTCTCAGCACGACGTGGTTCGACGCTCCTTATTTCCATAATCTTTCAGACCAACTCACACACATAGGCACGCTAGGTGTCACCCGCCTAGTTGCGAACTACCTTTCCCAACAACTCACGGTCCTTTGAATCCAGCCGCAATCTTAAATACACTCAAGTCTCTGAAGCATCTTTCATACGTGGACAGCCGTATTCAGTGTCACACAGCCAACTTACACAGGCACATCCTATTTCACAAACACTGTCACACAGACATTCCCCGCAGGGGTCTCTGTGACCTGATCAGGTCAGCTGATGCTTGCACCCCTGGGCTAGCACCGTCTCCTGCCTCCCCCCGCCCTCTCGCTAGGGCCAAGGCCCGCTAGGGCTCTGTTCTGCCCCAGGAAAGAGCACCCCCCCTCCCCCGGCCACAGTCCTGGCCGACTCTCAACTCTATTTTTAGCTCTATGGAAAGGGTTGTTTTTCTTTCTTTTTCCCTGGAAAGGGAAACATGGCCCAGCCACCTTCAGGCTCACCCCAGAGCCTCAGTCTCACAAGAACAGACTGACCCCCTCTCCCCAGTGGAGACCACCCCCTCCACTGGCCTTGCCCTGATCCCAGCCTCCTGGGGCACCAGGAGCCTCCTCCCCTTTCTGGCAGCGAGCCCAGAAGCTCAGGCAGCAGCTGGGCTCAGCATGTGTGTTTAGGGGTGGGGGGTGGGGCGGGGAGGGAGGCCGAGGGTCAGCAGCCCACTGCCTCATGGGGTGGGGGAGTGGAAGGGGGGCTCCTCCTGCCTTCTATCGGTGGGTGAAAGGCCCACTCCGGTATAAAAGGGATATTTACGCTCATGCATTCTCTGGGGAAGGGGGGTTCCCTCTCCTGTATGAGTGGGCTTTCTGCTCCTACATGGGGGGGTGGGCCCCCAGTTCCCAGTTCTGCAAGGGAGGGTTGGTAGTAGAAAGGGGGCCCACAGGCCCTCAGGCAGCTACTCGCAGGGCTGGAGGTACCAGGCGGGGGCAGCTGTTCACTGCCATCAAGAACAGCGCCCCCCTCTGTTTCAGAGATGGAGGCACCAAGAATTGCATTGGGGAAGCAAGGCCAGGTAACCCCACCCCAGCCCAGCAGCCGGCCGTCCTCCAGAGCTACCTCGGCTCCAGGGGGCGTTGCGCTCGCATTTCTGGGAGACAGCATACCACCTCTCCAGGCGGAGAAAGGAATACAGCCCGGCTTCGGACGTTGCAAACTCACCCTGAACTGTGCAGGGAGGTTCGCGCCCTGATGCCAGGGTGGGGGGAGCATAGCCCTTTCGTCCGCGGAGCGATCACGTGCTGGGTGCTGTTTACGTCTCAGTCTTCACCTGCAGCGGCCGGGAAGCAGGAACCCCCGGGTGCGTCCCACCCGGGCCGCCCCCGTCGGCGGCCAGGGGGGCCCCTTTTCTCCCACCCCGGTTAAGTCCGCGACAGCTGAGCGTCCCGTCTGATGGGGTCTGCGCGGGCCAGCAGCGCTGCTCCAGGGGGCTCTACGTGCAGCCCACTGGGCGCGCGCCTTCTCCAATGCACGTGTGTTCGTGTGTCCCAAGTGCGTGCGTGGGTCTGTGCGCACCCCTCGGCGTGAGCTTCTGCGTCGGTTCCCTGTTCAGACTCTTCGCCTGCGCCCCCCGGAGTGGGGATCGCCCCCTCTCCCCGCAAGCCCCAGCTTCCCCAGACCTGGAAAGTTCGCTTCGGAGCAAGGACGCGCTGGAGGCGGGAGTTGCTCCACCTCCGCGGCCCCAACACTCACCCGGCGCCACCTGCGCCGCCGCTCGTCCTCGCCCTCGCGCTCGGCTTCAGCTCCAGCGCCGGCACCTTCTTGTTGCGGATCCGCCGGCTCCCAAGCCCGCTCCGGGCTCCGGACTCCGGGCCTCCGCCTGCCCAGGCCTGGTGGAGCGGGGCGGGGCGCTGAGGCCGCGCCCCCGACCCTGGGAGGGGAGTGGTCCTCCCAGCACCCCCTCAGCTGCCTACCCAGTACCCGCCGAGCGGTAGCGCAGTAGCTCGACGGTGACCCAAGGCTGGCCCTCTGGCTCTCCTTTGACTTCACAGCTTACTGGATTTGGCTTTAGGGCTGGGGAGGGGTGAGCAGCAAGTGAGTTCAGCTACCTGGCTGACCTAACCAAACTGGCCATCGGGCTATAATAGCCACCCTCTCCAGTTCTGCAGGGAGCCGAACCTGGTCCACTCAGCCCACTCCCCAGACACAGGGAAAACCCCTGGAAAGCAGACAAAGGAGGTTCGGGTTTCACTAAAACAAACCCTCCCCCATCCCTAAGACTGGGCTGCCCCAGCAGAACCAGCCCCTCCCCCTCCTCATCCACCAGTATCACCCCAGGTGAACAGACCTCCCAGGTCTGCCCTCCCCCGGAGTATGACCAGGCTTCTCTTAGACTCATATAAAGTTCCACCCACAGGTATAAACAGGAAGTTGGCCTGTACTGCAGGGAGGCACCAAGCACTCCCTCGCCTCATGGCACTGTGGTGTGGGAAGATTGTGAAGCCGGCAGGGCCTTGAGCCACGTGTGCAGCCAGATTACTTGAGCAGGAGTCCCAGTGAGTTTAGATCCTTCCCACACCCACCTGCAGCTGCTGGAGGGCCAAAGCTGCCCCTCACAGCCAAGTGGGCCAAGTGAATCTGACAACAGGGCTGCAGACCCAGCTGGACGAGGCTTGGCCAGGCCCTTTCTGAGCTCTTAACCTCCAGGTGGACATAGGCAGAGTACTGGTCCCAGGTAATTTGCCTCAATTCATTTTTGCTCCACACAGGGAGTGGCCCCCAGGGCCTGTACACAGGACTCCGGGATCCCCCACTACTTCTAGACTCCAGGGACTCTTGAACACACTTTGGGCTAATCTTGAGGTAAGGCATTAAGACGGGTGTGGAATGGAATGCGTTTGTGTAGGGGGTGGGGCAGGGGAAGCATTAGCTTCCCCTTGCCCCCATCATTCTTGCTTTTGCTGTGTGGGGGTGCAGATTGGAGCAAGATAAACAGCTAAGCGTGCATCTATCCCACTGTCCCCATTTCAGGTATTTTAGAAAGGTCACCTGATGGACGCTGCCTAAAGGTTTCCTTGAGGACACACTGGGGCTCTCCTAGGGAGACCAGAATGCCGAGCCCAGGTCCCTGCGGTGGATCTGACCTGGTGGTGTGCATCTGGAAGGCGTAGCTGCTTTATAGCGTTAGACTCCGGATGAGGCCTAGACCAGTCAGCGGCTGGCAATGATTACTGCAGGATTAGGAGGCCTGGCTCCAGCCAGTCTGGGAGAGACCCCCAAGAAGGGAGGCCCTGGAGGAGCTACCCTCTCCCTCCCCCCAGGTTCTTGTCCCTGGAGAACAGCTTTCTTCTGCTCCAGGAGACAACTGTAGCCACAGTTCTCACACTACAGACCAGGGATCCCAGATCCTGTCACAAAGCCCCAGGAGCCCCCTCTTGGCAGGGAGAACTTGAAGAAACAGCTCTGCTTCCAGGGAACAGGGACCCCCCCTAACCATCCACAAAAGACTTCTCCCCAGCGCCTCAGAACATTTTAGAGGCAAAGCTAAAAGGAAACTGGGACTTGAGGATACCAGAGGAAGTGAGACTGGTGTCATCACTTCGGGACATTTCTGACAGGGTCTACAGATAATTTATATTTTACAATCTTCTTCAGAGCTCGTTAAAAATGGGGGAATCCAAGCCTCCAGAATTAGAAACGTCTGTGTGTGTGTGTGTGCACATTGTGTGTATCAGGAATGGGGAGAGGAGGGTCTAAGTTCTCATTTTTAACAAGCATCCCAGGAGTTCTGACACACAAGCATAAGCAACACTGCGAGGGTGCAACGAGGAAGGAGATGGATGGGGGCCGGATACGAATGAGTCGAACCTCAGCATACGCTGAGAGTCCAGGGAGTGGCACACGTCAGAAGGACAGCTGGTCAGGCAGGGCCTAGGTTGAGGCCCAGTGACCCCCGCTTCTGCAGGCTTCACGTGGACAGCCTCAGGGCAGAGAGGGTCTTCACTAGGCCAAGAAAAGGTGTAAGGGTGTGTGTGTGTATCCACTTTTATGCCCCTACTTCACTGGGTGTACAAACTCAAAGACCTGAGGTGGGGGAGGGCGCTCATCTATTCCCAATTCAAATTGAGAGCAAAATCCAGTTATATCCTGGGGAGACACCTGGTGGACAAGGAAGAAAAAGCACAGAAACAAAGGCTATGGGAAAAAAAACTTTTTTTTTTCTTCTCAGTAAAACTGGAAAAGGCTCTAAAAAAGGCATGACTGTGCCCAGCCGGGCAGCTGGGGCACACCATGCAACTGGTGTCCAGGTGGCAGGCACTCAGGTTCACAGCTTCCTTCCATGGCTCTCTGGCCAGGCTCCCATGTTTGGGGCCCTGCTTTTACAGGGTCAAGCACCTAAGATCTCACGCTAGTGAGTGCTACCCCACGACAGGCTCGTGTGGGGAGCAGAGGAGTCTGGCACCAACCCTATCACCCTTTGGGTCTGAAAGCCTAGGCTGGAGTTTGGCAAGATGTCCCATCCCCTATTCTCCTCCAGGCTCAGAGGCCTAAGCACACTGCTGGGAGCTTGCCTTGTTCACTTCCACCTTAGCGCTGCTGCACTTACTTTTCTCTCCGCCAGACCCCTTTCTCCAGATGTCCACATGGCTCAATTCTAGTTCACTCAGCCCTGCGAAGCTGTCCTCTGCCCAGATACACCTTTTCAGACCTTAGTCTAAACTAGCTCATAGGCACTTCTGCATTACTGTTCTATTTTCGCTACAGCATTTTCCACTAACTAAAATTAGATAGCTGCTTCTCGGTCTCCCTCGGACTGCAGGTTCCCTGAGAGCAGGAACCTCATCTGCCTTGTCAGTACTATATTCCCAGAACAAAGCCTGGCATACAGTAGGTTCCCAACTATCTGCTACATTGAATTGTCTCACTGTGGACCCCTGCCCTAGGCTGGGCCCCTCAGAATGAAAGGTCATTAAGTTCAGAGCCACACACAGAGGCAGCCCTAGGAGAGGGCCAAGAAAGAGTAGATCTCTCAGCCTGGCCTGTCAGGCTCATTTCAGCATCCAGTTCCGCACTGCCCTCACTGTGAAGGCCTGGAGGGGTCTGGCAAGTAGGGTTTGAGGGCCTGGTCTAAGCCAGTCTCAGAGTCCTGGGGCACAACACCCTTTTTGCCAGAAGAAGACTTTTTGGCCACCAGCCCATTATCATCCTTGATCTTCTTGAGCCGGGCCTTACTCTTTGGGGGTATGGAGAAGGTGAGAGAGCTCTTGTTGAACTCAAGTGGGAAGACACCTACGTCTCCATCAAAGCGGTTCTTGGACACCTGCAGATACCGTTTCCCTGGTCCAGTCACCAGCTTCCTGTCCTGGAGGATCAGAACATTGTCGGCCTCCTGGCTTGCCTGAAGGATGGGACAGAGGAGTGAGAAGACATGTGAGAGAAGCAGAAAGGAAGGCTGATGGTGCAGGGAGGAGTGGCAGGAACGGGAGAAGGGAAAAGTGCTTCTCCCCATCACCAGGTCTTGAACCTATCGAGCAAATAAATGCTGGGCTACTTAAATCTTTCAGTCCCATGCTGCACGGTGACCTTCCACTGAAACTTTCCCCACAGCGCCCTACCCCACGTAGCCCCGGCTGCTTATCATTCAGGTCTCAGTCTAAGTGTCACACTTCATCTGAGCCCACTCTCAACATCCAGGAGTGAAGAAAGGACCATCACCTTCCCACTCCTGTGATTTTCTTCTCCAGATTCATGTTTGTTCCATCGTGGCACATAGTTTGAGCTCCCTGCCTCGTATTCCTGTGCCCTGCCCAAGCCTGGCCTATAACAGGCGTTTAACGTACCACTGGAAACTCTAGGATCAGGCTAGTCTGCTGCCCAGAAGCATATGTTTGCTTATTGAACACCTGTTGTCTGCCAAAACTCAACTCCACTTCTGCCTCCTCTAGGAAGTCTCCCCAGATGTTCCAGGCTGACTCAGATGGTTTTTCTCTTTGCTCCCAAATACACTACTGCCTATTATAGCTGTCAGCATACTGAGCTATAATCAGTCTCATGTTTCTCTCCAGTAGAGGACATGAGCTTCTGAAGGGCAAAGCACCAACTATTATCAGCTTTTGTATTTCTCATGTGGCCGCAGAGGCGGCTGCCTCCTGCCTCTTCCCGTTGGTCAGGATGACTAGAGGCTGCATGAGGCCTGTCCCTAATCACACCTGCACCCCCTTCTCTCCAAAGCTTGGGCTCCTCTAAAGGTTACTTACTTTGGCTGAACCAAATATGGATGCTGTCTGCAGTTCCTTATCATCATCCTCCTTCCGGGGATGAATGACCAGTGTCACGTGGCAGTTATTGTCTGTGGCAAACTTCCGGAAGGCCCCAACAATGTAGTCTTGAGCAGCAATCCTGTCTCCACCCCAACAAAGCAAATAGATTACTGGACACAGAAGGACAAGAACACATATACACTCTGGATTCATTCTCATCTTCCTACAAACCACCCCTACTCTACTTCTCTCTACCCCAGGACTTATACTTAGGTCCCTGTCTGTACTTTCCACTGCCCACCTCCCACACCTCTACAAAGACCACAGCACATCTGGGATGGTATGTGCCTGCACCCAGGTCAGAAGACAAGAGCATAGAGTGTGTGCACAGAGGCCAGCGCCCTGAGAAGATGTGTGTTCAAGTGGGTGCCAGCTAGACAAGAGGAGAATGTCACCTGTCTGAGGACAGCTGCTCATGACCCATCATGAACTGCAGGTTGTCGATGACCACGTGACAAATGTCATAGACGTAGACTGCATGGTACATGGTGTCTATTACAGTCCTGAGAAGAGGAAGAGACGAAGAATTCAAGAGTCAATTACAAGGAATCTCCAGACCATCTCAGGCAGAAAGGCCTGATACCAACAACTGGGGTGTGTTTTCCTGCCCTCCCATTCTTTGAAAATTCCAGGCCTGGGAGTCTCACCTGATACTCTGCTGCCCATGGAAAGTCATGAAATAGAGAGGCAGGTCCTCGAAGCGGTCTGCCCACTCATCGTATCTGTCCAGCTGCTCTTCTAGTCGCCCCACAGCAAACTGTGTCAGCATGACCCGGGCCAGTCTCACGTTGCTGATCTCAAAGCTACCCCACAGCGTGTTCACCCCCTGGGTACACAAATCCAGGGCATACTCACTGATGAATGTTGTCTTTCCACTGCCTGTCGGCCCTGCAGGGGGGTTGGGGGTGGGTGTCAAACACAAACCTGGGTGAGGGAGTAAAGCTCTAACCTTGAAACCAAAACCAAAACACAGAGCAGGGCTTCAAAGTTGGAGGGTGGGGGTGGGAGGACTCCACTGCAACATTTACCAAAGCACTAACCCACATGTTTTTGTCACCTGACCTTCTGCCTCCTACCCCAAGCAAAGGGTCACCTGTAAAGACGGTCAGCTCGCCCTTCCGATGTCCCTTCAAAAGTCTATTGAGGTCTGGGAAGCGGCTCCAGCGGACACCAGCCGCCTGCTCCACGTTTGACAGTTCTCCAAGCACCTCCTCCCGAAGCTGGCGGAAAGACACGATAGACTTGTGCCAGGCGGGCAGTGCAGTGCGCAGGATACGGGACAGGTTTAGGCCTTGGTTCAGGGCTTCCAGGGGACGGGGCCGCTGGTCCCCAGGCCGAACTAAGGAGCATCGCTTGGGGTTTAGTTTTCGGGCAAATAACTTGGCAGCTTCCCAGGACCGAAGGTCGTCCCCCAGCCAAAGCACAATCCTTCGGAACTGTTCAAGGTAAGGTAGCAAGGCAGGGGGTAAGCAGGTCGTTCCTCGGGGTAGGGCAACGGTGGGCAGCCCTGTGGATTGGTTCAAGGCCAGGCTGTCCAGCTCACGACTTGTCAGCACCACCTCCACATCCCGACGACCGATCAGTGGTAATCCAAACAGATTACGGTAGGCACTAGGCCGGGGGATGGTGGTCTCCACATAGCGCACTCCATCCCCCTGGCTTTCAGCCCCCAGCAGCTTCAGACCTCGCAATCCTGAACCACCGGGGGAGAACCAAGGGAAAACAAGGCTGCGAGCGGGCCGCAGATAACGCACACTGAAACGCTTGAGTGTGTCGTCAGTCACTTTGGTAAGGCCAAACATCACCCGAGTCAGCCTGGCTTCCTCCGGCTCCGGCAGCTCCCAGAGAGGTATGGCTCGGTCCCAGATCCTCAGAACCTCCTCACTGTCCTCAGCTTCTGGGCCCTCACTAAGCAGGAACCCCTCTCTGGCCCCATCCCCTCGTCCCTCCACGCTGGCCTGAAAGTCTTCCCAGTTCCCTTCCGCTAGGCTGGTCGTGCAGAGAAAGCGGCCTGTGGTCTTGTCAATGAAAAGGCTGAAGGAAGTGGCAGCACGGGTCTGGTCCTGGAGCTGTGAGGGCCCCACAAAGGGGCTGGGTGCCCGCAGGCAGCTGTGGCCATCCTGGAAGGGGATTCCATGTGCCCGCAAATACTGGCGGATTTCAGTTGTAGTTACTGGCAGTGCAGGTCCTTCCAAGGCCGGGAGAGCCTCCTTCCTGTAACGTCTGCGAGGAGGGCCCGGGACCAAGCTTCGGGGCAGGCCCCTCCGGCCCATCCACTCCCCACGCAGGGGCAGCAGGATGCGGAGGGGGTGACCACCTCGCCGGAGGACCCACATTCCTAGTCAAATGGAGAAAGTCACGACTTGATATGCTTTAGATGCTTGGCTCGGCTGCCTTCAATAGGTCAGGCCCTAGGGTCCTCCCACACTAGATGGTTTCTCTCTTAAAATCTGAGTCCTCTGCAGCCTATCCACATGGCTACCTCACATCTGGGCTCCCGAACACGCCCTTTCACGTGTATGTCCCTCTGTCAGTGTCTACCTTTAAGGTCCTTTAAAACTGCTCCCCACACCGATCGATCCCCCATTCTGACCCTCCACACCGCTCCTCGCCGACACGGTGTCCCTGCATCATCTCTTCACCACCACTGCCCCTCCACGGTTTCTCCTCGATGTCCCATCTCTGCAGCCAGCTGCGTCCTCTGCAGCCCCGCTGCTCTAGGGCCCCCCTGGGGACTCCTCGCGGCTCCTTCCCCCACGGGGGACTCAGCTAGAGCGCCCCGACGCCGCCCCGCCCTCTCCGCGCCCAAAGGGACGCCCACCTCACCCCCGCGCCTTCCTTCCGCTCCACCTCTGCGGGCTTCGCCGCCCCGGCCCTGCCCCGCACCACCGCTCTGCCCTCACCCCGTCGCCCGCAACGTGGGTCACTCCCGCGCGCCCCTCGCCTGACCCAGGAAGCAAAACTGCCGCCGGCGCGAGGCTCCCCGGAAGCGGAAGGCGTGAGGGAGCCCCGCCCCCGAGCCGCGGGGCCTTGCTCGGCGACCGGGGCGCCGGGACCATGACTGCGCGCGGGACCCCGAGCCGCTTTCTCGCCAGTGTCCTCCAAAACGGGCTGGGTCGCTACGTGCAGCAGCTGCAGCGTCTCAGCTTTAGCCTCAGCCGCGACGCGCCCTCGTCCCGCGGCGCCAGGTGAGCCGGGCGGGGTGCGCCCCCTGGTGGAGGTCGCCCCGATCAGGGGCACCGCTCACCCTTCTGGGGTCCCTCAGGGAGTTCGTGGAACAGGAGGTGGCCGACTTCGCCCGACGGAACCCGGGGGTCGTAATATACGTGAACCCGCGGCCGTGCTGTGTGCCCAGAGTGGTAGCGGAATACCGTGAGTGGGGCCGGGGTGGGCTGGAGGGCGGCATGGGTGGTGCGGGGAGCTCGGCCTGCTTTTCCTTGCTCTCCTTTGACATCTAGTCCGCCCGCTTTCTCCTTTCTCTTACCCCCACCTCCCGCCGGTCAGTGAACGGGGCTGTGCGCGAGGAAAGCATCCACTGCAAGTCAGCCGAGGAGATCGCGACACTGGTGCAGAAGCTGGCGAACCAGTCGGGCTTGGACGTGATCCGCATCCGCAAGCCCTTCCACACGGACAGCCCTAGCATCCAGGGCCAGTGGCACCCCTTCACCAACAAACCGACGAGGGTGGGCGGGCTGCGTCCCCGAGAGGTCCAGGATGCCGCCCCAGCCCAGGGGCAAGCTCAGTAAAGAGTTGCCCCACCAGCTTCAAGTCCAAGCTTCGGGTTCTTACCCCAGAAGAGATGATTCTTCCTCTTTTGATTCAGGGGATTCCAAGCCCAGGTAGACACATGGAGCCCACCAGAGGGGAAGCTGCTGCCACAGCTATTGCTCGGAATAAAGAAGTGATGCCTATTTCTTTAGCGTGCACACTGCGAGGGGCAGTGACTTTGTGAGTTCCCTAATTCCTGTCCAGTTGACCTCCTTGAAACCCGAGGTTCTTCAAGGAATTTACCATGTCCTCATTTCTGAAATCCAGATTGATAAAGTGATCTCAAATCACAGCAAGCTATTTCAAAGCGAGCTTCTGGAATGTCTCTGGTTTCCTATTTATGCAGCCATTGAGCTAGAGAGAAGTAGCACCTTATACTCTGCCTGGCACTTTTTTGGCTAGGCACTTTATATTCCTGTGAATGTTCGTGTAAAGTTGAAAAAACAGGTAAATAAATTTACCCAAGGTCACACTTGACATCCCCAAAATATGTGCATATTTTAAATATAACCCCATATTTCATTATTGCAAGACCAGAAGCAGAACGTATACTAACCTTTCTGGATGTTGAGCATCAAAGGCTACATGGTTAGTCTAGGCCTGACCCTTGAATGTGAGTCTCAGGCCAGGTCCCTGGTAATAGGCTTGGCCCCAACTTTTCCACTAAGACAGGCACCTCTGCAGAAATGAATTCATATCTCTGGTGTGTGGAGGGCTGGTTCTGAAAAGCTTGGGAAGAGGATTGATAAATAGGGAACATCTAGGCTTAGCTAAACAAGGGTGGGATGGTGAGGAAAAGAGCAAGGAGGTAGAAGACTTTGTATGAATTCTCAAACGGTTATAATTTTGTCATGCCCCAGCACTACACTGAGAGAAGAGTGAGAGCCTTAATAAAGGCCTGTGTACCTGCTCAGGGCAGTCAGGATGGAAGCTGAGGATCCCAGTTTTCTCACAGATGGTTTTATGGGGACAGTGCCAGCCTTGCAGCACCTTCTCCACAGACTCAGAAGTCTGTGCCCTGGTGATTAGGAGAAGGCTAGTCTAGATTAAGCAGACCGCTCACTCATAGTTGTGGGTAAAGAGGGTATTTATTCACCAACGAGGCGGGGAGGAGCTGAGCCCAGGCTCCCCACTCTGGTACATGCCTGTTCCGCCCACCGAGGGGGTGAGTGGGGGCATTCCTAAAGAAGTATAGCCGTTCTCACAATAAATACATTCATTGTAGGGGAGAGGTGGAAGAGGTCGGGTGAAGGGCAGTAAAAATCGTGGGATTCCACGTTCAACTACAAAAATAACAGTCATCCTCACCCAAAGGAAATGGGGAAGCTCAGTCAGGATTTGATTGTCCCATATGGGCCTGGAGACTTCAGAGGCCCCTGGACCCTGAATGTACCCCGGTGAGGTAGGACAGGGTGGGAGCCCAGCATCTAAACTCCCAGCCTCTGCCCTTTGCATAGTTCCCAGAACGGGCTTCACATGCCAGGTGAGACATCAGATCTCTCCTCCCCCTGCTCTAGTCGAGGGGTGGCAAATACTTGGTCCCCAAAAAGGGAGGCTGGCTCATAGAGTGCAGTTGGTCACCCGTCCTAGGGTGTCTGCAAGGACAGCGGAATGGGAGAGGGGTCTCCCTCTGAAATGTCCACGGACCAAACCTGACACACACAGGTCTGAGGCAGCAAGGGGAGGCTCAGAAGGTGCGTTCGAGTGGAAATGTGAGCACATGTGCATGAGGAAGGCGCATGCCTAGAGCTCCGTCTGTCACTCCCAGAATGACCCAGGTGGGTGGGAGGGCTGACTCACGAGGGCGGCATACTAAGGGAAAAGAAAAGGGGATTGATGCAGTCTTACCTCCCCAGGCTGGCCTGTTCCCAAGCTCTTGCCAAAGAGGTCACATGGGACGGACTGGGGAGAGGATTTGCTAGGACGGCATGTGGCAGTTGGGAGGGTACCCGAAGTCCAGAAGGTGGGATAAATCACTAGAATGCACCAGGGTCGGGGTGGGGGCCCTGCAGCCCAGCTGATAGACATTCTTCCATGTGCGCATGTGCATGTATGCAGGGCTCAGGTGGCTCTGGTGGCTGGCAGAGGTCTTGTCTGGTTTCGGGACCATCCAGCACAGAGGGCCATACAGAGGGTGGTGACAGTGAGGCCATCTGGACCTGCAGAGCCCTGCCTGGGGGAAAGAGGAAGGATTTGATTAGATGAAAGGGGCAGGAAAATGGTGTCCTCTCCTCCCATGTTCTTAGGTCATGGGAATAGGAACTGGGGCTGGGTCTGCAGAGCACCAGGTCCCGAGGGAACACCTACCTCTGAGGAGCACCGGTTGGCCTGGGCTGCTCACAGATGGGTCTGTGAAGACTGAGGAGGGGGCTTTGGCTGGGCCTGACTGGCCAGCCCTACAGGGACATCAAAAAGTTGGGAGAAGGGCCTGGAGTGGGGGGGTGTCAAGGTAGGGTGACTGTGTTGGGGAGGCTGCGACCCAGCCTGGGGCAGCCAGGCCGGCTTGGAAGAGCATTTGTCCTGGGAGGCCGCACTCAGACAGAGCTCTCATCCAGGTGCTCCACCAGCTGTGTGTGCTTCCTCTTCTCTAGGATGCGGCTGAGCTCCTCGGCGAAGGAGCTGGGCCCTGCCGGCACGCAGTTGTTGCTCTGCCTCAGGAGCACGTAGCTGTTGCCATTCATCCTGCGCAGCCGACTGGGCAGTGCCACTAGCCCATTGGTCAGCTCAGCCGGTGGTGGGGGCGGGGGCGGGGGCGGAGGTGCTGGGGCTCCCTCCCCAGGGATGATCTGGAGGCAGCCGCCTTCTATGCCCCCAGACCCCTCCCCATCGTCACCTTCATCTTCCTCTCCTGGACACTGGCCTGAGACTGTCTGCAGCTGCACGGCAGATCCCCCTACCCGGCCAGCCCGGCCCAGAGAGTATTTTCGTCTCCGGCCTCGTCTGCCCCCTCGAAGACAGGCCATATAGAGGAGGGAGGACGCCAGGATGAGACAGAGGCCACCGAGCGCCGCGATGGCTAACACATAGAGCAGCCGCACATCAGGTGCCAGTTGTGCCCCAGGCATGGCAGGGGCTTGCGGAGCTGGGGCAGGAGTGGCCCGCCGGACGGTGAGGCTATAGGATGCCAACAGAGTGCGGAGGCCATTCTCCTCTGCGTAGCAGCCATAGATGCCACTGTGCTCGGGCTGCGTGTCGGTCACCAGCAGCCCGTCCACACCCACACGGTAGCCATCCTGCCCGTCGCTCAGGCCCCTGCTCCCATTGAGCAGCCACAGGGCCCTGGCCAGGTTGGAGGGCTGGTCACAGGGCAGGAGGACGTCATCACCCCGGAGGACAGAGCGAGTCTTCACTGGTGGTGGTGGCCCTGGAGGGAGGGGACAGGAGGAGCTGTCAAAGCCTGTCTGTCCCAAGCAGGGCCGTGGAGAGTGATGAGCCATGTGGCTCACTGTTTAGTCTCCAATACCAAGCGCAGGATCTGGAACAGTGACAACTGACAGGCCTTCTGCATTCCCGCCCCCATGTAAAATTCAAGCTGGCCCTTCCCAGGAAGCAGGCGGTGCCTGGGTCATTTCTCATCTCATTTTGGGCTGTCACCCCCTCCTCTGGTGTTAATTTCTGCTATCTGCCAAGTTCCCTCTTGAGCGCCAGACTTGACCACCTTCCACATGCTGGCATGTCCACGTGATGTCCTTGGACAAGTCACAGGAACTAGGGCCAAAGCCTGCCTTCCAAACCATAGTGGGTCTTTTTCTTGAGTTGTCATCACTGTGCATAGCACCACCAACTCCTGAGTTGCCTAAGTCAGAAACCTCAGACTCTCCCTTGTCTTGTTCCAGCCTCGCCTCTTGTTGCTCAAACACACCAAGCTCGTTCTGCCTGCTGTTCCTCTGATTGGGTGCCGTCCCCTCCCCCATGCCCTCCACGCACCTGGTTGACTTGAGTGGGGGATGGGGTGGGGGGGAGAGCACAGGAGTGATGAAAAGCAAACTCCAGTCAGATCGCTTGGTGCCAGGTTTGAATTCTGACCCTGCTGCTTAATAGCTGATTAACTTTGGGCAGCTAACTTATTCTCGCTGTGTCTCAGAGAGGTTACCGCTCACAGAGGTGACAATTATGGCACCTCTCACACAGGAATATAATGAGAGTAAATTAGATTGGGCATGTAAGTGTCTGATCAAAGCCTGGCCCAGCGAGTACTCAATACATGTTAGCTATGATCGTTTACTATGCTTTTATTTTATTTTTTATTTTTAATAGAGGCATGTTTTATTTATTTATTTATTTGTTTGTTTGTTTATTTATACATGCACTGGGTACAGTCAGAAGCGCAGGAGGGTGAGAGAATTCACCAGAGCCAGAGCGGGGAGCAGAGCAGGCAGAAGGACCGAAGTACACTGCTGAGGGGAGCAGCGGGCGGCAGGAGGGGTCTGCGCACCATGTGGGGCCCTCCTCCGGTGGCTGGGGAGCAGCCGGGGATCGAACTGGCGCCACAGAGGCCGCGGGCAGCTTCGCAACCCAGCGCTCAACCGCTGCACCATTGGGGAGGCCCTACTATGCTTTTAGATATCAGCTAAGTCATCTAATTGTCTGTAGGGAACTACTCATTATCTTTCTAATCTTTGCATAGTTGTAATTATTCCTTTTGTAACAAAAGACAATGAAAAGGATTATAATTATTTGCTCCCCTGCTTCCAACTTGGCTATGAGCTCCAGACATGAAATTTTGTATGTTGGGCCTCCCTGGTAACCTAGGGGTTAAGTCTTTGTGCTTCCACCTGGAAGGCCTGGCCAGGGAGCTGACCCACATGGCACAGCAGACCTTTCCTGTTCTGCTGCTGCTCCCCTCAGCAGTGTATTTCACTAGATCCGCCTGTTCTCTTCCCCACTCTGTCTCTGGTGAATCCTCTCACTCCCTGCACCTCTGGCCTACACCCTAGTTCTTCTATGCAAAATAAATAAGTTTAAAAAATATTATAATAAAGGAATAATTCTTTAAAAAATTTTTATTTTAAGCCTGTTTCTCCTCACTGAAAATGTGTAATTCATTTGGGCAACAAATGTTTGTTGAGCACTTACTCTGTCCCAGACTGTACTGAATCATCCTCGCTGAAAGCATGTGGAGCCGCCCATTCACATACACACATGCGCATACACATGGCAGTCTATGGTAACAGGACCGGCTCTGCAGCCAGGGCCACACACCCCCATCCACAGCACTTACCTGTGTTGCTGTTGCCTTCACAGCCTCGGTTTCCTCGCTCTATGTCCTGTATCACTGTTGTCCTGCAGACAGATCAGGACTCATGAGTGAGGGGAACCAGGCTTCAGTTTCCCCAATGGAAGGGTCACAGACAATTACCACAACAGGTCCCCACTCCACCCAGAGCTGGCAGGCCCTTTCCACCACTCAGGCCGTGATGCCCCAGGCACATGGGGTCCTCAGTCCCTCCCCTCTCCTACCTGCTACCCTGGGATCTGTTGGCTACAGTGGCGGCCACGCAGGTATAGGTGCTGGGGTCCCAGCCACAGTAAGGGTCCCGGGCCAGGATACAGTCATAGCAGGAGCGGTAGCGGGAGCAGCTGGAGAGAGGTAACTGGATGACTCCACTAGAGGCGCCCACATAGAGGCTGTGCTGGGAACCAGAGAGAACAGCTGGTCAGCAGCACCCCACTCCCACTTACAAACACACAGCCCCTGATGGCCTCCCTTACTTCCTCCCCCTATTCTGAAAGGCTATGTTGAGGGTCACAAGTCAGGGGCTACCTGCATTAAAGAGATGACCAGATTCTCCACAGGTTGGGGCTCCTTGAACACCTGTGTCTCTTCAATAATGTGCATCCCAGAGCCCAAGACCACAGCCTTGTGGATCCAGCCATCAGCTGGTATGGAAAGAGGAGAGAGTCAGACCCCAACAGTGGAACCTGCTCTCGGCCCCTTGCAAGAGCCTAAGGAAAGCAGCTTGGCAGTCAGGAGGTCAGGGACGAGGATTCAGTCAGTAGAAGGACACTGGGAACTCTGAGCTAGTCATGGCAGGAATAAGTGGATTTGGAAGCACTAGTGATCAGGGTAAATGTCATTATTGTTAGTGATATAAGTCAGCAGTCACCCTAAGCCAGTGGCGACTGGGGGCCAGTAGTGAGTGTTCATTGAAGAATCAACATCAGTGGTCACTACAGTTTTGTTATGGGGGTATCCAGGGTGTGAGCAGTCAACAAAGGTCAAGGACTCAGATCAGCAGTCACCAGAGGGCTTGAGTCAGGGGTCAGAAGCACCTGTGCCCAGAAAGAGCAGGTCATAGGTGAGTCCAGCAGGCGTGGTGACAGGTGTCCCCGTGAGGTGCGTGTAACGCACGCTGCGCTTGAGCAGCAGGGGCCGTCCCCGCGTGGGCAGCACTGGCCGGGCCATCAGTGGGTGCAACTTCACAAAGTCCAGGACCAGGGATGGTAAGTCCTGGGATGAATTGTAGCCTCGGCTGCGCAGCGAATCTGTGATGCACTGGGGTGGGGATGGTAAGGTGAACCTTAGGACCTCACCTGCCCCTCCTCCTGCCCCACTCGCATTCTGGCTATTCAGCACCGTTCGCTCCCCAGGCCTGGGCACTTACCGAGCCGGGCCGGGGCTCTGGCACCCCACCCTCATAGCGGCCCCAGCGCCGGGCACCATCCTGGTATTCCATGTAGGGGCCTGTGAAGACAGTCTGCACCTCAGCCAGGTCATAGCGGCAGATGGCTGAGGCCTCCAGTGTTTTCCTGAGGGTGGGACACAGGGGAGGGGGATGAGTCACGCTGAGTGTACCCTGTGCCCCTGCCCGGGCTAGAGCCCACTAGAATCCTGGCCATTCCCAGCTCCAGGCACAAGGGGCCTCTCCTGAGGGTCAGTAGCCTCTACAACCTCTAGCCCTACTTGCTAGACATGCCCGAAATTCTCTCTCTGCAGCCGGCCCTCCCAACAGTGGGTCTCGCCCTCACTGAGCTCTGCGCCAACCCCTATGCTGTCCCCAGTGCCTTGCCTCCCCCCATCCCTGCACTGACCACTGTGTGGTCAGCGTGAAGGCAGCATAGAAATGTGTGCGGGCCGAGGTGTCAGTGTCCAGGCTGCAGACGTCACGCAGAGTCTCATATAGAGGAATGTGGCAGTAGAGACGCGCCTTTAAGAAGGAGGTCCACTTCTTCTGCAGGATCTTCTTTCCCCCCAGGTCTCCCTGGGAGGCAGGGACATGGGGTCAAGGTGGAGTCAGCAGATCAGCCTCTGGGTGCTCGCCCCAACCTCAGACCCACTCACCTTGCACACACGGGCCACGCGGGCGACACGGTGGCTGTTGCGGCTCTGGGGAAAGCTGCCCGAGCCCTCCTCGGCAGCGCGCTCGGTGAAGAAGTAGTAAACCTTGTCATCGTCACCCACTGCGCTGGCCTTGCTCTCCCGCACCAGGACGGAGAACACAAACTCAGCATCTGTGGGTCAGGCAGTTCAAGTGGCTTCTGAAGCAGGCTGGGATCCTGCCCCTTGCCTCTACCCCTTGTTCCACACCCAGGAATAGAGGCTCACAGGGCACTCGGGGGTGGGATGGCTACCGCCTAGGGCGTCAAGAGGAAGAAACAGTCCCCTGCCCCCATCCTCCTAACCGTTGAGCCAGTGCATCGGTGCCTCCTCGGTTCTCAGGGAGTGTGGGTGCCGACTCCGGCGGATGTCAGGAATGCTCCGGAATTCATACCGTGTGGCTGTGTACAGGCCTCCATCTGGAGCAGGGCCAGGCCAGGCACGAGGGACATGTCACATACAATAAGGCACATAACACATGGGTGGCCAGTCCTAGCGATGAGACCCCTGGCCCACCAGCAGCGTGATTATGGGTGAAGGGCTGGTGCGGGGAGAGGGGCACACTCACCGATGATGAGGCCCGTGAAGCCTCGGGCTGGGTCATATGGACACTTCTCCTTCCCCTCCTCAAAGCTGGTTGGCAAGGTGAAGGCCTCAGAATCCTGGGGAGTGAGGGGCCCAAGTCAGGGATTGTGACCCAAGATGAGAACAGCCTGGAGTCAGGGACCAGTGATCAGGGCCGGGCAAGGCACACTCACAATGGCTGCACAGAGGGGCTGGAAGGCGTGAGTCCCGCATGCGTAGAGGTGGGTGGCATTGAGCCGCTGCAGGAATCGCACGTGGTTGAAGCACTCGGTCTGTGGGATGGGTGGGGGTTGGGGAGGGCTGTGAGCCTCAGCCTCCTTAAAGGCCTCTCCGTTAGTCCAGCTCTGCGGTCTAGCTCTTGGCCCCATCCACAGGACAGAGACCTCGAAGATGCCAGTGGGCCCTCTCACTGCTCAGAACACAGACTATTCCCTGGAACTCCCTGTCCTCTGGGCTCCCTACAACACGACCCTTCTTTTCTCCTCTTCCTCTCGGATCACCTGACATACTCTGCCGGCCTCTCCTGCATCTCCAACAGCCCTCTGCACCCTAGTTCAGGAGCAACAAGCCCCTGAGGTGCTTCTCTCAGATCTTCTCAGCAGTGTCCTCCAGTCCGAGAGTTCCTGTACCTCCCCTGGGGTGACAATACCAGATCTGTCCCCAGGCTCCAGCTCCTTCCACCTGATAAACCACAGAGCTATCACACTCACCTTGTCAGAAAGCAAGCTCTCCCTTCCTCCTAACCTGCATCTTCCCTCCTGAACCTGTCCGTCCAGTCTTTCCCAACTCACTTCATCCATCCATCCTATTACTCAGCCCAGAAGCCAGGATTCATCCTTGCTGCTACCCACTCCGACAGTCCCTCTCCATGAGGAAGTCTTTGTCCTAAATGTCTCTTGACTTGTTCTACTTCTCCTCCACCTCCTTCATCATCCAAATTACCACCATCACCTCTGGCAGCACTCTTAACCCTCAAAAGTACTTAATTCATTCAGTATAAAATCAAGAAGGTACAAAGGATGTGTTGTAGTAAATAGAATCTTCCTTTAATTCCCATGCCTTCAAAGGGGATGGCTGTTTTGCCATTGTCTGGGGTTTCCTTCTAGAGATCGTCTACCAATATGCACACTCTTGCAACCCACTTTCAAAAGGCATATCTAAAAAATGCAACCTGGGCCTCCCCTGGTGGCGCAGGCGGTTGAGCATTGCGCTGTGAACCTGTCCGCCGCCTCTGCAGCGCAGGTTCGATCCCAGCCAGCCTGCGAGAGTCCTGCATGTTGGGGCAGACCTCTCCTGTCGCGCCCGCTGCTCCCCTCAGGAGTGTATTTCATCAGTCTGCCTGTTCTGTTCCCCGCTCGTCTCTGGTGAATCCTCTCACCCTCCCGCACATCTGGCCTGTACCTGGTTCTTGTATAAATAAATAAATAAATCTTAAAAAAAAAAAAAAAAAAACGCAACCAGATCATGTCATTGCTGTATTTAAAATCCCTGAAGTGGCCCACTGAGCAGAGTCCATGTGCCCCAGCCCTGCGAGCCAGGGCTCTGCCCCTCCTCTGGTCTCATGCCAGCTGCACCAGCCTTCTCTACACATCACATGTCCTAAGAGGCCACCCCCTTCTTTCCTTTGTAAGGTTTCGCCTCTTGCCTTTTAGTATTTCATAGGATTATTTTAGAATTAGGTAAGATATTAGCTAAGTCAGCATTTACTAGAGATGACTTGTTGTTATCATGATTATTATTTGGGAGCCCAGAGGAGAATAAGATGCCATTGCAGGCCAAGATAATAAGTCACCAGATGTTTGGATAAGAAGCGCTGTGTGTAGTGCCTGCCACTCCAGCGACATTTATAATGTTTATTGTGGTTGCTGCAACTGACCGGCTGACCTGGACCTCTCTGCTGTGTCTCCACCAGTCCTGACATCAATACTGGGGAGGAAGAAAGGAGCGGGGCCAGGGAAGACCACATACCTGGTTGTTTTTCCCTTTTTGATGACATTTACTTTGCATCTCTGGAGAGGCCTCCCAAAGGATCTGGTAGGGAGAAAGGGAATGGGTTGATGCACTGACCCCAATACCCTTGTTTTTCCCCATTACCTGCTGGACCCAAGTGACAGGACCCCAGGGATCGGGGACAGGTACGTTTCAGGAGGAGCTTCAGATGCAAGGAGACCTGGATTGGGAAGGGAAGCACTGTCCAATCAGGGGGCTGTAGAAGGCCAGCAGGGTTTCCAGGAAGTTGAGGTCCCAGGGAGTTGGACAAAACTGGATAGACTCTGGGTGGTCCAGGTAGCAGAAACTGACCTCTTTATGAGCCCCATCTCCTATGTCATTGGCATTGAGAGAGAACAGGGCGCCTCGGGCTCCCACTAGCAGCCTTGCTGAAGCCTCCTCCAGCAGCAGCGTTGAGTAGTTCTGGGCTCGGCCCTTGAAGTGCCGGGTCCCGGAAAGCTCTGGGGAGAGCTGAAGCTATGAGCCCAGTTCTAGGGCTGCCTCCCCAGCCCTAGCCCTGGTTCCTGCAGCCTTTCAAGGTGGTGGGGTCTAACCTTCATAGGAGATGGTCATCCGAGGGGTGGCATCTAGTTCTCTGGAAGGTCTTCGCAGCGAGGGTCCAGGGACTGCAGTAGCTGTGAGGAAGCTCAGCAGAAGGGGCCAGAGCCTCCCCAACATCTTCCTGGGGAGGACTAGACCAACAAGACCCCCAAGGGGAGTCAGGGCCAGAGTCAAGGGGACAATGGAAAGAACAGTCACAGGGATCAAGGTCCAGGGAGGTCACTCGGAAGAGTATGGGTCATGCGGCCAAGGAGGGTCCTGGAATCGGGGGGAACTGGAATCACAGGGTTGTGTGGCCATGGAATCCCAGGTAGGAGGTCAGAGAGGGGGATGGATCATACACTGCCTTTCCACATCAAAAACAAACTCCATGGTGCAAGGGAGTCGTGGGGTCATTGGAGGGTTGTAGGTGACTGAGAGGGTCACCCTGCTCCGATCGCAGGGCTAGTCCTGGTTTTCTGAGGTCCGTTTTCTGAAGGAAAAAAATACCAGAAAGTTTTTGATCTGTATGTGGGTGGAAGGTGGACAGCATAAACCCCCAACTCATGGGGCACTGAGCGGACAAGTTCCAGCACTCCCAGAACCCCCACATCAGGATGGACTCAGAGTCTCTCTGCTCATCTCCCTGCTATGAGGCCGGCAGTTGTGTGGAACTCACTCTCCTTACCAGACCCTAGACTCCCTCCAACCCAAACTCCAGGTAACTGCCCTCCTGTGCCCACATCAGAAAGTTAAGGAGGCATCTACCTTGGTGAAGTTCAGCTTCACTCAACTCAGGCAAACAGCTGTCCCCTGGCCTGCGGGGGTGCCTTATGCAGGAGGGCCTGCGTAGAGATGGTTAATGGGCCTTTGTTTACTTTGTCCTGCTTTCCCTTTGTTTTTTCTTTTCCCTGGCCTGAGAGCTCCCTCTGGAATTTCTCTTTAATTAGACACTTCTCCTCCTCAGCATTCTTCTCCGAGGGGGTGCACATCTCTTCCCTGCCCATTCGAGTCTGTACTACACCCTCTGGCTGGGCATCCACGCGTGCCCCTACCTGCAAAGAGGCACTCATAGGCATGGGAGGGGGTACCTGGCCCCCTGATTACACAGGTGTAATGTCAGTGCAGGAGGCTGCAGTGCACAGGGCCAGCAAACTCAGACATGAGCAACAGGGGAAAGGTGGATGATAGGACCTGAGCTCCTGGCCACCGCTCCTGGCCCATCTTGGAGACTTCCCTCACCTGATCCTCTCTGAAGCCAACGGGATGGGGAGCGGGGGAGGGGGCAGACCTTATCTGGTTCCTGTATCAGTCTGATCTCTTGATGGGGCTGTGAAGGCCTCCTGGGCTGGGCTAGATGTGCGGGAAGCCTGACCCACCTGGCCCTATCAGATTCACACAAACAGGGCCAAAGGGGCCACTGCCCCCCAACCCCTTCCAAGTAAAATATTAACTACGTGGCCTTGATGGGAGGGGAGGAACCAGGAACTGGCCAGAGGGAGAATAGGAGTTTGGAACATTTATTTAAGAGGTAAAGGTCAGCACCCTAGTGAGCATGATCCAGAGGGGGAGAACGGAATAGTGGAAGGAGGGTCCCTGGACCCCAGAGAGGACATCAGCTCCTGCTTAGGGAGCTGGGGCAGGAGGTGCCTCAGGCAAACTGCTGATGTCCCAGTCTTCACTGTGAGGTACACCTGTTTACCTTTGGGGCCTCCTATTTGCTTAGTGCAAGGGTGGGGAAGCCCTATGGGTAGGAGGTTCAGTTCCTAGGATTGGGCAGGTGGAACACACCCAGGTGAGAGGAACCACTCAGAGTGTGGAGCACGGCATGCTTACACAGGCTTACACAAGTCACATGACCAGAGGGGGTAACGTGCATGCACACAGGTGCACACATACATGTTCACAGGAAGGCTGTGAACACACATACTTATCAGTCATGCACACACACAGGAAGGTTTGTGTACATACATGCTCGCATAAAGGACCTGCCACACATGTTCATAGATAGTCACACATGAGGTTGTATTCCCAGGCCCATTCATTCAGCAGGTCACCTGCCTCCCAGGCTGACAAGGAGAGTGAAAAAGATCATCCCACTATTCACTCACTGGAGGGTCTGGCATACACACATAGATGTGCACACAAAGCCACTCATACAGTGGTTCAGGGACCATCATCACAGAAGGGACAAGTACGCGCATGTGCACACAGTCCTCACACACACCTCTATGCACAGGTAAGCGTACCTACAACACACTTCCAGGGGTCCAGTTCTCACTGCAGCTTGGAGATGGCCAGTGTCCACTGGGGGTGAGATGCAGAGCAGAACCCCGCCTCCCTTCCCAAGAGTCCCAATTCTAAGGCCAGATTCCGACTGTGTGTGTATGTGTGTAGTTATGGGGGAAGCTTCTGACCTTGGACGCTCAAATGGGATGGGTACATGGGTCAAGGCTGCTCTGCAAGGTAGGGAGGACCTAACCCTACCAGGAGGCGGCCCTTGGCTTTTGCAAAGGAAAGACGGAACAGGAGGGGTAACTCAGCACTCCTCTACTTCCACGTACATTGCAGCTCTAGATAGGGAAGTAGGGTAGATGCTCTCAGCCCCCATGTAACCTGTTGGGAGGGAGGGTGAGGCTAAGTGGAGGGGCGGGGCTGCCACCCCTTTCCCCCCCAGTGGTGAAAAGGCTTAAAGGTCTCCAGTCCACACCCCACTCTCTACCCCCAGTTCACAGTTTGGGTTCTTCCCCAGGGCCAGCCCCCTAAACTCTGGCCACTTACCCGCTATTAGATCCTAGGGCGGCGGGAACTGTGGAGGGCAGACCCCGAATACAGGATCGGCAGGCTCACGACCTTCATCCCACCTGTCTGCCGACCTAGTGTCGGCGGCATCTCCCTCTGGCCGGCAGGATGGCGGCCTCTCCTGGCCCACGGGCCTGGCCCCCGCCCCTCCACCAGCCTGGGCAGCCTGTGGTCCTCTCCTCTGGCTGGTCTAACCTCAGTGTCTACTGCTGTCGCTCGAGGACAAGATCTCCTTCGATCCCGCTGGACGCTGGGAGATGTGACCCAGATCCCGGAGAACACTGTTCGCCACGCGGGCCCCCGCCCCCGCGCTGGTGTCCGACTCAGCGGTGGCGTCCGAGCGCAGCCGAGGCCTGGCCCGCGCCCCTCTAGCGCCTTTATGCGGGACCGCGGGACTTGGCGGTGAGAAAGGCCTGGCCCCGCTGGCAGCGGGGAATGGAAGTGGGGGAGACCTGGCCTGGCCCCCGCCCCCTCAGCCCTGGCCCGCCGCCCTCCGCACTCCCCTCTCACCTTTGCGCTCGGATCCCCGGCCATGGAGACGGTGACGCGCGGCTCCGCGGCCGCACAGCACCCGCTGCGGGGAGAGGGGCCGCCGCCAGAGGCGGGGCGGGTGTGGAGGCGGAGCCGGGGGTGGGGCAGGGGCCTGAAAGGCGGGACCAGGGAGGCGGGGCCGACAAGGTGGGGTGCGGGGAAGGGCTCAGTTCTCTCCTTTCGCGCCCGCGCTCGACACAATGGAGCCGGTTGAGGCCAAGCCTCTTACCGAGCCTGGGGGCTCCCGTCTGCCCGCACCCTACCTCTGCCTACAAAGGCTGCGTCCCGGTAGCGCCCCCTGGTGGTGGCCTCACGACGCAGCGCGCCCTCCTTGGATTTACACCTTCCTTCCGCTCTAGCCCTGGGACCCTACTGGGCACTTGGGGCGATGTTCTCTGGGAGCTCTGACTCGGAGGGCCCTCTGGACTGTCCGTCTACCAGGACTCTTACTGTACTCCTGTTACCCCTTTTTACCTACAGTGCAAAGGGGCACAGGTAGGTAGAGACCAAGCTTTGGGCAGCTCTAAATTCAAGGAGCCCTCCCTGATCTGTCCTTCATCTTAAGGTCTGAGTGGTTGTATGTGTGTGTGGAGGGGGGTGCTGGGAGGGATGTGGGGGAGGGGAGGGCTTAGAGTGAAGAAGTAACAGCTTGTCCAGAAGTGCACAGAGGAAATGCTATTTTCTGGATAATTTCACCTGTGCACTCAGTGAAATCATAGAGGTAATCCGGGTTCTTTTCTTCGGGGACTGGGCCACTGACACCTGCCTTCTTTTTCAGTTCATCTTGAACATCACTCTTACTCCAGATCTTCTGTGAAATTCAAGGCAAATCAAATATCCCACCCTAAGTGCAACCTGGGTAAGCCCCCCTCAGAATCAACTCCCCAACTCCTTTCATTCAACTGGAATGGTCCTTCCAGGTAATCTGTGGCCCTGCAGTTTCTTTTGATTCAGGCCATGCCTCCTTCCCATAACTAATATTAAGGACCCTCTAGGGTTTGGATCAAACCCTAGCTCTAGACATGAGCTACCTGGTACTCACTCCCTCATCCATGACAAGATTGATGGCCCAGAGAGAGCCACTGCGTCTGACTGAGCCCTGAGGACAGGGATCTGGGGTAACAGGTGGATGAGCACTGGCTTGAGAGAGGGCGAACAGGATTCAAGTGCCTCTGTCATTATTAACTGAAGCCACCTTGGGAAAGACGCCTAGTTCCTCTTCTCTGAATTCCCCAAAGCTCATCTTGGCACTTCATTGCATACAATCTAGTAGTTTAGGCTCTTGTGTGTGACTGCAGATCGCTAGACAGCAGGGCCCACATCACACTTCCACCTCCCCAGCATTCCGCAAATAGGATTTGTGTGTATGTGGAGAGGAAGGAAGCTGGGGAGAAATACTTACATTAAAGTGTACTTACACTTCTACAAAGAGTGTCCTGTACCCTCGTCCCATCCTTATGGGTTAATAACCCCATTTTATAGATGGGAAAATAGGTTCTAATAGGTTAACTAACTTGCCTTGAAAGCCAATCTTGTGTGTACGAGAGGACAGTTGGCCTTGGAAAATCCTAAGAGGGAAGCAGGGCAAGCTGGACAGGAAATTATCAGAACAAAGGCAGAAATGTGCAAGTTTGTGCACAGATGTGAGCTGGGGAGTAGGCAGAAGGGAAGGGGCATAAAAGAGGTCAAGGAGTTTGAGTTGGTGAGATAGGAGGCTTCCTAGTGGGGAATAGAAAAGTCAGGGAGTTGGAAAAGACCGCAGAAGAAAAGCCTCGAAGCATAGATGGATTGAGTAGGGAGTCAGAGCTGCGAAGAGCAGGAATGAAACGGCTCAGAAAGAGAAATCTACAGTTCTTATGGGAGGCCTGGGGGTAGCAGAGTGGGGAGGTCAGGGAGACTGGCCCACAGAACCTGACAGGAGGGAAAGTAAATCACTCCAGTGGGCTGAGGGGCATAGAACTCAGGGTGACTTCAGATAACTCATGCCGTGATTAGGCGGTAGGTTTAGCATTCCATTGACCTACATTCTGCGAGGAAAGCCTTCTTCCTCTAAGGTGTTCTAATGGCAGACTCAAAACCTCATGTATTTTCAGAAGAGCAAGATGTATAAGTCACAAGGCTGAGTACTAGTGTGGCACTGGCTAAACTAGTTGGGTAGTTACTTCAGTAAGTCTGATAATATAGATTCAGATCACAATCCATTTCATGCTGCTCTCTGCCCACCTACGTATCTCTGAAGTTAATGAAAGATCACATGTGAAGGCAATTAAGGGGACTTTCTCTAGAAAGTCTCTTGGATGGACAATACTCATCTCTGCAGCTCCAACTGATAAAACATAAATGAGGGGCACATTGACAGCAGGAGACTTGAATTCAAAAGAGAAGATAATCCTAACCTGTGAGTTTGGGTCCTGGGACAAGGCAGGTCAGTTTTTGAGCTGGCTGTTAACTCATCTTTAACGTCACTACCCTGGCTGCTTCACAGTGGGGTGGTAAGGATCCTGTTTGAAAACCTTCCGGTGCACTTCACAAACACGGGTTTTGTTTTTGCTAAGCTGTTTTCCCCATCTCAGCTGTAAGAAAGTGGGTGAGGGCTGTGCCACTTGTCCTCTGCCACCTACACACCAGCATTGGGCTCCAGCTTTGCACACAGCAGTTACTCACTGTAGCAGGGATCCTAGATGAAGGGGGGAGGTATGAACTGCTGAAACTTGATCACAGGTTCCCTGAGGCAAGAGAACTGTGGCCTAGTCAAGTTGTTCTGCTTCCTGTTCACTGTGGCAGCATTGCTGTTCCTGCTTTGCCATCTCCACCTCTGGTTTGCCCAGCACTCTCCCTTTAGGTGGTGTGATCTTTATTTTGGCCACATACACAGCTGAGATGCTTCTTCAAAGGATGGTCACCAGTGCAACAATGCTGTAGTCTCACTGTTCCACTGTGCCTCAGAAGCCTGTTTTGCCTGTCAAGATTTCCTCCCAGCCAGTCGTCTTGGAGTCAGACCCAAAGCTGGGCCTTCTGGTTTGCCCTCTCTTGACTCCAGCCTGGGGACGGTTAGCAAGGAAAAGGGAGTGTCAGGACATGTCCACAAATGTGGGAAAATCACCACCCACCACCCCCTTCTCAGCGTTAGCATGCGGGGCTATAATAAAGTCACCAACTAAATTTTTTTACCAGTAAAGAGTTGGACAGAGATGCCTCCAGAACTGTCAGAAGGGATATAGTACACATACACTATAAAGAGATCTGGTTTGCTAAGATGTAAACCCCCAAATGCCTGAATATTAATTTTAATTGTTATCTTAGAAGACACTCAAGTTGCAGCTAAATAATAACAGATGGTATTCATCAAGGTCTTGCTATACACCAGGCACTTTGCTAAGCACTTTTCGTACATTAGCTCCTTTAGTCCCCACACATTCTGAGGTAGACACCATTATTATCCCTTTTACCAGATGAAATTACAGCTCAGAAAAGTTAAGTAACTTGCCAAAGATCAAACGGCTGGAATGATGAACCTTCTATCTGAGGTCAGGGCTATGGGCAAGGTCAAGGCCCTTACTTTGCACAAGGCTGTGCTATCTGCCTCCCAGTGAGAACTTAAGGCAATATGTCTGCTTTTGTCTGGCCGCTCACTCTCCTACTCCACCCTACTGTCAGGGGAAAAATGCTCCACAAGGAGTCTCCTCTAACCAGCCTGTCGGAAGGCAGAAATACTGGCATGGTTCTAGAACCTGAGACCTCTGGCAACCATGCCTACTATGAGCTCATTAGAACAGCTTCTCTTGTGAGGAGGTATCAACCTACGAATCCCCCAGCTGGCATATCCAGAGCTTTATCCACTTGGCAGGCTGAAGTGGACATGAGTCCTCCATCTGCACTGGATGGCTTCATCTTTTTGGTTCTGGACTCTAGACCAAGTGCGCCAGATCAAATGTGTTCTTTTCCAGTCCTCTGGCCAGTAACAGGAGGTATTTTTTAAACTTGGTTACCAGAAGGTTGGATTCATAAGAGCTGTTTTATGTCGTTCACTACTAGAGCACTGAATTCTAAAGAGTGCCTAGCATGTAGCAGGTACTCAACAGCTGACTAAGCATAGTGAATGAGGTGATACAGGAATGAGATTACTGAATTCTGCACTGCAAAGTATATAGCAAAGTGTTAACTGGATTATGTAAAAGTCAACTGTGCACAACTATGGCTGTATGTATTCCAGAAATAGGAGACATCAAGGTAACAGGAGACTCCAAAGCAAAAGGAAGGAAGAAATCAGTTTAAACACTAGGGGTCAGGCCTCCTTGGCAGCGCAAGGGGTTAAGATGCAACCTATGAAGCTATCCACAGCCTCTGCAGCACAAGTTCGATCCCCAGCCAGGGAGATACCCACATGGCACAGCAGATCTCTCCTGTCTCGCCCATTGCTCCCCTCAGCAGTGTATTTCAGTCAATCTGCCTGTTCTGTTCCCCATTCTGTCTCTGGTGAATCCTCTCACCCCCTGCATCTCTGGCCTGTACCCCAGTTCTTATGTGCATAAATAAATAAATCTTAAAAAAAAAAACCTAGGAGTTGGGTAGGGGAAAAAACAGGACATTCCAGACACTTAGCCATTCCCATTCCCAAACAAATATTACCAAACACATGTTCAAACTGAGAAAAAGCTGTTTTAATCACACACATACATTCATAGGACTTTAAGCAAGATGTAGTATAAAATCTTAAAAATAAAGAAAAAGAAAAAGAAAATCTGCGTTTACTTGTAAACCGCCTAAAAGCTGGTGGATTAACTGGCTGACAGGACTGCCTGGGGAAACAAAGCACAAATAATGACGCGCACCGACATTGTTAATGAGTAAGAAGTAACAACCACGGGTCATGCTAACTGCTCTACACGCCAGCTACCTGTACCCTAATCTTGCCTTTTTAGAGACAACCCAGGACAGTCCTCCCCTAAATCTCCAACTCAGTCATTTGCTAATGGGTCACCTCTTAAATTTTTATTTTTTTAAATTTAAAAGTTGTTCTTGGTATAAAGACTTCACACATTATTACTGGCCACTCCCCACCAACTACAGTTGTTTTGACAGAAATAAAAATGAAAATGCTCTAGGTGAGCCTGGATGACACCACGCCATTTTCTATCTTTTACATCTGGGGAGATTTTTGTGAAGTCAAAAAGCAAACTCTTACAATTTAAAATAAAAACAAAAAGCCAATCTTTCAAAAGGTGACAAAGGCACCACTGCCATCAGTAGATAGACAGAAAATGTACAAATGCTGTTACTTTGCTGCTACATAGATGCATTTTGTGCATGAAGAGCCTCTTCACTTAACATGATATAACTAATAGAATTATATAGGATAACAAGAAAAGCAGTTTAGAAAAGGCAAACAGTTACACACAAAGCATAAACACAAGTACCTTAATTCAGCTTGCAATAAGGGTAATAAGTTTGACATACACATCAGGAAATGAGACAAGGTGATTTTTGGCACGGTAATACTGCCAAACACACCACCACTCAGTGCAAGCTTTGTTTGCCAAGTCCCAAAAATGGCCTGACATTCTCTGTGCAATGAACATTTTCTCCCCCACTACCATCCCATTCACTGGGCAACATCAGCAGGAGGGAGACAAAGCATGGGGACTTGAGGGAGAAGGATAATACTTGATTTGGGAGAAAAATCATGGGCTACTTGTGCTGAAAGAGTCACAAATTTTTTTATGAGAACTCAAATGCAAATACTGACTGGAATATGACCTGGAGGCTGAAGACATCTACCAGAGTCATAAACATAAGGGTCCAAACTGATGTTTGGCCATTTATCTTAAAGGGACAGATGAAGTATTTCTCTAATGGAGAATGACAAAAATAGAGATTTTTCTTATTGGAACTGCTAAATAAAAATGTATCAAAGTGGCTTGAAATTTGATGGGCAGTTATCTATTGAAACTGCAATACAAAAGGGTCACTTAAAAAAAAACCTGAATAACCCACTTGTCCCCCCGTCAATGTACACGATTAGAAAATATTTACACACTGTAATTACAAGCAATATAAGCAGTATTTTATACTTTGAGATTTTGTACACTTTACACAATGCAAAATGAGAAAAATATGAACACTTATAAAATTACACACAAATAATGTATCTACAAAGTATTAAATTACAGAGAATGAAAGCCCCCATTGTTGGGCAGATAGATGCCAGAGTTTCAAGCTTCTGTCAAATATAACTCTTTGTATCTATCTCATTAACCATAAGTGGCATTTCTAACAATTCCCTTGAGAGGTAGTATCAAGATAATATTCTTACCAGTAAACTCAACACAGATTAAAACTTTTGTTGGTCTGGCTCTTGGAGCCTTATCCAGATGGGGTTCTTGGGAACTGGATTTATTGAAGTCTTCCCTATGAAGTCTCTTATCTGTTTAATGCTTGACATGGGCTCAAAAGTTACTGATATTCTTTTAAGGATAACTTTGAGATAGAATGCTTTTTACTTCTAAGCCTCAATTTAGAGGTAGAAAGTGTATTTTCAAAATCTATTTTCTGTCCTCTCAAATCATAAAAAACAAGTCAATTCCCTTTCCTTCCATCATCTTTCCCCCCACACTGGAGACATTAAGGGTGCTCAGCAGAGCAGTGTCATCCAAGTCAATGTTGAAAGAAAAAGTTGGCATTCTCGTTCAAGAAACAAACCCTCCTTAAAAGGGACACTCAGGAAACAAAAAGAATTTTTCAGTTGGCTAGTAAGAGTCTATTACCACCACAGGCTTCAAAAGAACCCTTGGGTTAAGACCAGCATGTGCACTTCTACTAACCTTTCACCATTTAAACCAAAGGATGGCTTTCCAGTGTTTAAGAATTTAGAGCAGCTGTGGTTTTCAAGTGCAACAACTTAAAATATAAATGTGTGCATGTGCATGTGTACACAGTATGCATATGTGCACACAGACACACACACACAGACACACACACAGACACACACACAGACACACACACACACACACACAGTGTCCCAAAGAATAATCACCATCCATGTCTCTGCCAAGATTTTGTACTCATGAGAGTAAGGTTTTTGGAAACTTATCCAGATTTTAAAATTTTTACAATATAAACTTTTGTATTATGGCTAGCAAGGGTCAGACTTCTAAGATTTAGCTGAGATTTCAAGATTTAACTGTATTTTTAAAAGAAATCCAAAACAAACTGCACATTAGAATGTTTTGGCACAAAAACAGAGCCACTATTTTATAGTTTAACCTTTCCCTTTTATGGAAATCTGACAATATACCAAACTTTTGTTTCTCAACTGTTTAAATGTGTATTAAAAACCTAAGAGATTTATAATCTTGAATAGGGAAGGAAAGCTCATGGATTAAAACCTCCCTGTGGTTTTTAGAAATTAAAGGAGATTTATCTTTTTTGTTACTAAATACAGTCTAAACTTTCCCTTTGTGTCCTAAAATAGCCAACAAGGAAAATTAAACCCACTGGAACTTGGTCTTGGTTTCCACGACCAATTCCTCCAGTTGGACCAAATCCTTTCTTATACAGTTCCTGTGATTATCCAAGTGTCACAAATACTTCCCCCTAAAAGATAATTAGCTTAAAATTTAACAAGAGGAATTAACAGGAGCATGTTAGACATGCAACTATGCTTCTACCCCTCCCTTCTCATGGAATTCTGCTCTTTTAAAAAGCCAGTTGCCTTAATTAAGTAGATCGTGTTTCATATCTGCTGCAGAAATGGCAGTTTCTTCATTACCAGCATTATACTAGATATTCATGTGGTACATTTGCTGAACATTTTCTTAGCATTCCATTGGATTCTGGTAATCCTCTTCCAGGGAAGGCTCTTGCTGAATTTCTCTCAGTTCATGTTTGTGCTGCTGAAATTCCTGTTAAGAATCTGGTACCCAGAAGTCATGAAGCTGCCCCTATAAAAGCGGAGGGGAAAAAGGGACAAAGGAAAATCAGTAAGATTATGAATTAATCTTTATAAAACTACTAATCATCTTTGACAATGGAAGAAATAAAATTTCTGTTGCATATTTCTCTGAAAGTTTATGGTAATCAGTTTCAAGTTTTACATTTTGTGGTCTGGCAATGAAAAAAGTATAAGAACAAAATGTTTTTTCATCAATACATACAGATGTTAGGTCATATTTAAGATTAAATGTTTATCTGGTTTTGATATTAGATTATTTTCTGTTTTAATGTCACATCAACAAAGACGGCCAATCTAAAAAAATATATTGAGACAGACTATAACAACAATAATAAAACACTACCTTAAATCTAAGAAGTCTCAAAGCCATCTCTAAAAGGGAATGCATATCTTATGAAGGACACCGATTGCATGAGAGTAAAAATGTTATAGTGAGATTGCTTTTCCTAACTGACCCTCAGTGTCTTACTACTTTGCTATAAAATATAAACCACTTTTAGAGTTTCTCTACTGAAATCTGAGACCCTGGGGCATCAAAATCTGAGACCCTATGAGGAAAGCAGACTGTCTCAGGTATACCACTCCAGACCCATTAAATCAGAATCTGCATTTCAACAAGTTTTTAGCTGATAACTATACACATTAAAATTGGAAGTATCATTTTAGACAATCCCAATCAGCCTGTAAACAAGCAGGATGACAAACTTACTAACAACGCCTCTATTAAGCAAAGGCTCTTTAGATATGACACCAAAAGCAGAAGTGAAAAAAGGATAGTAAAGAACAGATAAATAGGACTTCATCACAATTAAAAATTTTTGTTCTAGAAATGATACCAAGATAATGAAAATACAAAAAAATGGGAGAAAATATTTGCAAATTATATATCTAATAAGAGATTTATATTTAGAACAGATGATCAATTCTTATCACTCAATAATAAAAAGATAAACCAATGGAAATATGGGCAAAGGATCCAAACAGACAGACATTTCCCCAAAGAAGTTTTATGGATGGCCAATAAACATGAAATAAGATGTTCGATATCATTAGTCAGATGCAAATTAAAACCACAATGAGATTCTACTTCTAACCTCCTACTGTGTCGGTAGTCAAAAGGATAGGTATTAACATGGGGAGAATGTTGAGAAATTAGACATCTCATTCATTCTGGTGGGAATGAAGACTGTGCAGTCACTTTGGAAAATAGTCTGGCAATTCCTCAAAACACTTAACACAGAATTACCATATGACTTAGCAATTCCACTAACAAGTGTATGTGCAAGATGTTTTCATTTGAAAACATATATTCGTATAAAAAACTGTTCATGGAAGTGTTGTTCATAATAGCCAGGAAGTGGTCAGGAAATATATCCATCTACTAAGTGGTTAGATTAATGTGATATATCCATACAATCTGGCAATTGAAAGGACATACATGCTACCACACGAATTCACTTAACATGTGAAAGAAGCCAGTCATAAAAGACCACATACAGTATATGATTTCATTTATATGAAATGTACAGAAAAGGCAAATCTATATAGACAGAAAACAGATTTGGGGTTGCATAAGTTGTGGGAGGAATAAAGATGGGAGTGCAGGTGGTCAGGGAATAGGGAGTGACTGCTCATGGGTGTGAGATTTCTTTTTGGGATGACAAAAATGTTCTAAAGTTAGATAGTGGTGATAGTTGCACAATGCTATGCATTTACTAAAAACCAGTATATATTTTAAGTGGGTGAAACTTATGGCATGTGAATTTTATCTCAAGAAAGTTGTTAAGAAAAAGACTCCTGATAAAATAACCTAGATACAATATAACATATTAAATGGGTTCAGCTACTTCTGGAAACAAATCAATGAATATAAAGCAAACAAAAACTGAAGAACAGACACAAACCATATATTATGTTAATAAATAAATAAAACTGTTAAAAATGACACCTGAGTAGGCCGACAGTTCTGGATTATTTCCTGCCATTTTCCATGTATCCTGGCAACCAAGTCTTTTACCTTAAAGATAAAGGGGGGGGGGGGGGAAGGATCAGATCAAAACAGCCTCAGCTAACAGCAGTTTAATGCTTGATATAAAACACCTGATAGCTGTGACAAGTCCACATCCAACAACCCAACTCAATTTGATTTTTATCAAGAAAGAAAATTAACCACTCATCTTTTAGAGGTGCTTTCAAATGACAATGGTTAATAAGACTTTTATCCTTTACCATAATCTAAAATACTGGATTCTATTTTCCCATTAGTTACTAGAAATAATCCAGGAAAACATAGTCCCTGCCATCAAGACACATTTTCAACTTGCTGGCTTTTGAATATCCAGATTAAGAAGCTGAAGGGGTGGTCTTTTTTATAGGGTCCAAGGTTTTGGGTGGCTTCCTGCTTTCTCAGCTTCTGTTTGACAGAATCAAGATTTGAAAGTGACACAAAATGGCTGTTATTTGCTCCTTTCCATATTACTCAAAAGATCCAAAATTCACTGTAATGCACCTCTAGATTTTAGCAAAGTACTACCATTTCTTTTAAATTCCTGGTGTATTTCTACATTTGGTGGTTTAGCAAGTGATTGTGCAAAACTCAAACTTTCCTGTCACTCTAGAGATTCCCAATTACTTCTTGTCCATAATTACTTCAGAAATGTTTTAAACAAGTCAGGAAATTTATAGCTGCTTTTAAATTTATAAACTAAATTTCAAGGCTCACTTTTTTCTCCATTTAGAGTTTAGCAGATTCAGTTTCTCCAAAACAATCATCACCTTTTCTACTAGACGTTTTTGGAAAGGTACACAATTCATCTATTTCAGCAGGACCGTTTCATAAAGCAATTTTAATAGACCTCTGTGTCACTCTCCACTCTAAGTAAGAGGAGCCCTGGCACCAATCTATGACGGCCCTTGGCTTTAAGAAACAAAAACCTTGTGTGGTCCCCTTTTATCATGTCTGTCAGCAGTAGCCACTACCACCAAGTTCCACGGGCCAGTGACTCTAGCCAATGTTCAAAAGAATGTGCTTCTGAAACTATGAAACTCTAAGGCAAAGAGCTATCCCCTACATGTATTTGAAAATCTGCAATCTGATACAACTTCATTAGATGCTCATTTTTGTACTTAAATCTACTAAAGTAAATAAAGATACTAAACCTGAGCAAGTATTGCTCAAATGACCAACCTTTATAGATAATATACATAAGATATAGAGTTACACAAGCTGAAACTTCACATTCAATGACCATCCAAACACAAATGGCAAGAAGAATCAGCTTACAAACGCTAAAATGATTTGGGAATTAAAAAAAACTTTAGAAGAAAAAGCAAGTTTTGATTAATTTTACACTTTAGGAAAAACTGTTCATTAGTAATACTAAAGTTGCTTTCCTAACTCCATACTCATACATTCACCTATTTAAAACTACTTAATATATTAAATCTTTAAGGAAAAAGCCTAACAAGGTTACTGCTGAATCCTTTCTACCTTAGAGCTTAGATTGGATAATGTAGGACCTACAGATTTGATATTCTCCAATGGAATATTCAAAGAATAACAGCTAATCTATTTTTTTTCTCATGAACAAAACTAGTTTTCAACTGTCATCAAATTTTATAACCATTGTTTAAAAATTTATATATTTAGGGCTTCCCCGGTGGTGCAGCGGTTGAGCGCTGGGTTGCGAGGCTGCCTGCAGCCTCTGCGGCGCCGGTTCGATCCCGGGCTGCTCCCCGGCCACCGGAGGAGGGTCCTGCATGGCACGCGGACCTCTCCTGCTGCACGCTGCTCCCCTCAGCAGTGTACTTTGGTCCTTCTGCCTGCTCTGCTCCCCGCTCTGGCTCTGGTGAATTCTCTCACCCTCCCGCGCTTCTGACTGTACCCAGTGCTTATAAATAAATAAATAAATAAATAAATCTTTTAAAAAAAAAAAAAATAAAAAAATAAAAATTTATATATTTATTTAAACAATGCTTCAATCCTTAAAGCTAGCTTAGGCATTAAAGTCTTATTTTATATACTGTGAAGAAACTAAGAAGTTTTATTAGTACTAGAATAACTCTTTTCCTTAGGTTATCAGGCATTTTAGAATTAAAAAAAGAAGTAAAATGAAAAATATATGTTTTGAGATTTTTCCTTCAGTTTCAATCTAGCTATTAACAGAATTAATTTAGTAGAAGCTGGTTTCTGTTATTAAAGGAGAAAGTCATATTTCTAACCTTACACGTTCTTTTTGTCTCCTAAGACAGGCCCATATGCATCTCTTATAACATCAAGGTCAAGATTAAATGAAAACAAAAAAACAACAATATGTAAGAGAAATGCACACCCACCTTAGTTCTGTAAAACAATCTTGCATCTTCCCTAATATCACACTTAATATGTTTTTCCAAAGCCCCACAGAGAAGCACGAAGTGTTTCTGTGCAAAACAAATGTAAGACCTGAAACAACTCTGTAGCATTACAAATTAACAAAAGGAGACTACACAGTTAGGACTAACAATCTATCATTCTCCAAATAGCAATTTCTGATGTTAAACATATAATAGCAATCATATCATTGAAAGTATTAACTGCCACAATAAGACTGTTATGGTTTACTGTCAGTGAATGTGAGAAATAAACACACAAAAAAAGTTGTTTTGCTATGGATTAAGGCACATTACTGAAAAGTAATCCTAGAGCTCAGTTTGTGTGATGTAATGCCCAGAAATTCATAGTCTTTCCCTTAATGCATTCTCTAATGGCATAGTCAAATAATGGTTGACAGATTTTTTTTTTCTCTATAAACAAGTTTTAATAGTAATTCCTTGAAAAATTAAGTTTTAGAACTGTATAATCCAAAACAGTCACTCTCATATGTAAAGGTTGAATATGCTAAGATAAGAATGCACATGGGTACTTTTGGGAAGGGAAATGTGACAACAGCTATTGAAAAATATATAACCTTTTATCACAGAACTCAACTCTGAGGAATTCTGCCCCACAGAACTGCTTGCATATGTAATAGAGATACATGAATAAGTATGTTCATGCTAGCCCTGTGTATAATCACAAAATACGTAATGTTCATTATGATTTTTAAATACTATAACACTTTACAGAAGTGCTACTATCTTACAGTGAAAAAAAGACAAGATTGAAACAATATGAATATTAAGACACCATTTTCTTAAAATAATGATGTTAGTATATGCATAGATTATGGAGAAATTTACAGAAAGGCATGGTTCTATAATATATGGTTCTATAATAATTAAGAATTTATAAATAATAATCAATTTGCTTTTAGTCATTAAATTTTCTTTGAAAACTACAAAGGCCATAACAACATTACAGACAGATTAACTATACTGGCCTCCAATCAGGAGAGCAAACATAGCAAAAACACACAAAGCCATCTTGAGTCCCTTTTTCATCATGCTTAAGGAAAAGGAAATACTCAGTTTTAAAATGGGTTGGATTAGCTAAGGTGTGAAACCTGTGGAATTAAACAAGAACTTTTCCCAGGAATATGGATCATCATGGTATAGGGAGAACAGAGAAACTAAAAATGAAATTCTTAACATGGGAAAATAATTCAGAAACACATTTCTGAAGCAGTCTGAGTTATCACCAGTTTAATTTTAAGGCAAGTATTTCTAAAGAAAAAAAAAGTGGAGCCCATTTGGTAATTAATGCTTTATACTGCTGCCAAGTTATGATGGTTAATAAAAAGAACTAACGTCTGTGGGCAAATAATTCTTGTCAAGAATTATTACTTGCATAGGTTATTCCTCCCTCTTTCCAGTGTACAACAGGATTTCTATAGCAAATCTAGAGTTAACTTTTCTCCTATATAAAATTCCATCAATAAAAACACTTATTAAAAACAAAAACACTAAAAGCTTTCTACCTACCCGTTGTCCAGAAGAAAAAGAATGAGAACAACTAACTTCACCAACTAAATGAAGAAGAATGTAGGTCAGGTAATATGCCTGTTAGAGAAATGAATAAAATGAACACCAATGAATTAGTTAGCATAGATGTCATCCAAGTTTAGACATTAGGAAAGTTGCCCAGAAAGAGGTGGTAAACAGGAAAAAGTCAAACCTAGATTATCTGATTTCTAACTCAAGTGTATTCCTTTTACCACTTTCTGTCATAGCTTAAAAAAAACAAAAACAAAAACAAAAAAACTCCCAATATTAAATCCCCAATATTCATTCTTTTACTTAAATTCTCAAGTTTACTGAGGAATTTCATGACAATAAAAAAAAAAAATTTCATTTTATGATCATGTTTGCTAGAATCCAAAGTGCCTATGTTATCATCAGTCTATGGTTAGGAAGCAGACATCAGTTATGCTGTCAATTATCTAGTGCTGGATACCTGCTTTTCAAGTTCCAAATGAAGACTGTCATCAATAGTGCCATTTGGTTGTTCGGCTCTTTTCTTCAAGACCATTTTCTTTAACAAATCAGAAGGCTTCATTTGCACAAGATAGCGATGTAGGACTGATATCTACCCAAAAGAGGGGACAGTGAACAGTATTAAGCAATATAGTTTCTCTTTCTTATGCTAGCTTTGTTTCAGTGTATCCTGTTCTTTTTGCCTATTCTAATTCTGCCCCTTTAGCTTTCTTTATAATAGTTCAGTGATATCCATTTCTCCTTTAGTTACAAGTCCTCAATTGCTTAGAAAGGGATTTTAAATTAAAAACAGAACTTGTAACTGAGAATAAAAAATAAAAGCTTAAGGAGGAAACTAAGTAACTTGACAGCAGAGATCAAAAGGAATGCTTTCTCTTTAAAATTATTTGGGAAAAAAAAATTCTCTGAAAATCAGCAAATGCTAAATCTTGTGAATAGGAGTCACTGAATTCTGAAAAGAGTTCTCTTTCGATGGCAGTAAATATCACTGACAGGATTGGGAGTTATCTGCTAATTATCCTGGTAGCTCAGGCATAGTCCCCATATGTCTGGAATCAGATCTACCTCAACACTAATGCAGAAACTAGCTGTCCCCTCCAATCTCCCTGTTCCACAGTAATCTGTGCATGCTTTCATCACTGTTCTTACCATACCATACCACAATGGTTGGTTTATTTCAACCACTATATTTGTGGCAGAGTCCACTGGACTTGTTTTTGTATCCCTCAGAGCTAGTAGTTTTGTTTTGTTTTTTTTTAAAGATTTATTTATTTATACAAGCACTGGGGTACAAGCCAGAGGGGTGGGAGGGTGAGAGAATTCATCAGAGATGATCAGGGAGCAGTACAGGCAAGACCGAAACACACTGCTGAGGGGAGCAGCGGGTGAGACAGGAGAGGTCTAGCGTGCCATGTGGGAATCTCCCTGGCCGGCCGGGAATCGAACCAGCACTGCAGAGGCTGCGGACAGTTTCACAGCACTGCGCTCAAACCACTGCGCCACTGGGGAGACCCCCTAGTAGTTTTTAATATTAAACTACAATTCAAATAATAACACTACATTTAAATTAGATTCTATGTTGTTACAGATTTGAAATCTATAGTCCCATTATTAGTGCTATTAATTTGTAATAGCCTTGAGGATGTCTCAGAGTGGAACTTCCATAGGACATGCTCATATATACTCATATACAAGATATAGTCACTTCTAAGCAAATTCTGGAGGGCAACCACACCTAAACTCCATAATTTAAAGACTAATAATAAAACAGACCTAAGATAGTTAATAGGCAGTAGTTCTGAAAATTTTAATCTTGTGATAAAATTGCTAACCTTGATAAACTAATTCAATGAAAAATGTCATATTAATAAGGCATATTATAATTTTCCCTGTAGTTTTCACACATTGTCTAATTGTTCACAACCACCATGTATGGGAGAAGTATAATACCATCTTCATTTTACGTATCAAGAAACTGGACCTCATTAGTTAAGTATCATACTAAATATTACATGAACAGTAGCCTGAGAACTGACATCTAACCTCAGGACTTCTGACGTAGGATCCATCAATTTTTCCTATACCTCACTATCTCTACGATTTATTAAAAGAAAACAAAAGTGTTATTTATACCTGCAGATTATTAGCATTAGGGATATCTTCACGTTTCTCATCCAAAAGCTTTGAAATAATCACTAGGCTGAGGCACTGTCTCAGTTGCCTGGAATTAGAATTTAAAAGTATTTAGAACGTATTTTCATCAATACTGCTTGAGAAGAAACTGAGCTAAAAAGGAGGTTTTTTTCTTCTTTCTAATTGGAAACACAGCTAACGTTTCTACAGGTTGTTCAAGAACATATAAGCTTTAAATAGAACAGTAAAAATTCATGTAAAATAATTGTACATGAAGTTAGAGTTGCCCGAAGCTCAGGCAAATCATTAAGAGCTTTCATCTTTGCTCCTGATTTACTGAAAGAAAAAACTATCGCTGAATTTCTTTTTCTAAGGCAAAAAAAGGCTAATTCATTTTTATGGCATGTGTCGTCTATATTATCAGATAAACTAAAACCAAAACTCAAGAATATTACAAAATGATCTAGGTTAAGTGTTAGTATCAGACTGTAAATGCCTTTCCTCATAGTTGAATATGAAATGAAAGGAACTAACGGATGCAAGAGAATTTCTTAATGTAAACATTATAAAATTTTCTTAATGTCTAATTCTCACTTTTCAATACCTTCCACGTGATGTCCAGTTAGGGACCAGCTGTACCAACCACAGAAGATTGTGGGGATGACTGGAAAGTTCATTTATAGCCAGACAGAGTTCAGGTACCTAAACAAAGAAAGACCCAAGATTTTCAAACAGGTCAATGGAATTAAACACCCAACAAATCACGCACATCCCCTCTTGACCTAATGGAACCATCAGAGCACTCATTTTCAGAAATACCATGGAGGCTAGAACTCAGTACTCACATTAAGCCTTAAGTTCTAGACAAGACTGAACAGATATAATCATCAGAATTTCACTTGGCTTCTGTACTTAAACAGTCCATTTTGAAAAAAAAAAAATGATGTAAATATTCTATCAGTTTCTAAAAGTGTATACATAAGAGTTCCACAATATGTGTTCCTGATCTGAGATCACTTGCATTTTAGGGATCCTCAATTAATGTAGTACTTAAAGTCTAAAAGAACTGCTTTAAGATAATACCTGAGTAGAAGCAAGTATGGGATGAGGGTACTAAACAAAATTGATTGTTTTGTTAATGTTGAGCTGGGTGATAGATACAGAGAGGTTCATTATATTTTTTTCTCATGTACTTGTGTACATGTTTGAAAATTTCCACCAAAAAAAATTGAAAAATCTAATTTTATAACAAAAAAAATGGTTGTATAAGTTTAACTGAAATTCCTGTTGTATGTACTACTCCCTCTGTATGTACTAGTCCCTCTATTATTTCATTAGCCAGCAGCCTGCTCAAAGATCACTTAAAAAGGTCTTCCTCTTCAGACTCCCTCATCTGAAAAAAGCACAGCATCCCTGTCTTGCTACTCCCTAAATCCATGTCCCATTTTATTTTAGTTTGTAGTACTCATTACAGCTTGACAGGCTATTATAATCTATGTCTACTTATTATCTAACCTGCTGACTAGGAAAATGTGCCATGAAGACCAGGGCATTGTCGTTTTTACAGCTGTATTTCTAGTACCTATATAGAAGGTCCACAGAAGGTCCCCAATAAGCACATTTTTTGTTGAATGAGGAGCTGCAGTTTTAGCAAATTAAATATTTGAATACAATTCAAGCAAAGATAGTCCACTCCTCAGTTTTTTTCATCTGCTAAGGCTCTTAACTGAATACTGCATGCAGTGTGAAAGTTAAATGGTGATGCTATTAAAAAAAAAGCCAAATTTAAAGTTTTAAGCACTGTTACCTTTGTGTTCCAATCTCTGATATTTTTCATCAGGTTTATAAGGAGGCTCTGAAAATCCACCAGAGGAATCTGTTTCAGTTGCTTCTCCAAACTCATTTTAAACAACATTAAAATTAGTAACATTATTTCACGATCCTGGTAACCTTCTGGATGAATAGATGTACACAAGCCTAGAAACTTTGATACAAATACAGAGACAAACAATATAAGAAATGATATTTTACTTGAAGAGTTTAAATTATAAAAAGTTTTGGATAAAAAGGCAAAAGAGAACTATATAGAAAATAAAACAGCTATCCAGAAAAAAGACAAGAAATACTCAAGTTAATAGCTGAACTAGATGATATGATAAATATTTTGGTCTCAATTAATTTCAATTTTAAGAGTTAAGAGTTTAGTATCATTGATGTGATTCAGCCACTAAAAATACTTTTAAAGTTTTCCTTGAACAATTATTCATAATCACTAAATTATAATATAAGATTTTTTTCTTCATACATTCTAATTCTAAAAATTTATTGGTTTCAAAAGGCTTCTTAGTAAAGGTATTCCTAGAACTATTTTGATTACATAAATCTGATTTCATGTAAGTTCCCCCTCACTCCTAATATTAAAACAAAAATAAAAACAGTAAAAAAATCCATAATGCAAAAATTGCTATAAAATTTCAGACTAGAGATCACTGGTAAGCCATTAACGTTTTTGCTTTTAAACTATTAACAACAAAACGAATTGATTCCAGCTTGGTGTTAAAGACAAAGTTTTGGAGCCTCCCTGGTGGCACAGGAGTTAAAGTCTCAGTGCTATCAAGCTGTTGGCAGCCACTGCAGCACAAGTTCGATTCCCGGCCACGATGCTAACCCACATGGAGCAGTAGACTTCTATCTTGCCCACTGCTCCCCTAAGCAATGTATTTCAGTAGATCTACCTGTTCTGCTCCCTACTCTGTCTCTGGTGAATCTCCTCACCCCCTGCACCTCGGGCCTACATCCCAGTTCTTGTATGCATAAATAAGTAAAAATAAATCTTTTTTTTTAAAAAAAAAAAAAGACAAAGTTTTTTTCCTACCTTAACCACATTTAAAATATTGGTTTCAGGAAGAGTTGAAAAAATTGGCTTATAAGATGAATCTTCACTTCCTTTCCCCCCCAATGCCATCTGTATTTCTGAACTATAGGAAAATAAATAAAGCAATGTGAAACTAGGGACATTGTAATTAAGAAATAATTAAGAAATACTGTGCTTTTAAAAGTTAAGTCCTACTGAGGTATAATTTACATAGAACATACAATAAAAGCAATGTACCCATTTTAAATTTTGATAAATGTAATTAGGGTAACCACCATCCAAGCCCCCAAAAGTTCTCTCATACCAGATTCAAGTCAATCCAGCACCTCCTACCTGTCAAATACTAATGTGATCTTTATCTCTATGCACTAGTTCTCCCTTAAAAAGTTACCTTTTAGGGCCTCCCCTGGTGGCGCAGCGATTGAGTGCTGGGTTGCGAGGCTGCCCGCAGCCTCTGCAGCGCCAGTTCGATCCCCCGCCACCAGCGAGGGTCCCACCAAAAAAAAAAAAAAAAAAGTTACCTTTTATAAAGCACTATCCTTGCTGCTCTTGGTGTTAGAGAGCAATGCAGAAGGTGGCTCTGAGTACAAGCCTTGTGAGTGGCCTAAAGAAACTGCCATAGCAATTTAACAGAACAATTCTAGACCTTTCAATTTTGGTTGGGGTAATCAGGGAAGGTTCATGGATGAGAAGACACATGCACGTGGCCTTTAAAAAAAATAATATTTTCAGGCCTCCCCTGGTGGTGCAGGCAGTTGAGTGCAGTGCTGTGGAGCTGTTCGCAGCCTCTGCAGCACCGGTTCAATCCCTGCCGGCCGGTGAGGGTACCACATGGTGTGGCAGACCTCTCCTGTTGCACCCGCTGCTCCCCTTAGCAGTACATTTCGTCAGTCTGCCTGTTCTGTTCCCTGCTCTGTCTCTGGTGAATCCTCTCACCCTCCCGCACATCTGGCCTGTACCCGGGTTCTTGTATAAATAAATAAATAAATCTTTAAAAAAATAATATTTTCTTGTTTAATTTCTCAACAAAACACATTCATATGATTATAAAAAATTAAAAGGTATTAAGGCACAGAATACTGTGAAGAACTGTTTTCCCAGTTTGACCTTTTAACCTCCCTTTCCACTTCCCACAATTACTACAAGTTTTAGTCCTTCCTTTCATAGCACTTCATGTATACACAAATAATTATCAATACACAGCAGTCTTCCCTCATCTGCAGGCAATGTTTCAAGATGCCAGTGGGTACCTAAAACTGTAGACAGAACCACAGATAAGGGGGGACTGCTGTATGTCTCCCTCCCTCCCTTTAATACAAATGGTACCATATTCTATACCCTGTCGTGTGCCTTTCTTTTTTCACTTGATATATCATGGAGACATTTTCATAATGATGTGAAGAACTTTCTTATTTTTGAAACAGCTGATTGATAGTCCTATGTCCCTCTCTAGCTATACTACTTCAGTAAGTTACTTAACTTTTCCATGCCTGATTCACCTGTACAATGGGAATGAATAAACTAATAGGTATAGTGGCTATTAAATGAAGTTTGAGATATTCATTCAGCCCTCAGAATTGTGCCTGGCACACAGAAAGCACTATTTAAGTGTTAGTAGTTGTGATGGTTATTATTAATATACCATTGTTTACTATTTCTTTAATGTTGTAAATGAAGTCTTTTTTTCTAGTGACTTGTTTAGCTACAGTTCATATATCTGAAGCTTCATAATTTCTCATTATTAATTTTATACCCCAGCATCTATACCAAATTCTCTTGTTTGTTATAGCTTTTCGGTTGACTCTTAAGCTTGTATGTATTAAATGACTCTTAAGCTTGTATTAAATCACTTTTATTGTGAATAGTGAACCTCTCAACCAACTCATTTCCAATTTTTACCTCTTATTTTTTTCTCTGTTAAGTAAAATGCTTTGCTATAAAATTATTGTTAGATAATATTGCTATTATAATAGTAAAAACAATGAAAGTCATTAAAACTTTTATGGAGGAGGGGTGGCAGCACAGTGGACTATGTGGTGCACTATATGTTTTGGTGGTGGGTGTGGTATGGTAACACCTGAAGGGGGAAATCCTATACTTCTAAGACACAAACAATGATGCAAACCACTGTTACCTTATTAAAAAAATTATAGGAATGTTACTGTTAATTCCCTGTTAAACAAAATGATGGCTTTTAGATTGAGACATGTTAACAATATATTTAATGATAACAAAAAAGAATGTATTTAACTCAAGATTCATTTCTAATGAGATTAACAAAATCAAGAATGGATATGGAATTTATCAAATGAATATAACTATTATATGTAAATCGTTTTAAAGAATGCTTATAGAGTTAATTATGAAAACAAAAAACAACTTACACTAGATTATCTTCATTAAAGTCTGGCTGAAGATTCTCCAGAGGAAATAAAGATCCGAAATCAATTCCCATATTGAAAAACACAGCTGCTATATCAGACAATGATGGAATCCAGGGCCAAACTGGTGAATCACTGAAGGTATCTAGTTAACAGAAGAAAGTATTTTATTCCAAATTCTCAGTTGCAAACTCACAGTTGCAAAGTGATAGTCTGTGTGAAACATGATTACAATGACTTCACAGAAATGACAACTAGTAGTGACAGTTAATATAGTTATTTAGAATGATCATTTAAGAATTAGAGGTCTTTCAAATGAAGGTGGAGAAAAATGACTTTTATGAACAAAATAGTTGAGAGTGATGGATAAAAGGGTGTAAGTGTAACTCAGGGGGAACACATTTTGAAAAGACTGGAAATAACCAGATACTGGTAAAATACCAAATGCTGCTAAAATGGATTTTACCATCTTCATTCCTAATCCCCAAACAAGTTAATCAGGTAAATCACAATGCTTACCCCAATCCCCTTCATTAGTTTGCAAATCATTAGTTTATCGTATGAGTCATGAAATTATTTACATGAGAAACTTTAGAACTGCAGCAGAATGGGCAGCTTTGCATGATGCCATTTTAATAGTGGCTTATATGAGTCTACATACTTTCCAAGGATTTCACCATCTTTAAATAGGAAAAATCCTTATTTTCTAGAACTCCTTTAGAGCCTTCAAAGAAGAGAACTTTATCTGGGAGAACTTTATCTTCAACTTTCACATTAACTGGTTAAAATCTCTCTGTCCTTTCCTTTAGAGCCTCACCCAACAGCTGTAACTGCTGCTCGCAGTGCCTTTCCTTGAGAATTTTCTGGCAGCATAGTATCTCCCTTGGTTACAACTACTTTCAGCTAATACTTGGTCAAAGATAGGAAGAAACTCTCTAAATGCCTATTTTGTCATCACTCTAGCTGCTGCAGTTTGCACTTAACCCTCTATACCTATACCACTGCCAAAAGGAGAACAACCCCCCCCCCCCCTTACACAGCCCCCATGCTTGTAGCATCACAAGGTATCTCCAAGGGGAGAAAACAACTGTCACACTTTTGCACGGATGAATTCAATCTCCTCAGTGCATAATCAATACAATATTGCTGCTCACCAGTAAGTTAAAATTAATTGGCTAAATAAATAAACTTGCAACGTTTCCATTTTACCCAGCAAAGTAAACCATGAGTTGGTAAATATTAAGTAAGGGCTATCATGTGGCAAAATCTTACACCCCCATCCTCAACACAACTAGAACAACGCAGAAACTTATTTTTGGTTGGATTTTCATTTAATTATTAAAGACTTTAGATTATTAAAAATAATTTTTGATCTTATATTTCCAAATACCCTAATTTTTAGCAGTATGAAAGATCATGTACAAAGCAGTAAATAATATACACTGCAAATCACAGTAAATTTATATACTCACCATTTCTAATTGTTATTTCCATCAAAGTACTTAAAATCTGCACAGACACAATGCAATCTGTATGAACCGACATCATCTGTTAAAAGTAGATGAATGACAGGATCAAGTCAAGGCCCTTTTGATATAACTTTTAAGATTAGATAAATACAACCATTGAAATTATGAAAAAAATGCCTTGCTAGTTTATATCATGCCATGAACTCCAAACCATAAAGAAAAAATGCTACTATGCTGATCCTATAACAGGAAAAAACCAAACCACAAACTGGCAAAAAAATTTGTAAATACAAAAATATGCTATACGCTGATATACTTTTTAAAAGATGCTCAATATCACTAATAATCAGAGAAATACAAAGAAAAATGACAAGCTATCATTAATTTTAAGACTGATAGAGATCCAGGAATGTTAATACCTAGTCTTCATAAGAGTGCTGGGAAAAAGGTAACATGCTCAGTATGAGTATAATCTGGCAAAAGTTAAAAAGTAATTTGATGAAAAATATTGTCCTTATACTTTAATCAAGTCAATCTTTTTACATATAAGAATTCATATGCAGGGGCCTCCCCAGTGGCACAGCGGGCTGAGGGCAGCACATTCTATGAAGCTGTCCGCAGCCTCTGCAGAGGCGATTCCCACATAGCATGGCAGACCTCTCCTGTCGCGCCTGCTGCTCCATAGTGCTTTCAGTCTGTCTGCCTGATCTGCTCCCCACTCTGTCTCTGGTGAATCCTCTTACCCTCCCACGTCTCTGGCCTATACCCCAGCTATTGTATAAATAAAAAATAAATCTTAAAAAAAAATTTCATATGCAGAGGTATGTAATTTTACAAGGCAATTTTTGGGGAAACAAAACTCTAAGTTTTAGGTGTATAACAATGATTTGATATTTGTATATATTGCAAAATCATCACCACAGTAAAGCTAATTAAGATCCATTTCTTGTGCTCACTTCGGCAGCACATATACTAAAATTGGAACGATACAGAGAAGATTAGCATGGCCCCTGCGCAAGGAAGATACACAAATTCGTGAAGTGTTCTGTATTTTTAATCTTGAAACTTGGATGAAGTGAACTATTAATTTTATTTTTTAATTTTTACAGAAAAAAAAAAGATCCATTCAAAGCATATTGTATTTCTACTTTTATCTTCTCTTTTGTTTTGGAAACATGGATTATGATTATTAAATCATAATCAAAATTTAAATTTAAAAATTTAAGTGGAACTAGCCCAAACCCCGGTTTCAACCAGGTATGTGGCCCATGTAATTTAAAAATCAACCTATTGGGCCTCCCCGGTGGCGCAGCGGTTGAGAGCTGGGTTGCGAGGCTGCCCGCGGCCTCTGCGGCGCCGGTTCGATCCCCGGCTGCTCCCCGGCCACCGGAGGAGGGTCCCACATGGCGCGCAGACCTCTCCTGCCGCCCGCTGCTCCCCTCAGCAGTGTACTTCGGTTCTTCTGCCTGCTCTGCTCCCTGCTCTGGCTCTGGTGAATTCTCTCACCCTCCCGCGCTTCTGACTGTACCCAGTGCATGTATAAACAAAACAAACAAACAAACAAACAAATAAATAAAACATGCCTCTATAAAAAAAAAAAAAAAAAATTAAAAAAAAAAAAATAAAAATAAAAATCAACCTATTGCCTTCCTGGGGTCCCAAGGGGTTAAGCACAGCACTGTAAAGCTATCTGCAGCCTCTGCAGCAAGAGTTCGTTCCTGGCCAGCCAGGGAGCTAGCCACATGGCACAGCAGACCTCTCCTGTCTCACCTGCTGCTCCCCTCAGCGGTGTACTTGAGTCAGTCTGCCAGTTCTGTTCCCCACTCTGTCTCTGGTGAATCCTCTCACCTTCCTCCCCTGCACCTCTGGCCTGTACCCCAGTTCTTATATGCACAAATAAATAAATCTTTTTTTTAAAAAAAAAAGACATGCGTGTATAATAACATCATTAAGATTTTAAAGGCTACAACAATGGGCCTTTACCAATTATCAAAATGAATATTAACACGGATACATGCAAAGTTTTGCAAGTTTAAGAAAATATATATCCCATAATTATAGACTAATGAAGCTCTGTTGTGACAATAAATGAAATTTTGACTTCAAACAAATAGAAATATGTATATATGTATATAAACATATATAGGTGGGGTAGATGGCTAAGAATGTCACTGGAAGCTATTGGTAAGAGACAAATAATTTATCTGGAGCACATACTTACTTTAGGGAGATGGAGGAAACACTTTAGGAATGATACTGACAAGTTAAAGTTCATTCAGAAAAATGATCAGTAAAGGGACTGAAAATTTAGTGACTGGAGAATATTTAAGTATATAGAGAGTGAGGGTCGTAACAGTTATTTTAAAATAACTGAAGGACTATTAGAAGCAGCTTATTCTGGGGAGCTACAGAAAGATAATTAGTACCACTACATAAAAACTACAGGGAAGAAAAGTTTTATTTAACCAGGACTGTTTAAAAAAAAAACAAAACAAAACAACAACACTGGAATATAAGTAGTAAGCTCGTAATCACTGGAAGTAAATGCTTCTCTGCACCACCTACTATTCTTTCTGTTTATAGTGTTCTTCTCCCACATAGTGAGAGCGAGTTTACTCCATCACTTTCTTTGGGTTTTTACTCAGACCCTCGCAGACTAAGAAAGGCCTTCTACTACTACTACTACTACTACTACACACACGCAAACTTTCTTCCTATCCTGATATTCTCTATTTCTACCTCAGCCTACTTTTTTTCATACATTTATCATCTGACATATCTATAAATGTGCACACAAATACATTTTTATTGCCTGTCTCCTTTACAATAAAATGTGTGCTTCATAGTTTTCTCCAGTGCCTAGCACAGTTAAGCACCCCAAAATACCAACTATATGAAAAAATGAATGCCATGCTGTACTGGAATATCTAGGTCTTGCCAAATGTCAGACTCCTTGAAATGCTACCTTAAAACCCAGGAAAAAAAAACTCCATTTTTTCCCACTTTTTACCTTACCTCTGGTATCACTGATACTATAAAGTTACTATTTAAATAATATAAAAATTGAGGTATTTAAGTGAGTTTAAGATGAACAGGTGAGGAAAACATTCAGTTGGATTTCCATCCCTCAAATTTTAAACCTTAAATTTAATATGAGTGGGAAATATTAACATACAAGTCAAATCCTAAAAATGTATGCAGGCACCACCATTAAAATGGGGGGAAAGATTAAAAAACAACAACAAAAAAACCCCTCAGGAATGTAAGCATAAGATCTAAAACTATAATAATAATTTACCAGTGTGATGAAATGTTGAGGTACAACAAACATAACTGACTATCCTGCAAACTATCTGTATTAGCATTTTCTTTATAATCTCTCTTTTTAAAGATTTATTTTATTTACGCATACAAGAGCTGGGGTAAAGGCCAGAGATGTGGGGGGTGAGAGGATTCACCAGAGACAGACTGGGGAACAGAATAGGCAGACTGAGTGAAATACACTGCTGAGGGGAGCAGCGGGCGAGACAGGAGAGGTCTGCTTCACCATGTGGATTTCTCCCTGGCTAGTTAGGGATTGAACTCGTGCTGCAGAGGCTGCGGAATGCTTCATAGTGCTGTGCTTAACCCCTTGCGCCACCAGGGAGGCCCTCCTTTATAATCCCTTGACACTGACTCTTTTTGCTTCATTCTAACCCAGTGAAAACACTGATGTGCTAGATCAATTTTTTCTCTACTAATGTGAAAGTAAGATTATATTTCAAAAGCTTATTTTTGACTGAGAAATACAGTAGGAGGCTACTATACTACCAAACATTTCTTACCCGAAATAGCCATTTTAACACAGGCACAGGACACTGGACATAGTGATAAGCAGAGGTGAGGAAGCCTTGCGTTGTCAAGAAAATCTGATCTGTTTTTCCTGATCTGGAAATATAAAAGACCATAATGACTGCTACCTTCATGGAAGAAACTTCCACCAGCATACCACATCTAATATAATCAGGGAAATGAGCAAGCAAACCACTCTCAGCCCATGGCAGTCAACACTATCCCAATGTAAATGGGTTACTCATAAAATAAATTTATGAAGGCCCAATGTTGACCTAATCTGTTGATATGGCTCCAAACTTATCTGGTGAACAAATCTTAGCTGGCAGTGTTAGGGAGCCAATGGAGTCTTTGGCCAGCTGGGGGATGTACTTCCATATAACTCAGCACTGGAATTAATGTGGTATCTCTGAACCTGAGATCATTATTGAGAGAAATAGTTGTCCATCCCTACATCTATTCTTGCCTTTCCTCTTGATAATGGAATGCTTATTTTAGCTTGTCACACTGGTTCCCTAAAATAAAAAATCACTTTGTAGCCTTTCTTATAGTTAGGTATGACCATATTGACTAAGTTCTACCCAATCAACTGAAAATAGAAATGTGTGGAATTTCTGGGAATTCAAATGTAAAGGCTGGAGGTCTAGTAGTATTTGAGGGAGGTAAGGTACTAAGGATGTGAAGAAAGATTATGTGGTGAAATACCAGCCCTGGACTTCCTACCTGTGAACTCCTTTCACATGAGCAAAAAAATATACTTCCTGTTTAAGCCCCAGTTATTTTGATAGTTGCTGTTAATAGATACTGATCTTAATCCTAACCAATCAATAAAGCATCAAACAACTATCTTATTTTGCTTCCTATAATTAAGAAAACTCAAAGAACAATTGTAACAAATAGGATTAGGAAAATGGTTACATCATACTAGAAATTAACCTCAATTAGACAGTTTTTAATTTTAATAAAGGAAAAAGTAAAAAATCTATTTCTCTACTTACTTAAGAATAAGCTTTTCTACAGCACTTTGTCCAATAAAGCCAGAATCTCTTAAGTCCAAGGAATACTGAGTGAAAATTTTTCCAGAATTGAGGAAATTAAATATTTCTTCACCTGGATGATGATCAGGAATAGCATCAATTGTAACTGAAAATTTCTTCAGAAATTCCCTTTAAAAAAAAAGAAGTTATTGAATATCAAAGAATTATACTACATACACTCTTATATTAAAGGTTGGGTGCAAGGAAAACTTTTTTTAAGAATGTCCATTTCAGAAGACTAGCATGAACTTCTACATGTCTCACATTTTGCCAGTAAAGGTCAAAGTCACTAAGTATGTCTGTGTTAAAGGAAGAATAAGAGAATAGATGTAACTTGGCTGTAACACCTGCCTTTCAAATCTCCCATAGAAACCCATCACAGATAATAGGTATACCTCACTTTGAGCCATTTTTCCTAAAACAAACTGAAGACTTGTGGCAACCCTACAATAAGCAGTCTATTGGCACTGTTTTCCAAGAGTGTGTACTCACTTTATGTCTCTATATCACTATTAAGGTATATATATTGCTTTTTTAAAACATAATGCTTTTGCACACTTAATAGACAAAGGCACAGTATAAATATAACTTTTATATTCACTGAGAAACCAAAAAATTCATGGGACTCACTTTATTGCAATAGTCTGGAACTGAATCTGCAATATCTCTGTCTTCACTATATACCTTATTCACTATGTAAATAACCATTAATGGCTCATTTATTTTATAAAAATAAAAACCTTGGCCTCCCCTGGTGGCACAGGTGGTTGAGTGCAGTGCTGTGAAGCTGTCCACAGCCTCTGCAGTGCTGGTTTGATTTCCGGCTGGCCGGTGAGGGTCTCACATGGCACGGCAGAACTCTCCTGTTGCGCCTGTTGCTCCCCTCGGCAGTGTATTTCGTCAGTCTGCCTGTTCTGTTCCCCGCTCTGTCTCTGGTGAATCCTCTCACCCTCCCGTGCATGTGGCCTGTGCCCCGGTTCTTGTATAAATAAATAAATCTTAAAAAAATTAAAAAAAAAAAAACAACACACAAACAAACCATATTCTGGTATCTATACACTGTAAAAAATACTGTACCTATGTTCTTCTAAAAGGCCATCTTCATCATCTGTACTGTCTTGATCTCCAATTCTGATTGGGGATTTAATGCCTCGACCCTGCCTTATGTCCTCCTGTAGTTGCTTCTGCAGTTCATCCAACCTGAGAATTGAAAGAATGTTGTAATGAATGGCATAACTGCTCCCCACCAAAAAAAAAATCTTTAATTTGTATCTAAAATCAACACCAAGAAAAACTCTTAAGTACCTTGTTTTATGACAAAATTTGTCACACTATTGATCAACTCATGTCTTCAAAATCATCATATGATGTAAATACATTTTTACTACAACACAGGAGATTTACAGTGTCCCATTGTATAAGGGACTTAAATACTTATTAGCTAGGATTTTAATAATGATGTCCAAATCATTTAGAGAAAGGGAGGAAATGGCAAATAATAAACATCATGAATTTGATTATATCTTCTAATCTTTAATGCTCACTTGATTTTAGCAGAACAACCTGATGTTAACTAGGTTCTCTAGCAGCAATACTCATCATCACCAACCTAACACTGACCATTTATGTGATAGGCAAAATACTAGGACTTCATATATTAACTTTTAACCCTCACAATCCATGTGCTAATTTATTATGACCATTTTATACATGAAGAAACAGACATTACGAAAAACTAACTAGCTCAAGTTCACAAAGCAAGAAGCTGGTATTCAAAGTCAGAGTCTAGACATAGTTCTTGCTAATGCTTCTTGCCAAGATTAAGTTTTTAAAATCAAGGTTTTATTTTTAGGTGCAGTCGCACAATAGATGAGTACAATACAACAGTAAACCACTACTAAATGTACTACTCTATCACCACAGTAAAATGTCAATCATCAGATCGAAGTATCATCTCTGCCTTTGATGTATGCAGCGTTCAATTTAAGTGACTTTAGATTTCACATCACAGATCACATGAACTCATGAAATTTTTATAAAGAATTTTATGAGACAAATTCTCTAATGAAATTCTGAAAGGGGGAACACTTGGCATACTAACTCTCTGCAATTCCTATGGTTAGCTATACAGTGTATCAAGTTTGTGATACATATACATTTATACCAACTTTAGGCCAGCTTAGTTTTAGTGAAGCTCTAGTTTCAAGGATGCTCCTTGAACTAATAAAGAATATATTTTTCTTCTCTCCATAGCAAAAGCAGTCTGTAGCTTGTCACATAAATTTCATTAGGTCATTATGATCCTTAAACATTTTTTTTTTTTTTTTTTTTTTAGAGGCATGTTTTTATTTATTTATTTGTTTGTTTGTTTGTTCGTTTACACATGCACTGGGTATAGTCAGAAGCGTGGGAGGGTGAGAGAATTCACCAGAGTCAGAGTGGGGAGCAGAGCAGGCAGAAGGACCGAAGTACACCGCTGAGGGGAGCAGCGGGCGGCAGGAGAGGTCTGCGCGCCATGTGGGACCCTCCTCCTGTGGCCGGGGAGCAGCCAGGGATCGAACCGGCGTCGCAGAGGCTGCGGGCAGCTTCGCAACCCAGCGCTCAACCGCTGCGCCACCAGGGAGGCCCGATCCTTAAACATTTTTATTTCTGAGTGTGTATGTGGGGGGTTTAAATGATAATTCTAAATTTCCTCCTCAAAAGAATTAACTTGATGTAGAAATACCATCTCTTCTAATACTGGTTTCAAACTTGACTGTTCTTCTGTTTGCATAAAAACTCCACCAGATTAAAAAAATTGACAAAGAATCTGAATAGACATTCTTCATAGAAGCTATATAAATGGCCAATAGAGGCATGAGAAGATGTTCAACATTATTAGTCATTAGGGAAACACAATGCAAACTCATTATGAGATACCATTTCATACCCATCAGGATGGCTAGTATCAAAAAGTCAGAAAATATCAGGTATTGGTAAGGACGTGGAGAAACCAGAACCCATGTGTACTGCTGGCAGGAATATAAAATGGTTCAGCCGCTGTAGAAAACAATATGTAGTTCCTAAAAACATTATATATAGAAATACCACATGATCTAGCAATCCCACTTCTGGTTTTATATCCAAAAGAACTGCAAGTCGGATGTGAAGAGATATTTGCACAACCCTGTTCAAACAGCAATATTTACAAGAGCCCAAAAAATTAAAGTAACCGAAATGTCCATCAGTGGATGAGTGGATAATCAAACAGTGGCATATATGTACAAAAGAGTATTATTTAGTGTTAAACAGGAAATTCTGACACATGCTACCACATGGATAAGCCTTGAAGATATGAGGAAAACAAGCCAGACAGTCATAAATGGACAAATATTTTACATTCCCATTTATATTAGGTATCTAGAATAGTGAATCTGATAGACACAGAAGATAGAATGAGGCTGAGGGGAAGAAGAGAGTGGAGAGTTATTGTTTAATGAACACAGAATTTCAATTAGGGAAGATGAAAAAGTTCTAGAGATAGATGGTGGCGATGGCTGCACAATATGAATGTACTTAATGCCAGTGAACTATACTTCAAATGATTAAAATGGTAAATTTTATGTTTTTTATATATTATCAAAACAAAAAGATTACCCCCCCCCAAAAAAATTCTACTCATGTTTTTCATCAAGAATTTCAGCTATCAGTTTGAAACTATGTAAGCAGAAAGGAATTATTATTAGTTAATGGAGTATACCACAAAATCCTTGGTCTTCTGTTCAGCCACTGAACAAGAACACCTTCCTTCTAATAGCCAGCAGCAAAACTGTTATAATGGTACAGCACAAAATGCATGCTAATTTCTCATGATTTCTTAAGCAAATTAAAAGTCACACTAATAAGCAGTACATTAAATCCAGCAAGGTCATGGTGCTACTAACCTTTGTGTGTCTTCCATCTCCTTCACTAGACGTTCTAAAGAATTTGTGTAAGTTCCACTATGAACAGTTTCCTAGAACAAAAAGAAAATTTAGAAATACCTTATAACACATCTTAGTATAAGAATTGGGATGTTTTTAAATATTTCAGAATACTAAAGATTTTCTATTTCAATAACCAGGGGCAGGATACCTTTCTTAAAAGAATTTTCACCGTCATGCTTTAAGTCTAGTTTTTTGTACTGCAGGCAATTTGATTTTACCATCTATTAGGAAAGGGACTACTTATAAAACCCTGTTAGCCTTAGGAGCTGACTAGAAACACCCAAAGGCTCCATGGGTATCCTGTCTTTATTTTTAAATTCTATTTTAGTAGAATCAAACCACTGATTTTTAGGTGTTACCATGGAACATTAACACCTTCCCCACCAAATTTTACAGACACATGAGAATTTAATTCAGCTTATTCCCAAGATAGAATGAAGTACTTTATAAATAAAATTGCACACCACAATTAACAACATTTCTACACTCTACCTTCATTTACAGCAGTGGTCTCCAAAGCAGGGGGTGTGCAAGGTGATCCATTGGGGTGCAGGAAGAAAATAATAGAACTTCTATTTATATGGAACTTCCATAGAAACTCCAGTAGAACTTAGTCTATAGTAACTTCTACATAACTTTTATAGGAAAATACTTTTGTCTTCTTTCTTTAAATTCTATTTTTGCATATGCTTTAGAAAGTACACAGTAGTATGGTGGTACATGTATATAACCTGTAAGTATACATATAAATTGGGGTACATGCTCAAAATTTTTTTACAAAAATGTGTGTGATCAAAAAAGCTTGGAGACCACTGATTTACAGAAATAAAGCTAAAGATATGGGAAACCCATTAATGAAAGAACTACTACATCAGTTTTAGTTCAATTAATGTGTCATAATAAATACTAGATTTTAAAATAAGTTCTAGCAATCTATCTCTTTTTCACTAATCAATTCAACTTTCCCTCTTCAAGTAAAGATAAATGTCACAGAACTACTTACTCTATAATCTGATGACTGAGATCTAAGCCCTCTGGAAAGAGCAGGAGGCTTTCCTGTAGTTGCAGGAGTATGATTGAAGTTCAAAGCCATTATTTCATCCAGTGATTTTAATGTTTCCTCTTCCTCATCACTGTCTAGGTTGTAACCTAAACTTTCTTCATCACTATCAAAATCACCCCTTAGTTTTCTTTTCAGTGCATTGCTACCTGCATTGGAATTTCCTGAACTCTCTTTATCTGAAGGGGCTTTATCTGAAGGTGCTGTTGGACTTGGTATACATGGCACAGCTTCCAAAGCAGCTGGGGGAGACTTTGTAGGAGTGCCATATTCTGAATGCAAAGATCCCCCAGAAATTTTCCCTGAAGACGCGTCAGAATCAGCCTTATTAGTCTTTGCTTTGTGCTCCTTGTGTTTGGAGGACTCTGAAGAATACCCAGAATATTCTTTAGATGAGGAACGTTCTTTATCTTTTTTAGGAACTGGAAGAGTGCAACTTTTAGCATTTAACGGTACCCGAGAGGAACCAGCACTTGGTACATGGGAAAGTAAAGGTAGAAGTTTTGTCTCCTTTGCTGCCACAGAGCTAGCAATTTTATTTTTCTGTAGGCTGCTAGCTTTTTTAACTGCAGATTTTTCCTGAGGTAAAGATATGTGGGGTTTCTGCATCTTAGTCTCTTTGGTACTTTCCACACGGGTTTGGTCACTATTCCTGGAAGAATGGTGGCCAGAACTTGAAGGTGCCAACCCCGCAGAGGAGCGATCAGCTTCTTCACTTGGTTCCTTGGATATGTCTTCCAAGCGCAATACATCACCAGGGGTCTTCAGTGCAATATGTTTTATAAATTTCTCTTTCTGATGTGGCCCATCAGGACGCTTTTCAAGGAAGGACTCTCTTGCTTTTGGCATTATAGATTCTCTTGTGCTTTTCAGATCTGAGTCCACAGAGTTCCTTTTTCTTTTGTCAGGGAATTTATTCTGCTTAGAGCCTGCTAAAATTTAATTTTTGCCAGATTAGTGAAGGGCATATATTCTTAATAAAGTTTATTCAGTGTCTAGAACACTGACAAAAATGTTTAAATTCTAGAAGTTCAGGCTGAGATTGTTCACCACATGTGGAACAAAGTTAATGCCATCATTTACTTAATAAGTGATAAATACTGATGTTTAAGAAATTTAATGCTAATGACAAATGCTCATTTCATTCCAAAACTTTAAAAAGCTTACTAAGTATAATTAAAGGTATCCCTCTCTAAAATATAAAAAACTATATATTTGTTATTAAACAAAAGATTCCCAAGGCACTTTCCTTCAAAGTGTATATGCACTCTTATTTTTGGATCAAGGTCTGGTTCCAGAAATGTTAACTTCTCAATTAAAAAAATCTACCTGTCTTCCTTCCTATTATTTAATTATTACATCCCATTTCTCTCTCTAGTCTTTTAGCTGTGTTAAGTCTTAACTTCCAGAAACTCAGAATGTGATCTTAATTAGAAATAGTGTCTTTATGGGGGTAAGTTATAATGATGTCACTAGAGTAGACCCCAATGTAATATGACTGGCGTCCTTATGTAAAAAGGAAAAGCTAGACATGGAGACAGACATGCACTTAAGGATGATGTGAAGACACACAAGAAGAAGAAACGATATGACTGGTCAAAGAATGCCTAGGATTTTAGGCAAACACCAGAAGCTAGAAGAGGCAAGGAAGGATTCTCCCCTAGAGCTGTCACAGAAGGCCCTATTAATTTGGGATTTCTAGCTTCCAGAACTGTTGACACATTAAATATCTGTTCTTTAAAAAAATTTTTTTTTAAAAAAGATTTATTTATTTATACAAGAACCAGTATACAGGCCAGATGCATGGGAGGGTGAGAGGATTCACCAGAGACAGACGGGGGAACAGAACAGGCAGACTGATGAAATACACTGCTTGCTGAGGGGAGCAGCAGGCGAGGCAGGAGAGGTCTGCTTCGCCGTTTGGGATTCTCACCGGCCAGCAGGGATTGAACCTGTGCTGCAGAGGCTGCGGACAGCTTTACAGTGCGGTGCTCAAACGCCTGCGCCACCACGGAGGCCCTTTTCTTTAAAATTTATTAAAGTTTTTTTTTATTTATGTATACAAGAACTGGGGTGTAGGCTAGTGTTGCAGGGAGTGGGATGGGTGAGAGGATTCATCAGAGACAGAGTAGGGGGCAGAACAGGCAGATATACTGAAATACACTGCTGAGGGGAGCAGTGGGCAAGACAAGAGAGGTCTGCCTCGTTATGTGGGTTAGCTCCCTGGCTGGGAATCAAACTCATGCTGCAGTGGCTGGCGATAGCTTGATAGCACTGACTTTAACCCCTGTATCACCAGGGAGGCCCCTAAAATTTCTGTTCTTAAAAGGCACCAAGTTTTGGTACTTTATCATGGCAGTCATAAGAAAATAAAACAAGCTGTATGTTAGGAGCTCTATTCAGAAGTACTTTAATAACAACACATATCTAAGCTAATCAGTTTTAAAAAAATTACTGTGGGCCTCCCCGGTGGTGCAGCGGGTTGAGCTCAGCACTGTGAGGCTGTCCGCAGTCTCTGAGGCGCCAGTTCGATTCCCGGCCAGCCAGGGAGATACCCACGGCACAGCAGACCTCTCCTGCCTCGCCTGCTGCTCCCCTCAGCAGTGTATTTAGGTCCTTCTGCCTATTCTGCTCCCTGCTCTGTCTGGTGGATTCTTTCACCCTCCCGTGCCTCTAGCCTGTACCCCAGCGCTTGTATAAATAAATAAATCTTAAAAAAAAAAAAACAAAAAAACTTACTGTATTTAAAAATACAGTAAAATATTTTAAAAATGTGGTATTTCATTAACTCACTCTCAAAATTCGTTAGTCGTTAAAAATTCAATCCTTATATACAAAATCAGTATTTTCAAAATCAAGTTTATTTCTACACATGGACAGAGGTTCTGAACTCCTCAACAGTTTGACTACATTAAAAACAACAGGGCCTCCCCGGTGGCACAGCGGTTGAGAGCTGGGTTGCGAAGCTGCCCACAGCCTCTGCAGCGCCGGCTCAATTCCCGGCTGCTCCCCAGCCGCCGGAGGAGGGTCCCACATGGCGCGCAGACCTCTCCTGCCGCCCGCTGCTCCCCTCAGCAGTGTACTTCGGTCCTTCTGCCTGCTCTGCTCCCCGCTCTGACTCTGGTGAATTCTCTCACCCTCCCTTCTGACTGTACCCAGTGCTTGTATAAATAAATAAAAATAAATCTTAAAAAAAAAAAAAAAAAAAAACCAAACTTTAAAAACAACAAAAACCAAACTCAAGAGTTAAGTAATTATTTGGACAACCTGATCAATACAGAATCTGGAAAACTCAACATATAAAAATGAAAACTGAATTAATTTAAAAAATACTCCTGTCTCCATTCTTCTACAGTCTATTGCCTGAAGAAATCATTCCATGCCCACTCAGTTTTCTGGGATTTAATGTCTTATAAAAAAGCTCCTTTATAATTGTTCAAGAAATCAAATAATTAAGAAGACTTGTGGTAAACTTTTATACTGATAACCTTAAGTTTGGGCTAACAAAGAAGACAATCAGAGCTGCTAGTTTGCATTCTGCCCACTTTATCCTAGAGAAGTCAATTTATATATAGCTACTAATGAAGAGAAATCCCTGCTTTATTCAGAAATGGAAGATTTATCGAGGAGGAGAGAAAAATTGTGGAAAAGTTTAGGGAAAATGAGCTCTCTAAATCAGCTTTTACCATCTAGAATGAGAAGGTACTGAATTGCTATTACAGGTAGGCTCATCTTTTTGCAAGCTCTCTAGGGCAGTAAATTACCTACAAAAATTGTCGTGATTCTTTGTGCACTCCTTTCACAACTTGCAGACTAATATTTCTTTTATTTCAAGTATCTCTTAACTTATATACTCAGATAAGACAGGGATTGAGTTTGTAAAAATAAAACAGGGAAAAATCCAATGTTATTTGATATGAGTCTGGTTATTAATAAAATTACAGAATAAACTAGTGACATATTAAAGAGTCAAAAGAGTCAAAGGACAGGCCTCTGAAAGTCCAAAGAGCCAAATGCATACTCTAACAACATTTCTGATATCTCTGTACATGGTAATGAATATGTATACCACCATCACAATTGGTAAGTGTAATAGCAGGAATATGAATAATATATAACATTTTGATTAATACGTATTCTCAGATAAACAAGCATACTTAATATTACCTAGAAAGAAAAGTCTCGTTATGTTCTTTATATTCTTTTGAAAGTCAATTGAAATATAAATGTTTGCTAGTGTATAATAGCATAATTATTGATTATGAAATAATTGCAAAAATATTAGAAACAAAGGTCGAAATGAAGGCAGCCATCTTAAATCTGCCTCTGAACATATACAGAAAGCATCTTTTTCAAGTAGTATTGCAAAATTTCAATATGTGGGATTATATAAATGAAACTATTTCAGGTACCCTGATGAAATCTGCAAACTAAGGAACTGAAGAGAATTTTCCTCAGTCATTATCAGAAGGAAAAAAAAAGCCGAATAATTTGGTGGCAACTTATAATGGCAGAACTAGCCTAAAAATATTTTGTTCTTCCCTTCACCTCCGTGTACAGTGATCACTTGTTTATTATTACAAATGTGTGACATAGTGCAGGCATAATCTCATGGCCATTCTTATATCATAATGTCAAAATTCACTAAAATTTGATCACTGAAATAAAAGATACTAAATAAAAAAAAAAAAACCATGAAACTTCAAATTTATTCCTGTATCTTAAAAGTCCCTTCTATGACAGTGAAATTTGGTTTCAGTCTTAACTGAAGATAAATTCTTAAGAGGACTTGTTTTAATGCAATGTATTTCTAAAATATATACATATGGGCCTCCCTGGTGGGGTAAGGGGTTAAGTCTTAGCACAGTGAAGCTATCTGCAGCCACAGCAGCACGAATTCAATCCCAAGTTCCATCCCAAGCCAGGGAGCTAACCCACATGGAGCGGCCTCTCCTGTCTGACCCATTGCTCCCCTCAGCAATGTATTTCAGTGGCTCTACCTATTCTGCTCCCCATTCTGTCTCTGGTGAATCTTCTCACCATTGCCCCACCACCACCTCTGGCCTGCACCCCAGCTCTTGTGTGTATAAATCTTAAAAAAATATATGTATATAAAATATAAATATGTGTATATAGAAGTTTTACATGAAACTTTAAGAAGGATGAGTGTGAACTCTCTGTACCTTTTTTCATTTCTAAAAGTAACTACTTTCTAGAAGGTGAGAATCAAATGATTTAAAAACACACAATATGACATGGTACTCAGCAAATGTTGGCTATTATCATGTTCGGTTTATCTTACTGAGTGTGAAAATTTGAAAGGTCTGGTTTTCAGTTTGTATTTATAGTAAACAAAAACTAATACATCAGACTATTAACCACTGTTATTTCTGGGGCCCTTTTGTTCTAAGTGTCCGCAATTTGAATTTTACACTGTTGTATTTTCTAGTTAAAAAAAAAAAGATAAAGATACTTTAAGAGTACTGTATTAGCAGTAGCTGTTTGTTATTATGCACTTTCTCAACTAAAAGATTCCGTAAGTATAAAATTAGTATCATGTACGTATCCTTGAAATTTGATGTTAAAAGGGATCTTTGTAGTGTGAAATATTTAGGAAATACTGTTTTGGATTATATAACAGTTTCAACCTTATACAATGCCTCTATAATACCAAGTACACAGATAGTTCACAATTTCAAGAACGTAAGATTATGCTTCTTAATGTAGCCAAGGATTCAGAAGTAAAACACTAAACACCAATATAAGATACATGTTAAGAGACTACTGAAAAAGGCAGAGAAGAATCAAGACAAACCATAGGTTACAATACACTAAATTTAAGATATATTACTTTTGAATATAATTTTACCAAACTGCTGAGTAATCTGAGACATTTATTTCATCTCTAGGAAGAAAAATGTATATTTAAAAAAATTTGCTCTAAAAACCTGTGCCATTAAGATGCAACTTTATTTAAAAATTCATAGATTCAATTTTGATTCTACCTGAAACAGGTTCCCATGAATCAGAAGAGGCCCTTTTTCTTGAGAGATGTCCGTTTTCCTATTAGCAAAATGAAGGGGAAAAAAAAAAAAAAAGTTGGGAGAGTGAAGAATATGAACTTTTCTTCATAACATTTAAATACAAATGTCTAGAATGAATTTTGAAAAGCACCTAATTAACTTTTATCAGAATGAAGTGTATTTGTATAAGAATGTGAAAATACACGTTTTCATAATGTAAATTTAGATTGGTAATAATCAAGATTAACTATTAGAAACACTGTACTATTATGTTGAAAAAAAGAAAGCCTAGTATTTGCTAACTAAACGAACACAGTTTATTACTCTTTTGGTATTTCCATTTAAGTACTGATGCACCACCAAACACTGAAATCATATTAAAAATGGACCAAATTGATCATTTGTAAATTTTACTGACAAAGGCACCAAATCCCTTGCAAATGAGCCCTAGAGTTCACAAATGTATTTTCTAGCAATATTCACTGCAACAATCTCCATTCACTTCCAGAAGGTCAGTTCGGTTTATTTTTGGTTGAGCTGGTTTAAAAAGTTCATAGCATCTTATCAATACAGCACTTTTTTGATACCTGATCTTTACTTGTTCTGTATATAAAGAAGCTCTTTAAAACAGATATACTTGACAATCTAGGGGAGGACAGCTTTCATGTTACCTAAGTTTGGTCTACTCTAAGATATGATCAAGTTAAGATGTATTTTATAAGTCGTCATTATCTTCTAAGTTTTCTAAGACCTACACCCAATTATCTAAGATTTGTATATACTCTAAAGCAGTGATTCTCAAAATTGCATCTCGAAAGTGTATCAGAAATAAAAAAAAGTGCATCAGAATTATCTGGAAGTCATGATAGCTGCAGGGGGTTGGGCTCTACTTCCAGTTTCTGGTTCAGTGGAACTGGGTTGAGGACCAAGAACTTGCATTTCTAACCAGTTCCTTTGTGATGCTGATATATTGCTGGTCCAGGAAACACATTTTGAGAACTACTGTTTTAAAATAATTTCCTGATGTTTTAGACTTTCCATATTTCAAATATCTCCCATCTGCACAGCCTAATTTAAAAATTTTTACTTGCCTAAAAAAAGAATGCTTACTTTACTAATAGAGATATTTGTTACGATGTGAAGAAATTAAGGGCAAGAAATGCTGTCTTATACCGTCTGATGAACAGTTGGAGAAAAGTTAATGAAACTAGCTTCTACAAAACTATGTATCAGTATTCCCCTGACAAGCTATGAACATGATGTTAATAAAGATTATATATTTTTAGATGTGGGGTATAGGTATGATAAAGAAGTAGCAAAACTAATTCAGTAATTATTGTACATACCAGGTTTGAAAGATTACTTTTTCCAGGTATGATGTCATTCTGTTTACTCTGTTCCTGCCCTGGTTTACATTTTCTTTCTATACTAGAGGACTTTAGGGAAAGATTGCTTGCTTCTGAGAAAGAATTTTCTGAGTTGACTCTTTGTTCCATTTGTTCCTTTCTCAGCTTCTTTAGTTCTCTTTCTCTGCAGTAAGAAGCTAATGACGACCGAAACTTAGCTCCCAGTGGGCTTTCTCCTGGGTGGTGCCTGGATAGGCTGCTCCTACTGCTTAGACTTCTGGAGCTGTTCTTGAAGATGTCAGGTTCTGTCACTGTGGCCTGCTTTTTGGAGTCTGCATTGGTCTTGCCGCGATCTCTATCATTCTTCTCCTTGCTATTTTCATGAATAAACAGTGACTTCCTTCTCTCTGGAGAGCGATGTTTCTTCTTTAATGCCTTCATTTCCTTTGGCAAGCAATATGAAGGAACATAGACTTTTGTACCTGCCTTTGGGTATTTGGTGGCTAGTGACACGCAAGGCCGACATGACTCATGTACACCATGATCTTTATGGTGTTCTTTCACACCTTTCATGAAAGCCTCTAAAATAGGGCTCTTTTCTGACGGCACCCTTTTGGGTTTAGATTTTTTTGGTGAAGATAGTTTCCTTTCAAATTGCTCTGTTCCAGAGATGGACAATCCACTTCCTCCATATTTGATGTTTGATTTTTGTGGCGAATCCAACATATGTCTATCTAAATAGTCAATTAAAACACAAGTTGCATGTTATTAAAAATAACGCAAATTGTTACTCTATATTATTTAAAATACTATGCTATCACAAAAATTCTCAAATGGGTACTTAGATGATGATATACATTTTATTGGGGAGAGAAATTATGACATAGTTTATTAAGAGCCTTACTTTATAAAGCTCCTCATGAAATAAAATACTATATCTGAGAATCAAATTCATATGCATCATGAACATTCACTGGAGTATTTTAAACGTAAGAAAGCTTAACAGAAAAGTTTCCTCACGATGTCCAAACTTATCTTTGTAAGTTCTGCATTTTCATGTTTTCAATTTTGAACTCTATGTTTAATAAAAATTCCAAGATTTAAACGTTCAATTAAGCTCCCTCCCTATCCCGAGAGTCCACAAGAAATACATTAAGTGTACATACCTTGTTTTGAAGCTGGTTTGAAGAAATCTATAACTGACTGCTTCCTGAAAATAAAAGCATAACTAATATGGAATCATATAAGCAAATATTAAAACTTCAATAGTTCAATTAAGTGGATAATACTAGATTGATAGACTATAAGTTGGATTTCACTATCTGGTTTAATCAACCCAGTTCTTACAATGGCAATAATGCTGTGCTAAGTTGATTATAAAAAATTGAAAACAATGCACTACTTCCTGTAGGAGATTTATAAAAGCACAATAAAAAGTGAGATTTATATTAGCTATAGTACTAAAATGGTAAAACGGAAATGTGAATTCAGGAAATTGGTAGACTGTTTCTTAGAACTGAAAAGCTCAGTGCTACATAGTAGAATGAAAGATTTCGAAGATGAGGATCTCATCCTGTTATCACTGGAGATTTTGATCTCCTGTGATAGGTGCAAATTATTAAGCTTACTAAATGTTTGCTGAATAAATAATGGAGATTATAATAATTGAGTAAAACATGAGCAGACTCATAACAAAAATAGATGGTGGAAAGGTAAAATGTATGAGTGATTTAGATGGTCTGGGGAGAGAGTTGAAAAGGAGTATCCTCGGTAAGAGGCAGAAGTACTACGTTTACATTACCCACTTCATACACTACTCTAAGATATTAATCTAACTACCAGCAGAAACTGGAATGAGTCTTCACAGCTAGTTTTTTAGTCTTTTCACCCAAGAATTCTTAAGGTATTTACAAAGATAACACATTGCCTGAGAAAAACACAAAACAGAGAAAAGATAATTAACAACAATAAAACCCAAATTGTACTCTTTAAAGATTTCAGTACCCAAAAATGAACTCAAAGTGAAATAGGAGATTACCAGAATTTGTATTCTGATTTGTTCATGTATTTAGTTATCTGACAGCTACATAAAGAGGGATATTATATGTAGAGCATACAGTATGGCATATGGCAAATTTTACTAGAATGTATTCATATTACTTAAAGAGTAAGTTGTAGATGACAAATTATCTGAAACATTTAGACACTATGAGGCTGGAATGCTTAGATAAACCTTGAACATCAATTCCTCTTAAGTTTTAATTTCTACATTGTGAACACTTTCCTGGTCACCTATGAGTGAAACCCATCTTTAGTGATTTACTTAGAGTCCACAATGTTTGTCTGAGATGTTGGCAGAGAAGTTAAGTGGCTATGATATGAATATAAGTGACAGGCTAAAGAGCATTTGTTTTAATAAAATAACTATTAGCTCCACAAGAGACTAAAGAAAGAAATGCTAGTGGTTCTGCCAAGATAAGAAGGACATCTGCAGTTACTGGCTGAGGAAAGAGAGATGGGAAAGGATAGGGAAGCAGCTAATTAACTTAAAACAAAATAACATTGTTTTTACACTAACACCACATAACATTTTAAGTCTTCCATGAAATGTTAAATCCAGGCTATCTCAAATAACATAGAAAAAAATGGTTTTGGGTAAAATTATACCAGAAATACGTAAAATAACCACGAAAGTAACTTTCAAATGGAACTGTTCCTTAAGTTCACATGCACAGAGGTATCCATTACTTATTTATAACTAGTAAATTATAAATAAGCTCACAAGCCCTTATCTGAAACTTTTGGGACCAACTGTATTTTAGAATTCTGAATTCACTAGATTTTAGAAGGGAGGTAACTTCAGGTAGTATGCAAAGCCCCCCATGGGGTTCTGCCACCACACCCCATAAACACACAGCAAACTTATACTCTCGTTTAATGAGATATGGACCCGTTAGTCGTAGTCAGGTTTGGCTGCTAAGTAAGATGTGGTGCCAAACTTATTCAAACTTTTGGTTTTCATAGTTTTCTGGCTTTCAGAATTAAGATAAGGGATTGTGGACTTGTATCACAGTATTAGAAAACAAATTTACTGTTAAACTTAGGTTACAAGCTTTTACACTTAAAATAAAAGACAGTACCAAGTGCTTAGAGAATGTAAACATGTTTTATTGTCAGAGGATGTCATTTGATCAAACTCCCCATCTCATTACACAGCTCCCACAAAATTTTTACAAAAAAAAAAAAAAAATTGGCCTCTTGGAGAGGCGTAGTTACGGAAGAAGAAAACATGTATTTCAAATACGCATGTTCTTTTAAGAATGAATTGTCATGTATACTGGACTAGAAAGTAATTCGTGGAAGGGTTGTCCTTATCACAGCTTACATAATGTCCCCCACCATACAGAAAGGTCTATACTATTAAACCACTAGGATCAACAGAACTGACAACGTACAGAAAACGGCCTAAATATGCATTAAGCAGCCGGGGCCCAGCTTCAGCTAGCGTAAATGACAAAAATCACGTTCTACCTAAGGCGGCTTCTCCGCAGCCATCCAGGATCACTAGACCGAGAGCGGCGTCCCAACTACAGAAAAGGAAACTCGAACTCCCAGAAACCCCCGCGCGGAGGCGGGGCGGGGGTTTGCCAGGCCCCGGAACGCCGAGGCCCGAGCTCGCGGAGGATGGCGGGAACTGGAAGAGCGGCCGTCCGCAGTCCTCCCTCATACCCTTGCCCCCGCGACCCGGCCCCTTCTTACGCCCTCTGCACGGTACCTGTCCCCAGGCCTCTCTGTTCTCTTTCCCGCTGCAGCAGGGACGGTACTACCGGGTCTCAGATGGCAGCGCGGGGGCGACGACCCCGGGGCTGGGGATGAGGGGAAACCTGGCCTAGCGGGCATGCAGCGCCTTGTCATGTCGGCGCCGCTGGCGACGGCGGCATGAGCTGTGGTTGGAGAAGATGGGTGCGTGGTTGCCGTCTTGCTGCTGGGACTCGGGGCGGCTGTCGGAGCAGAGGTGGGCGGCACCCCCTTCTATCTTCATGGCGGTTCTCTCTCTTCGGAAGTGACTCCTCTGCGAGCGGGAAGGAACCTGAGGACCAACAGGGGGCGGGGCGCGCTCGAAGACTCGCGTCCTGATTGGCCGGAGTGGCGGTCATTCCGGTAGTGGCGCAATAGCCGCCTTCTCAGGAGAAGGCGGGGCTTCTCGGGGGAGGGGCGAGGGGAACTGTCCCTCCCCCCCGCCCCCGTCACGTGCGCGCGCGGGGGGGAGCTGTTCGCTGCCGCGTCTGGGCGGCTCGGCCTTGGCGGGCGCGCGGGGGCGGGAAGGAGCGGACAGCCGCAGGCCCTGCGGCAGCTGGCTACACCCGGCAGGTCGAGGGCCAGGGCGAGCTTTGCAGAAGCAAAGCGGAGCCTGGCAGCTGCTTTCAGTGAGGATGGCCAACATTTGGGCTTCCTGTGTCACACAATTGTGCCTCAGAACCCCCCAGCTGTTCCCTCCATCGCTCTTTAACAGCTTAGGCCAAAGAGCCCTAATGCTGTCACTCTTCCCTTGGTTGTCTGCACGACCCAGTCTGAAGACTTGTCCCCTCTGTGAGGGCTCTTTAGGGCTGCGGCGGATTATTTTTCTCTCTATAAGACGGGTCGGGGGAAACCCATTGAAATAAAGGCTTTTAATTCCACAAAAGCATTTTGTTTCTTAACTGCTGAAATGAGTTATCCATGAAGTGTCTGCAGCCAGCTTCCTTGGAGGTTTTTGAAAGGAACATAGGGTGAGCTTTCAATTACCCCTGTCAAATGTGGACAGCATAAATTAGTGAAAAATCACAAGCAATCTCCAATTTTCCCTTCGAAGGGGTTGTGCTTTGGAAGCTGTTAGCTAGGATTTTCCTTACAAGCTGAGGTACTGGTCAGAGTCTATCTGCGCCTCAGTTTCTACATCTGTAAAATGGGTATGCCACTTTTCTGGATAATTGCAAACCATAAAAGAGAGAAACAATGTAAATAACACAGTTCAGAGTCTCTCATGTAGTAAGTACTGGATAAATCCCTCTGTTCTTTAGTACATTCATACTTCCTACAAGATATTCCAGAGACAGGTTCGCTACTGTTAGAACTATTAACCGAAATACCAGGTTTGTGGGTGGCCAAGCTTTGGTAGATGTGTTCAATGAATTGAATAGAATTAAATTTTAAATAACAAAAAAGAATTTAGACCTTTAACATTTATTGTATGGAGGTTTAACTGCTTCTATAGCTGAGCATGCCAGGCTGGCCTGAAGGTCACCTCTTTTCCCTTCCCCTTAACCCAAAGAAGGAAGAATTAATGAGGAATAAAGTGATCAACAAGCTGGCAAAAGTGGCGGGTAGACAGTCAGCAGTGAACAGTTCTCTGTTTATAAAAGACCTATAATACATACATGCATTGCTTCTTACCTCTTGTATTAGTGCTTTCTGTTGGATGTTTCTAGACTAGTAAGTTCCTGCTTCTATAATAACATATCTGCAAAGCATTTAATCTGATTCGTTTCATTGCATGCTCAGTCCATAAAAAAGAGTAATGCATAAAAAACATGTTCTGCATGATCAATTAGTTGCTTTTCATGGATTATAGTATTTGAATCATCCAGCCCCAAAGTATCACTTTAAAGTCTGTACTCATACTACCAAACAATAGTTTTCACATTTTCTTAATCTGAGCAACAGATTATGGAGTTAAGTGAGGCAAGAAATCCCTTGATCAATAAATGGAGATGGAGTCATAATGAAAACACAATTTAAAAAATCTCTTCTTAAGAGAGAAGTAGTTATCTAAATCCCCAATAAGCATCAAGGCTCTTCTTTGTTTAAGCTGCATTTGAAAATGATACAGATTTGGGTTGCAGGGTGAAATATGCTCAACATACTAACTAGAACTACTGGGAGCCTCTAAAACCCTCCCTCCTCCTAAATAGTGTTGGATGGTCTGTTTTGCACGTACACCTCTTCTCTGACATTGAATGTGTATATAAATACCACACACGTGCACGATTAATGTAAAGATTTTTAACATGTTAATTTGTAATGGGCCAGAAATAGATGCAGGGAAGTTAAACATTAGGTGAAATATGTTAAAGAGCTCACGTGTTTTCATGTGAGGAGATAAACAGGGAGAGAAAAACTAGGGTAGGGTTGGAGGGAGAAGGTGATGAATAAATTCAACAGGACTGAATT